TTGCGTTAAAAATTTTTGCCGAAAAAGTTGCCAGGGGAAACTCTGTGCAAATTCGTCCAGATTTTCCCGCCAAAAGTCTTAGTATATATACAAAATTTTTTTCTTATCTAATTAACTTGTCAAAGAGAATTGAAACAAATAAAATGTGAAATGAAACTCGAGATGTTTATTGAGTGTTTATTGCAAGACAATAGTTTTACTGACTTTTCATTAGTAAATAAATAGTGATATCACAAGAGGACAACAAGTTGATAGATATTAAGTTTATTGACAACAAAGATATGACCTGCGCAAATATATAGTTTTTTTTAAAAAAAATTGGCGCATGCGTATTTTAGGCGCCGTATTTTTCTAAGTCTTTTGGCGGGAAAACTCGCCCCATAAGAACAGATGTTACTTACAGAAAAGATAAAGAAATATGCGTATTGTAAGCGCTCGTATTTTTCTAAGTTTTTTGGCGGGAAATTGAAAACGTTTAAACAATCCATAACGCGAGTTAAGCTGACAAAAACTTCTAAAAATCTGCAAAATATTACGTGCTTTCGTTTGGTATCAAGTCCTCGAGTTTGTCAAATGGATCTCAGATCTGACCTTTCGTATTCTTGAGAGAAAAACACTTGATCTGAGTAAATCTTTCCTTTCGCCTGTAAGTAAGTCTTCAAGTTGTTTAATTCGTGATTGAAGCATCAGTGATATTCACCAGTCAGTCTGCAAGAAAAAGAAAATAAACAGTAAATCAACAGAGGCAATGGATCTTATAGAATATAATAGTTGCGGATAACTAGTCAGCTGCAGGAAAAAAAATATGAGTGATAAGCAAAATATCCGTTCATATTAAACGTTAAACCATCAAACAAGGGATTTATTATTCCACTAATTTCTAATGTTTAGTCGTTCAGTTTTCGAAATACATCCTACGGCCTCATCTAAACTTCTTACATATCGATCGCTAAGGCCTGAGCGAAAGACGAAAATAATGTCAACGAAACCATTATTATAGCCAACGGAAAAAAAAAACACTTTAAACTTTGTTGTTGAAAAAGCGAAGCCAAGAAACGGGGAAAAAACCGCTCAATTTAAATTGTTCTGAGAGTCCATTTTGTTGTTCCGTTTTCCGTCCGTGTTTTCGCCCTGCTCTACAGCATAATACCGTGGCATATTTTGCGCGTTCCATTGCCCTAGTATGATAAAATTACATAGAAGTGGAATAATAAATTTCAATATTTTAACTCTGCAGAGTTTACTCGCCTAAATAAGTGAACGAAACAACAAACATAACCTGGATTTGTGCGTAAATTCAATATGATCACTGATCAATATTCTCGTAAATTTTCGAAATGAATTTGATGTTACACTTTATGCTGTTTCCTACTAAGCTATGCAACTCTGAGCAAACAGGTTCTCGTTGAAATGAAGCAACAATCGGCAATTAATCTCAACCTTCGTCAACAAACCCTCTAGGGCATGACGGAATCAAAATGATGTGATCATATATAATTAATTATTGGCTGCAACTTTAAGAAATTAATTCCTATTGATTTTCGGAGTCTGCAGGAATTTTTAAAGTGAAGAAATATTGAGCTCTTGGCCATCTTTTCTACGAGTAAAAAAGTTGAAAAATCCAAGAAGCATCTTCTCGCACAAATTAAAGAGAAATCCTGGTACGGGAAAATTGTGTTCAATTTTGAACAATAAAAAAATCAACTCCCTTAGTGATGTTTTCCGAGAATGAAAAGCTGAATTCAGTCTTCCTTCTAAAACATCATTTTAAAGATCATTCTCTAGCTTTGAAGAATTGTATTGGTTCAAAGGTTCCCATGGGGACGTTTACGAATCATGCAAAATTAATATTTGAAAAAGTCCTTAACATGACAACAAGTAATCTATTCGTTTAAGGAATTAGTTCCTTTTTAGAAAGTTGTGAATCAATTTTGGATTCTTTTGTTTTAATACCAGAAATGATTCGTGTCTATCACTGCTAGAGAACAAGACCTGTATGATATCGATTTATCGAAATTTGGATAAACCCTGGGCCTTTTGCTCCCATGAGTGACCAAAATAGAATTTCTCCTTACTATATCGGCACGATATCAAACAGACGAATGATGAGAATAAACAAAAATATCAATTAAGGGACCATTAGTTGATCCAATACCAAATTCTCAGAACTAACATCATTAGAATTGTACGGCAGACAGTAAGGAGAATTACGGATGAGATCTTGGGAGTGAAAGGATTAAGATGGCATGATGAAGTTCACAGTTTCTCCGCTCTTATGAAAAAACTACTTCTGACCAACCAAATTGTTTTAAAAATTTCTATCAATTTTTTTTACTTTATATCAAAACAATCTTTTTCACTTTGACTTCTTCACAATTTTTTTTAGGATCAGAAATCTTTGTAGTTGCCAGTTTAAATACATTGATAAACACGAAATAAACTCGTGCAACAAAATTACCAAAATAACAGATTCACAGAAATGTAATCTTCAATAATTTCATCAGAGGTCACGTCTCGTTAAAACTTGATTAAAACTCTTCTGAGATTTAAAATTATTTCTGCCATCAATAACAACTTTATCGGAATAACCTTTTAATTTAGTTTTTGCTTTGAATGCAAAACATTGAAAAAACTTATTTCCAAAACATTTCTTCGAATTAAGCAAAAAACTTCATAAGGCTAAATATTTATTTTTCAAGCATGAAAAATAAATTTGAAAGTAAACTTTTTTAATTTTCGCTTATATTTTTTGTCTGCTTTATTTTGCACTTCGAAACTTAACAATTAGCCTCCCAAGTTTTTTCTCTATTGAATTGATTAAAAAAGGTCCAATTTTGTGAAAATTGTTTAGGATTTACACTTAGCAGAGATGTAAAAAGAAATATATAAAAAAAAAGATGACGATATGTAAATTTGTGGAGTTTATTAAAATTTTAGGTATTCAAGAATCATGCTCCGAGAGTTTTAGGGAATAAATTACATTCGAAAGTCCTTATTTTGAACAAAATGGAAATTCAAGAAAATTATCATTTTTTGGGCATATTTTTTTGAGCATAGGATTTGCCTCAAAAGCTAATATGGTGAACAATCATGTTTTAAGATGTTTGTTGAATGCAAAGAATTTTAATTCAGAAAGTAGGTGTAATGAACGAGCCTGTAAATGCATCAGAATTTTTAAATGAACTTAGAAACAATCCGACCAATATCGTTTGTTGGAATAATACTATTTAGAAACTTGAGAACTGAAACAGTCATTAAAAGAGCGCAAAGTTTCTATTCCTTTCTATTTTTTTTAATCAGTCGATGGTGGAAAGTTTTTAATCAAATAAACGCCTTGAGATTTTTTCTAACATCTCTTATGATCGGCTTGTTCATAAGCTCTCTGTCTCAGAATTAAAGGAGTCTTAAACAGGCACAGCTGTTACTATGGTAACTTGATACCTCGTGTGGAAGGTCATAACATGTAATATATTCTTCTAACATTTGTATTTTTTTATCAAAATGCAAAATGATGGTAATGATTCACGTAAACATCATTGTTGTAAACTATTTGAAATATCTCAATCAGATAGTTTTCCTTCTCATTCGACTCAGCCTATAAGCTTTACAAGGCCAGATAGTCTAGTAATTGCAAAAACCGGAATAAATTGAACAAACCTTAACAGAAGTCATCCCGTTTTTCCATCTTCGTTTGATTTTCTTGAATTTGAGATGTACCCATTCTGTGGTTGATATTGTCCTTCAGAGTTCCAGATTTTTTCATTCTGTGCTTGACGCTGTCTTAGAAAGAGAAAAGAGCAATGAAATGAGAATGATTTCAAACCTCCTTCAGGAAATTGCTCTCTATAAATGAAACTCAGTGTTCGAAGGGACAAAGGAAATCTTGGTTCGGTCTTTCAAGACGGAGAGACAGCCAAAATCATCATTAAATAGGTCATGAAAGCAATACAAGTGTAATACCTTTGAAATATCATTACATTCAGCCACACTGGAGACATGAGACTCTAGATGAATTTTACAACCAATATATGAGCGAGGTGAAAAGAATATTGCCATTCCTCTTGCTAAAACGCTGTTAGTGTTGATTACTCTATACATAACTTTAAAATAAGTAAATAAATTTATAGAATTAATGAATAAAAAGCGATCATTTACGCATCCGAAATATGCAAGTTTCACGTTGCTGCCCTGCAAAGGTCACGTGATGCATAAAGAACTATCATGGCGTCGATTACCGATGACAATATTTTATACATTGCAATGTGTTATATACCACGTCTTTTCCATTTAAGTATAAAATTTGATTTTCAAGGGTAACAACGAAAACACAAACACTGCAAAAGTTCTTTCAAATTGAATTAAGACGAAGGTCATTCACCTTGAGAAGATTCCCATCAAAATGTGCTATCGTGAAGTCGAATTTAAACCACTTGATTCAGCAACTTCGAATAAACACACGCCAGACTTGACTTTGTAGACGTTTTCTTAGGTAATAGGGTTGAATTGACGAGTTTCCTGGCCGCTGAGTAGTCGAGGAAACCGCTTAAGTCTCTTGTCTTCCCAAAGCTTGTTCCACGTGCAAGAACTCTCGCAAATATGAATATTAATTTGAAAAGTCATTTGTAATTCATATGAGTTTTACGTTCCCAAGGCCTTTTTTCTGCTCATGAGGTCAGAGAGAGAGCGAAAACCAATACAGGTTTTCCAAAGATTTATAATTTGTGCCGAGCCTAAGTAATTAAGTAAATTATTTACGGAAAAGATTATATGGACACTTCACTGTGAAAATAATCTTTATTTTATCAGGAATACAATAAATATCAAATGCCATGTTAAAATACAGCTCCATTATGCAGTCCAAGTGAAAATACAACAATTTTAAATCTGTGAAACAAGATAAATACACTGCACGAACACTCCACTGTATGATGGCTTTTTCATTCCATTTCTAAATCCTCGCTAAAAGTTTCAAGAAAAAAATGTTTGTCAACGTTTTTTCCGCCTGCCTGGACAAACTTAAACAAAAATTCCAAAATTTAATTTTCCAGAAGGGATGAAAGCCAAGTATAAAATGCCTGTGTTGTTTTGGAAAGGTTCCCGCGACTTGGGTCAAACATGGCTTCGAGACAATCCACGTTCTGGAGATTGACTTCAAATGGTACTTCCTGTAACAAAAAATAAACATCCACATGAGTAACAGAAAAGAAAGAATGGCCGACGATTAACGAATAGCTACACAATTGTTGCAGAAAGTCGAGTATTTTTCTACTGTTCTTAATGGTACCCTGGGTCTTCGTGAGACCAAACATATATCCCCTCCCATATTACAATGACAAAAATGATCACGGTTCACCTCAACTGGAACTGGCACTTCACGTTGTAACAAGGCTCGTATTTCACTCAGATGCTCTCTCAGCAGGGCCCTTATGTGATCGTCCTTTCTTTGCTTAGCTGAGAGAGCCCTTATTCCCATGCTCTTCTTTTTACGCGATGTAACCCCAGTCCCAGAGGGTTTCTGTTCCAAATTTCCTGGTACCATCAATTGCGCAGGATCCGTTTTAGACGGACGGCCTAAGAGGTAAACACATAATTTAAAATTCATCAACACGTGTTCTCCTAAAATTATGAACTTGAGTGAGGAGAAATATAACTATTAACTGGTAGGTCATGATATATGGCATGAATCCAAGTTCTCATGACTGATTTCAAAAGAAATGTGTGGAACCAGAAGGGAGATTTGATATATCGATCGCTTTCCTTTGAAAGGGTAAGTCGCACGACGGAAAACAGCTGTTTGATTCTCGAAAATTTCCGAGAGATATTGAAAGGGTGGTTACTAGTCGGACAGCATTCGGGCATCAAAGCATTTCAAGCCATGAGGCACCTTTCTAATCTTCTTAATCTTCGGGTTATCAATGCAATTTACGTAGTTACTTTTACTTTCACTACGTATTAATAAAATATTTTATTCTTCTCATAAAAATCGTTTACCCTTATTTTGTTCAAGATTTCCAGGTCCCGTTTGAGAGCTCTGCACGGGTGCCAGGTCGTTCTCGGCTTTTTCCAATGTGGCCATAAGCTTTTCGTGGAGGGCCTGAGCACGAGACTCTATCACGTGATAAAGCCCGGCCTTGACTTGACCGACGAGTGGGTTCGCCGAAAGATCAAGAGCTTTATTGTTAAAGGCGTACAAGACACAAACTGCTCTGTGGCGCTCTGACTGGGAGTCCGCTGGATCTTGGACAAACACACAGTCAAGCTCTGGTTGAAACCATTGGATACACATCTCAAAGTCACTAGCTTTGGTAGACTTGTCTATAAGATCTAAGAAAATCAAACAGTAATTACGGTTGAAAACAGTAAGAATATGACGAAAACAAGCATATAGGAGCCTACCATTAGATCAGCAATCGTTTATCGCCTGGGAAGGGGAGGGTGGAGGATATTTTTTTGGGGGGTATTACATGGTTTTCAGGAGGGGACCGTTGGAGGATCAGTCGTCACCAACAGTTTATAAAGAGGGGACTAAATCAAATCGACTGCAAATTAACTACTAAAGAGGGAGGGGTGGTAAAATATTACAGAGCCATCAGTTAAATATTATCGTGACTCAACCAAACCCTATAACCCTCCTCTAGACAATAAATAATGAGGGGTCCCTTAGAAAGACCAAAGTCTCTGTGACATTAAGCTTCTCACAATACAAAAACCCAAATAACATACCAGCTTTCTTTGAATTATCTCCTGCTAGGTCAGTCTGTAAAGGCTGGGTCACCTTCACCTGGGGTCCGTTTGCATGTCCGTAATTCACCAAGACCTCTGGGGGAGATACCCCACAGCACTCTGCAGCATACGGCCCCAGCTCGCTCTTTAGGAACGAATGCATGTTGGAGAGCTTCAAAGCTTTGTTTGCGCTGAACAAAGGTAAGACCGATGTGCTGCCCCTTGAGGATAATTCTCCGTCCTCCGAATGCACGCCGAGGGCAGCGTACGAACACTGACGGCGAAGCACTGAAAGATACCCGAGGAGATGAAGCCAGGTGATTTGTACACGGTTGGAATTGTTAATAGTGGTTCCCATGGTGACAATTCCATCCTGAGCAAGCAACGCACCATTCTCCGAATTTTTAATGACGTCATCGGTACCCAACAGGTCGAACAGCGCGAGACCTGGAACTGAGTTGGCAGCTTTCTCAGAGAGTTTCAATGCGGTGATTTCAGGATCTCCTGTGAGAATCCCGATCTTGTATTGAGCAGAAGACACCACCCCCGCGGCACGAATAGCAGCCCAAGCTGTCCTCATTTCTTGGTCCAGTTCTTTGTTCTTTTCCCGCGTTTCTTTCTCTTTCTTTCCCTTTTCCTTGGCGCTTCCTTTCTTGCTGATCTTCCGGCCTCCTTCCTTGGCGCCTAAGGTAGGGGACTCTGCAGGTCGGGGCGGCTGCTCGGGTGTCTTAGGAGGCTTGAGAGTGTTGGCGTTACTGATGAGGACCAGCGCCATCTCTAGATAGGCGTGCTTCATTAAACTGAAGAGATAAAAAACACCACAGTTAGAGGAGATTAAACTAATGAAACACAATTGCATGAAAGCAAGGGAGGATAAAAAGGAAGTTTTTTTAAATCTAAGATTTTCTGCCAGATACATCCGGGACAGCAAAGGAGAGATAGGGAGGGGTCCAAGGGAGGGGCACACTTACCCAAGATCGTGATCAGAAATAAAGGTGCACTGTACAGCTTCCACCAGTGTGTTAACTACCGTACGGGGAGATATCTGACCACTCGGAAGCATCTGCCTTTGAACTTGACCTGGTCGAAACAAGTGCAAAAAGTATCATAAACAAGAGTGTAATGAGGATTACTACGTAAATACTTAAAGTCAAAGATTAAAAGGTAAGGGCACACTTACCAAGAGTCAACAACAGTTGCGCTTCAACAGGTTTCCGCTGACAAGCAGCGGTTCTCGCCAGTTCAAGCCCTAGTTCCAGTTCTCTGACTGCAGTCTGCCACTCGGCTGGAATGACATTCGAGTCCCGATCATGTTCAGACAGGTGGGTTTGTTTGGTGAGAGTTCGACCGATACGAAGTTTAAGGTCAATCAGAGGGAGAAGCTGTCGGAAATAGATGTTATGTAGAGGCCTAACAGGAGATGTCTCCACCAGATTTACATCGCTTCCAGACTGGGTCAACTATTAGGAACCAAAAAAAAACGGGAATGAAAATGTCTATAAAAATGAAACAAAATGGCATCAATTCCGATGAAATAAAGTCAAATGTCTTTTCTTCAATCTGTTCTTTTGTAAAACTGCGGACATTTTTAACATTTTCTTGAAATTTCATTCATTCGATCCAAAAATGGTTCTATCAATATGCACCCTGCAGCAAAATCTGACTTTTGAGTTTTGAGAAATAGTGCTGAACCCTTAACCTCCCATAAGTGACCAAGACAGAATTTCTCTTTACAATATCAATACAATATCAAGCAGACAAGAGACGAGAATAAAGAAAAATATCAAGTAGGGGATTATAGGTTTATCCAATACCAAATTCTCCAAAATTACAAAATATGAACTGTATGGAAGACAGTAAGGAGAATCACTGATGAGATCTTACAAGTGACGGGGTTAGTAGATTTCGAGCAAGAACTGTAAATATTTGTGATGTGTGCAACTAAAATAGCGATGAACTCTTTGGCAAAGTACTTTTCTTAATTAGGTCATTTCTATGCCCAGGATACTATCGAGTTGTCAGAGAAATCTCACTTATAGCATCCAAGCGGAATAGCATCCAATCCAGAGGAACATCAGTATGCATATTCTCCATACTGTTCTCTATACATTCTCTAAGGCGCTGACAAGGAGAATTTGTCCAACAATCAAGATCGAGCTTCTTCATCCGGTGATTATTTCTTTTTTCTCATGACTTTAATGTTTGCTTCGGGTGTGATATTGTAAGGAGAAATTAGATGCTAGGTACTCTTAAGGGTTAAGGGGTTAAGAGACTTTTTACTCGGACAAATTTTCCACTTAAACTCTTTTCCTTGAATCACCGATCATTACCTGCTCAAGTAAATAAGTCATAGCTCTTGTGTACGCCGACAGAGGGTCGTTAAGATACGACATGGTGGAAGATATGTGACCCGAAGGTCTGATATCAGCGTGCTGAACGATCGCCAGAGCCAATAACTGTTTCCCTGAGAAGGACAAAGCAGGACTCTGCTCCAGACTGAGAACGACGTTCTGCAAAGAGAACAAACAAACAACTCTAGAGCTGGTACAAATGTTGAAAAAGAAACGAAGAAATCTTTATTGGATAGTCTGGAAAATGAAGATTCCTATCTCACTGCTGAAAAAATTATTTCAAGTTCAAAGACTGTAAAATGAAATCGAATTGATCAAATTGTCTGTTTCTTACCACTTCTATTTAACCACTTTCTTGTACGCTACTTATTTATTGATTGATTGATTGGTTTTTATTTGCAGTTATTCTTTAAATTCCTTAATTTCTAGTCTTTAACCTCTTCATCTATGTAATAATCAAGTGGTAATCAAGTCTTCAGTGATCAGTTGATTGATCTGCCTCAACTGGCAAATCTGTTAACTGCGGGTCACCTTATTTTTTTAATTTTGTAATTAAATGAAAAAAATGTGAAGTGCGAAATCATTTTCCTTGCCTACGGTCAAATGCGAATTATTCACCGTTTCTGCAAAAGCTCTTAAGTTTTATTTGTTCTACCTCTAGCGTTTCCAGCAAGTCAGGCCCCATTTTTCCTTGTTGTAAATTCTGGACTACACTCAACAAAGAGAGTTCAGCCATAAGTTCTATGTCACCAAATGCTTCTGCTTCGTCCAAACCTGTTATGGATATTGAAAAGAGATATTCAATGATGCCATAAAAATTGCGAAAGGGGGAAAGTAGGATACTCCAGGTCGCTTCATAAAATAGAAACTATGATGAGATCCTTTTGCTTCGTATGATATAATATTCTCGTATCACTTGTCACCAGGTTTGGTTATCTGGATTTGTAAAAGAAATTTCGCCTGATGGCTATTGATCAAGAACACTTTAGTGTCAAAAAACATCGAAGATAATCCTTAACTTGTAAAGACAGATAATCAATGATGGCAATAGTTCCTTTAAAGCGATTGGAGATGTCAACGCTGCAAATAAAAATGAATGACTACCTAAGAAAAGCTAAACCTAACACACGACTCTTAAAACTTCAAAACAAACCCGACGTTACCTTGTCGACAATGATGCAAGCATGTTCCAATAGAGCTGGTAACACTTCTTGTCGAGCCCCCTAATTTCCCCATTCCACTGTCCTCTTCTGCGAGTCCATGAGCCAGGGTCAGTCTACAGGTGAGCCACAGCCTAGCATCCAATCTTGAACGTGCTTGGTTATGGAAATAATGGTCCCCACCCCACCCTGAGACGGTACTATGCGCGGATCGGACCTGGCTAGACATGAGGGAAGGAGCACTGCAACGAAATAGAAACAATTCAACTCCTTGAAGTCACAATTATGTAATGCCTCCTTACAGTGTCAATACATCACACGGCAAATAGGTGATAAGGAAAAAAAAAAAAAAAAAGAGTGTTCTCTCGATTTAGCCCTTAAACCCTATAGAGAAAACAGTATAGGGAATGTGCATTCTGTTGTTAAGATGCAAAAGGTTAAACTTAATTCTTATATCTAATTTATGAAAATAAGGAACTTGTTTTTCTAAGTCTCAGTGGTTATCGGTGTTCACACTCAAGATCGAGATTTTGATAAGTGTAAAATTAACAAAACCTTTGTATCTGTACCATAGAAAATTCTATAACAAGGGAAACAAAACAGAATGTTTCAAGCCACACTCTTCTGTTCGTTTGATCCAGCTTTACAACAGGCTTCAAGTTCGTAGAGTTACCACAACTTTCACGAAACAACACCCGATCTTAGAAAGTAAGGGGTTAAATTCTCGGTGATGACATGTTTTCCGCTTACCGTTTCTCTAAGTCCAGCTCATTCAAAATCGCAGCATCTTCCAATGCTCTCATGCACGCATACACAATGTTACCGCTAGTTAGCGCATGATGTCGCTGACTGGCAATTTCCGCCTGCTCAAGTCGAGAGAGGCAAATCTGTTCCAGATCCACAGAGGACATACTTAGCGCTGTCAAAGAAAAGAAAGAGTCTTTCAAGTTGTTTCCTAAGTCTGAAACAAAAGCTTTAAATAAAGATTCGTTAGAGAAGGCAAACGCCATTTACAGGGAAAAAACCAAGGAAAAAAGAAAGGAAAACAAGGGTAATCATGAATGTAGGGCATTTAGACAAATTGCGCGTGACAAAATTGAAGAAATTCGCTGCGATTTTTCAAGACGTAAAACTGCACTGAACCTCCTTTAACCCTTCCGCTACCAGGAGTGACCAATGAGTAATTTCTCCTCACAATGTCAATATATTGTCGAGAAGAGACGTCATGAGAACAAAGATAAGCATCAGTCAAAGGATATCGTTTGATGGAACACTAAATTCTCAGCGCGAAGATTATGATAAATGTATGTCATACAGTGAAGAGAAGTGATAATTAAATCCTGGTGTCAGAAAATTTGTACAAATTGTGGACTGTCGGTGACTGATGCTTCGAAATCGTTTTGGAACCAGATTATGTCAACAAACAGAAAATCAAAGCTGAAAACTCCGAAGTTACTTACGCTCATCTTCAAAACTGGCTTGGTCTGGAGCGTCTGACAGGGAGTCACACAAATTTGTCAATATTAATTCTGCTGTAGCCAACAAGAAACCCTGTAAAACAAGCATGAACATCAGCTACTTAAAAAGAAACTGATATTCCATTCGTGTTACAACAGAGCAAAAAGCAAATTATTTCTTATCGTGCAGTATGTTTGAATTTTAAAGAACCAGCGAGTAGGAATGTGTTGGAGAGAAACTGATATTCCATTATTATTACAAAAGAGCAAAAAGCAAATGATTTCTTATCGTGCAGTATGTTTGAATTGCAATAAAAAGGCGAGTAGGAATGCGTTTAATTTACCTTAATCAGTTCTGGGGTAATGGTCGCTGGATCAATCAGCTTTCGTCTTTGAGCGACTTGACTGCTCTTAAGACTTATAACTTCATCTGAAAAAATGGAAGAAAAATCTCAAGTTTAGTAGTTGCTTTAGATAGAAACATTATGTGTTGCGCGATTTGAAGGAGGGAATTGGGCGTATTCATACCAGCTGAGCGGCACAAACCAACAAACTGGATTCCTCAAGGGCTTACAAGCTCCTCACAGGGGTGGAGTAGAGGCAGTGATAGGGAGATTGCTCTTTTGATAGAGGTGTAAATCTAGTCTGTGTAATGTCTCGCCGGTTTTGAGGCCTCTTCTCTCGACTTTTTTCCGTCTTACCGCTGGACTTTTTCTTGGGGTTTTTCTTTCCAGTTGGAGACTGGGACGGTAGAGGGGGAACTGGTAACTCGAGCAATGCAGCTTCCTCTTCTTCCTTAGCCTCCAGATAACGGGTAAGTCTGAAAGAATTAAATAACATGGCTGAAATTCTTGCGGGAAACCTTTAGAGAGGTACCGCTATCCATAATGCATATAAGTATTCTTCTCTTTGAATGGGTGTTCAATTCACTTCGAAGTTAGAACACACAATTTGGCAACGCTCCACGGCTCAGACACCAGTTATACGTCAGGTGTCAACGTGCTAGTTGTAAATAAGTACATACTCTTGGTGGCAGTCTGCTGGTATGGCATAAATTGTAGCCGCGATGGCGATCATCAGATGCGCATGGGCAATTGTGAGCTGTCCAGTAAGTTGTGGACCGTAAAGTACTAGCAAGGACGGTTGCAGACGGTGATCCAGCAAGTAGTTCAAAACCTGGAAATGCAATAAAAAAATGTAACTAGATTGATAATCAAATTGACTGCAGCAATCGGCTGACAGTCAGTCTGTCAGTCAGTCAGTTGATCAGTCACGCTGTACGTCCGTCTATGATCAGCCATTTACTCAGCTAGCCAGACTATCAGTCGGTCTGTACGTCAGACAGTCAGTCGGTTAGTTGATCAGTCACTCTTTAAATTAGCCAGTTCGTAGTCGGTCAATTGAGATTTACGTTCTGTAGATGTCAAGTAATGAATCATTAACAGTCTATAGTCTTTCCACTGGCAATCGTGGGAATCTCACATGATGCGTCATCAGAATGATGCACATGGAAAAAGAACTTCCTCAACCCTTCAGCCCCTAAGAGTGACTAGCATCTAATTTCTCCCTACCATATCACCCCTGAATCAAACATGAAAGTCACGAGAATAGAGGAGATGATCACCAACTAAAGCAGCTCTTGATTGTTAAACAAATTCTCCTTGACAGCCTGTTGGAAATGTACAGAGAACAGTATGGAGAATATGCATACTGATGTTAGGGAGTAAAGGGTTAAGGCTGACTTCTATTATGGTACCAGATTTGGTAAAATTCATTGCGATGGTTTTCGCCCGGCGAAGGAACCATCGAAAAAAAAAACACAACTAACTGAAGTCAAGGAAAAAGTTATGATCATTGATGTCCATTCAAGTCTCTTCTGACCAGTCACTTACATGCAAGAAGCAACTTTCTGCTCTTGTGAAAGAAAAGGATTCCTTATAGTGATATCAATGAGTAAAGAAAAAAAGATGCCATAACAAGTCACTTACTGCTAAGTTGCCCGCACTCATAACAGACTCCTTGTTGTTGAAAACAGGCGGAGGTTTCTGCGGAGAATCAAATGTTCCACGTTCAAACAATGCACTGCATATATGACGTGAACAAAAGCAAAACGAAATAGCATCGCAAACGACTCCGTAGACCAAAGAACGTAAATACAATGGCAAACTGACAAAGTTATCTTGCAGACAACAAGAAAATACCGTTTTGCTTTCTACTGTTCTAAAACCGCCGTCAGAAACTTTGGGAAGCTTTTCTCCACGAAGTAAAGATGTCAAAACTCTTGCTGCTTCTGAGAACATCTCCAGATCGGTGAGGACACGGACCTGAATACAAAGATAAAAGTTATGCATTAGAATCTCAGAACCTCAATAGAGAGAACCGTAGCGACAGCGGTGTGGAGACTATATCACTTCATCGCAGCTTTCAACTTGAGTAGGACTTCAAGCCCTGTTTTCTATCTACGCCTCTCATATTCACTCGATCAAACGCCTTCGTCGAATGAACGCCGCAGATAGACGCAAAACGATAAATCAACGCCGCCCTCGAATAAAGCGCATACAATCAGTAGGAAGGGTCGTTCTTAAATAGTTAAAAAAGTATCACGCTTCTTAGTAATAATCTACACTGTCCTTCATTACTTTGGTAAACAAATGACAAGCCATATCATCTGATTCCATCTCGGTAAAAAAAGTGATAAAATGGTGCTTTAAACAGTCCTTTTAGTTATTCAAAATTCCTCACACGAACAACATAAGGCAGATTCTCACCCTTAGAATTCTTATATCCACAGATCGTTGCAGGTCACGTGCCACATGTGTGGAGAAGTACAAACACAGTGTGATCAATGGAAGAACCTGGCGAAAAATAGAAGCAAAACAACATTCAATTAATATAGCGACACACTTCAGAGAAAGCAAACAGCATTTCTTTGAAAGCAAAAGAGAACGACTCGAACAGCTATTAGAGCTTATCCCGGTTTCCTTACAGTAATTGTAAGCTAACCCAAATAACTAGGAATATCGGCACACCTTCAAGATAGGTTGGTAGTCGATGGCAAGCCATCACTCCACCTCCCCCCTCCCCCCTTCCTCATTATCATTTCGTCAATTTTCCTAAAGGCCAACCATAACACATTTAAAACACAGTGATCAGGTCAGAATTCGAACCCAAACCTCTCGCTCCAAAGCAAAGCGTAATAACAATTTCGGGTAAGACTACTGCGGCTCCTGTTTAAAGGAAATAATTTTCTGCTATAGCTCTCTCACCGTTATGAGGTATCTTGCTCGAGCCAGTTCCTCTGTGATCCATCTAAGCGCGGCCAGAACTGACCGTCCATTACTTCTAAAAGCGTCGGACAGAAGATCTATCCCAGGTATCAGTTCGGCCACCTCACACCCAGCCCCTACCTCGTATAAAGCATAGTCTTTGTCCGCTGTGGGGTGGGGTAGCGAAGAACAGAACAACGCCTAAAAAGAATTGAAAACGTCATGAAAATGCAAACAGAAGTCTACAAGAGGAAACAACGAGGATAAAGCTTCACTTACCTTGAAGAATGTCGCGGAAAGAAGACAACATTCTAATCGGAGACCAAGGTTAGATGTGTGAATGTATCTGTAGAATAAAAGAAGAGAAAATCAGACTTCATGGAACCGACGTAGAGAATGATAAGAAGGGAAATAACAATATAAAGACACGAATTGTTTCCGGGGTCTACTCAAGTATAAGGCGAACGCATTAAAAAACCATTGCTTAATCCTTTCACCCCTGAGAGTGATGGCACCAAAATTTCTCTCGACAGTTTTTTGGCTACATCAAACATTTAGGTTATAAGGATAAATGAAATGATCACCATCAGAAGCTCTTTATTGTCAAACAAATTCTCCTTGTCAGCACCTTAGGAAATATACAGAGAACAGTATGGAGAATACGCCTTCTGGTGTTGGGTAGAAAAGGGTAAAAGCTACTTAGGAGTTTATTACGCCTTCTTATTGACTTACTGTGCGATATTAGCGGCCAAAACACCCCTAAAAGACATCCCCATAGCCCACATCTCTGAAGAAGAGCAGCACCGGGCTTGAGTGATGTATCAGATGATGACGTCAATTCACGCCACGTTTTGAGCGAATCCGCTGTGTTGAGGATCGTGTCTAGAGACTCCGCCCACCACTTGTATGCAGCCCTGTGTTGGGTTCGTAAAAAGAGAAAAAATAGCTTGTTTTATTTTTCTGAACAAGCAGTTTTCCACGATAGTCACGCAGACATTTTCTGTACATTTTAAAAAAATGTTTCAATGAAGGCTAATCTTTTCAAGAAGTTTGTGATTGAATTTTTGCTAATTTATTTCATTCATCAATGTAATATAATTTGCACCAAGGGCAAGTGATTAAAGTCGGGCAAAGTCTTTCATTCTTCCGTCATTTATGGCCGAGATAAAACCATGATTTTAAGGCGCTAGAGGAGTTTCCTTTACATCACTTGATGGGCGAGAAATTTCTCAGAATATGCGCTATTTCTGTCAGAGTGGATTTCTGGATTCTAGGATTCTAGCAATTTTACATATCCTAAATTGTTTTTCAGAGCCAAGGTAAACGCTACCACTGAAATTATCACCACTATTATCATTATCATTATCATAAATATATTATCATAACTATCACTTTTACAATTATCATCACTAGAATTATAGTTATCACTGTGACAATAACCAAAATTATTATCGTTGTTACTAAACACGTCTTTCAATTAAACAATACCAATCAAAGTCTAAGTGAAATATATCGGTTGTAGAGCACCGACAAAGATGCAACAAGTGGAAAGTACAGTCTACAATCATGAATATGCCTGAAAATAATGACAATGACTAGAACAACTCATCAATCGCAGTCAAGTACAAACCTAATATTCCCACTGTGAAACATTATGTTACCCAGTTCGTGCATAGCTTGGGCAGCCAGACTCTTCTGTTTGCGAAACTGTAACATTTCTGTGAAGAACAAACATAAAGTTAACAATTCCACTCAGCTGCCGCTCCGGGTGGCTCTGGCTTTTAAGCCTGTTGATAAAACCCTCTCGAATGATCTCATATATCAAAGCTTCTGGAAAATAATTTTTTTGTGGTGCTGTTTATCCTGCTTTCAACTTTTAAATCTGCGGATAAATCTCTTGTGTGTGAGAGTACTTCCGTGTAATATTGTTCACAAGATGGTGATTAAGATAACCCTTTACTCCTTCACATGATCATACATATTCAACTCTCTGTTCTCTTAGCATTTCCTATGGTACTGGTAAGGAGAATTTGTTTGCCAATCAGGAGCTTCCTAAATTGGTGATCATTTCCTTTTGTACTCATGACCTATTCATTTCATTCAAGGGCGATACAGTAAAAAGAAATTAGATGTCACTCTTAGGGGTTGACGGGTTTATGAACATCAAACTGTGCCATCATTTACCGAAAAGCTACAGAAAAACACTTTTACACAGACTTGCATTTTAAACCCTAAACACGCTAATCACTTTAGAGACAAATCTATTTTATGAAGCCTACCAATTGTCTTATCGTAGGAAGCAATTACCACAGCCAATTGCGATGGTTGAAGTGTGAATGTTTGCACATCCTCCACAGAGTCAAACGTTTCTTTCGTTAAATCCAGTGGAACATCTGTGGGAGGTTTCACTTGGCTCGGTAAGAACCCGACACGGGATGACCCGCGCTGCACACGGGTGCTTGTCCCGCCTAGGGAGGGAACATTTCATTACATCGTTATACAAAAGCCGTTGTTATCACAACGACGAGCAATGTTTCATTAGAGCGATTCCATCCACTGCTTTTACATTTACTTGCATATCATGTTCTCTCACCTTCCTGCTGGCCCGCGAGGTAACACAACAAAAGCTGTCGACTGTGATCTAGAGACCGCGCAGTGTGATGCTTCAACTCAAGAGCCTGGTGCAGAGCCTGGAGGCTTTTATTCACATCCAGAGGGACTGAGACGAGTCTCAGCGCGTCCAAACTACCGCGGTATACATCATGGCCTTCAGGATCAATATGCACCGCGGGCTCAATTGACATGTACTCTGACGGCTTTATAAAAAACTCTTCAGCAATACCCGTTTCCTTGGAGACAGTGATGAGAGGTTGACTCCTGACGGACCACCATGGTCATTGATTTGCTCCAGAAGTTTTCGTTGTGCAACGATAAGGAGAGGTAGCACTGACTCGGCATAACGACTCCTGGGAACAAACGAGAAAGTTGCGTCAGAATGGCGGCGTACCTCTGCTGAAAACCTTGCAAGTAGCTCACGCTTTCTCCTTGCATTAAAGGTGATAAATTGTCACACTAGTGTCATGAGCAATGTCATGCACTGGAGAATCAATAAACAAATTTAAGGTAACGAAGGAGATAGTTTTCAAATAGCACTTTTCAAAATAAAAAGGTTCGTCTGCGTTGAACAGCCAATCCGAACAAGGAGTCAATAAAAAATCAAATTAACCATTTTACTACTGTAAGTGACCGGCTTTTAATTTCTTCCTAAAGGATAATTTTTTAATTCAGTGTAACGGTCATGAGAATAAACGAAATGGCCTCCAATTCAAGAAGCTGCTGATTGCCAAACAAATCCTCCTAACCAGTATCACAGGTGATGTAAAGAGAACAGAGGGCCTTATATGACGCGAAAAAATAAGGACCAAGACACAGTTGAAAGCAAAGCCAACGATCAAAGAGGCAAAATGAATACCGAAAGTGAGAAAAAGTGGAAGGATTGAAAGGAGAAAAGAAGTAACAGAAGTATTCCAAGACTTTTTTCCAAAATTTGAGTATGTCATGTGGTTGGTAAAGAGATAAACGATGTAATTCCGGCTACTTTCGACATTCACCTTAAAAAAAAAAGCTAAAATATGAAACGTTAGTAGATCCTCATTTTATTCTTACCTGGTTAGCGCATTGAATCTCAAGATGATACTGACAGCCCTTTCCCATTTCCTCTCGTAGAACAACATCTCCACTGCGTAGAGTATAAACCTCTTCAGCCAGCGAGTGTCTGCAACATTCGAGTTGTCCAGCGGTATCTCAAACAACAAACTCGCTCCACCTCTCTCATCTTCAACTCCTCCCATCAGGCCTTGCTTCTCATTAATCACCAGATCTCCCCTCTTCACTTTGTCACGCTATTGAAAAAAGGGGAGAATGAGTCACGTTAGAAGGCAGCGAGGATGCCACGCTAATATCTACCAAATTCACGGTCACCGAGAGTTACGATGACGAGGAATCAACATTTGGTATAGTCGGAATGCAAAGAGGGGGGGGGCAGGGGGGGAAGAGGGGAATTAGGAGGGTTAACATGGTTTTCAGGGGGAACAGAGGGGGATTAGGCTAACAGTGTGTTAAGGGGGAGGGGGGACTAAAGGTAATTGACTGCAAATGAAGGGATCATTTAAATACAACAACGCGTTGGGGGGGAGGGGAAGGGGTCAGGTGAATTTAAATGAGACAAAGCCAAAGTCCTCCAGCCCTTCCCCCCCTCTCCCCAACTACACCAAAGATTCATACCTTTTTATTTTGTTCAGATTCTATTTTTGCCTGGTCTTGAATCAAAACCATCATGTCCAACAACCTGTCGGCCCCGAAATAGAACTTCTGCCACAGGGCCTTTCTCAGAACATCGATATCAGTGATTCCTTCAGCCAAAGGGTCCTCAGCGAGGTGGAGCGTTCCTGCCACGACTCGCATGAGCACCGTTTGAGTCATGTTCCATAGAGCCCGGCAGGCGTTCTGCAGCATGATCCAGTACTTGCCACGATAAGTCAATACCTACAAATATATCGTTGGCCAATCACTCTTACGTTTGAAGTGATAAATCACGTTGAATAACTCTGTGAGGATAATTGGTTGATGTACAGGTGAAACTATTTCCAACATAAGGAGCGCTTTACAATCGGGTACAATTAAAGTGCTTTCAATTGAGTGTCAGAAAACCAAAGTCATTACAACAACAATGAGAAGAGAGGTAAATACCCTTAAGAACCAATAAGAATTCAGATTAAAACAAAGCAAATTGCTCAGAGCGCGGGTAAACGCGGGTGGCCAAGTCGCGAATCAAAAGTGAGACTTGCTACAACGAAAACGCCGCGAGACAAGTTCACCTTGCGAGTGTTACTGCTAGGGAGGGATTTTGCGTGAAAAGTACTGGGCCTACAGGCAACAATTGAATACGAGCCTAACCAATTTTTGAGACGGAGATTCTGAAAAAGGTAATGAATTATTCTTCGAAGTGTTTTAATAAAACTGAATTTTTGTTCTTACAATGGCTCGTGATAAATGATCCAGCGCGGAGAGCAGGAAGAACATGGGTGACTTGCTTGCGGTGGAACCTTCACTTCCGGTGACCCCTGTCACTCTGCTACCAGTCCTGTTTGATCAAAGTGTCATGTCAGTCAATCATTCAATCAGTCTGACGGACAGTCAAACTTTTCATCAATCGATCGATAGAGCATTCATTTAGTCTTTCAGCGAGTAAAAAAACAAGTGAGGGAATCAGTCAATCAACACACCAAGACCATTCAAAAGAACAAAAAAAACAACAACAACAACAAGGGAAGAACAAAAATTGGAACTTTTTTATTCACCAACAGTACGACACATGGTACTTAAGGGAGGCTGTGAAGGGATTCTACAAGTTCTAATACTTACCTGGTCCCCTCCCGAGGGTGTGACCGCGACCCTGTTGGAGCACGCTGAGAAAATGGCGTATCCCTCGCTGATCCGCTAAAACCCATGGGGGGCTCGGGTGAGGCTCTTCTTGATGCACCAGCCCACGACACTATTAAGGTCCCGGATGTAGCATAGCCAAACCAATCAGGATCCATATACGAAGGCCTAGGAAATAAAAATGGAAATTAAAAAATCCAACAGCGTCCTAAGATCGAAGAAGGAGATATTCACATGTCTGTTACTGATATCTGCTGGTGTTGTAAACTACAGGACTGGTAAAAGAAATCAAACTTGACAAACTTGTGTATCAAACCTGTATAACGGGTTTTCGGCATCTCCTGCATCTGCCAAACGTTGCCCACTTTCCACTTTGTCAAGAAACAAATCAAAATTTGCACCCGCCAGAAGAATTCCCATCTGAAAAATGATGAAAACGGAGAACAACGATAAGGCTATCAGTAAAGAGACCCTCTATTTTTCGCTTGGCTATCACGCCCGATCATTAAGCAACCATTTTTGGCTACATTCAGGTTGAAAGTTGAAGGCAACAAGAAATACTAGGCGGCAAGGTTACTATGGATGCCATTTTGTTGCGTCAGATTACACGCAATACCGGGAACTGTTCAGTTTAAATGTCCCAGGCGTTCTAAGAAGTTCGCACGAACCTTATAGCAGTTTTAAGACGCAGAATCGGTTCATACAAGTGTACCTCTAATCCTGTTACTGGTAAATTGAGCATTCAATTCCACACAAAGCTGAATTATAGATGTTGTCCAAATTCCTTTAGTGGCATTTTAGCAATTTAACGATGTTTCACCAGCAATAATACTAGAATAAAGTCATAGTAGCCGGCTTAAGGTGCCAGAATAAACGACGGTTTTGACCCGCTGCCAGCACTGAAAGACAGCCCTGTGACATTGCGTTTAAGGCAATGACCACACTTGCGGAAAAAATAAGGGGGTATTACGCCACCCAAGCCGAGCCCCGCCTAATCAGAACAGATTGAATGAACATTGATCTTTCCTTCCACCTCATCATAAGCGAAGAATTTTTATTCTTGAATGTTTATTCCCATAGTCACCTAGCATCAAAACATATTTGTACAAATCTGCACCTGGGCTCTCCATGGCAATTCTTCGCAGCTGACGGCTCGTAGCTTTTTTCTTCGCTGTGATGATCGCCAGTATTCCGGCAAAAAGCCCTGAAGTCGTTCGATCGCCTTGAAAGAGCGAGAATAAATCATTCGTGTAAGAAATATAGTCATCGTAAAAGAGAAAGGCTTATGATTTGTACTGGTCCATCGGTGCCTGAGAACATCTCAGTTTCTGAGACTTGAAGTGACGAGGGGTATCGCTACTCCCCCTCCTCTTCCCCCCCCCCCCGCCAAATGGATTACCTGTCCATCTCAGTTTATCTCCTCAGTGGTTTGTAAACATTCCCTGAGAGTTTGGTACCCATTTATACTACAGGGTGGGGAGGGGTACTGTAACTTTAGAGTTATGCCCAGAAACACAACACAGTGACCCGTCAGATCTCGAACGTCACAAGGTAAACGCGTCTTTCAAGCAAATCGACTAATCGAAACAAGAAGAAAAAGATCTTTCCTCCCTCCAAAAAGAGAAACAACTCTGAAAACCAGCAGGTATCAAACGGGTAGACATATGAACAACAAACCAAACAACCTTCCAAAAACGCTTGTCTCGTTTCTCACGGTGTACTCACGTTAAAGATGTCGACCTCTTCAGCTGTTCTTCCTTTGAATCTCCGAGCCTGTCACAGAGGGAAACATTACCTCTTCACTACGTGCTTACTTTAAGTTATCAAGAATTTATTCCACGGAACTCTTTTAAATTGGTCAAGCTATTTAATCAAAAGAAGATCAAACAAAGACATATTCCGGCACAATTTAACACACTTGTAAGAAATTTTTAAAGCAGCTATTTTGGAGCTTTCGTAGTTACGTGGAATAGTTACGTAATTAGAGAAATTTACAAGGAGTGTCGAAAGCAATCCAAGATTACATCACTTTAGCTCTACCTCGCTCAGTAATTGGTCTAGAAAACTCGCGCCACCCTATCAATCAATCAAATGTCAAACCACTCAGGACTCGGTCACTCACGTTTCCCTACGCTTTGCGCAAACGTGAATGATACATACCTTTCTCGATACGGTACTGGGCACTACAGACTTTTTCTGTGACTGCGGGGGTCTGGACGCAGTCTCTTGCTTGTTGCGCACAACAATCTCTGTTTCCTCTTTATCCTCATTTTTAGTCTCGCCCTGTCGAGTTTTTTGTGGACTTCTCGTGGGGGGCTGAATATGAACCATATAAAAAAAAACACTCAAACATAAGAACAAACAAAGATAATACCATGGCACTGAAATGAGAATTTGTTTACAATAAAAAACTCTTTTCCTCTCTCGACCCTTTATGTCTGATTCAAGAGTGCTGCTGAAAGAAGAAAGTAGACGCTAGTCACTCTTTACCTTACTAAATTCAACAATAGCAGTCGCAAATTTCTTAATTTTTTCTTCTTCTGGTCCAGCTGTAGCAGCCGCTTGACGAACTATGGTGGGTTTGTTTGCCAACAGCATTTCATTTCTCCTACAAAGAGATAGAAGGACGTTACATCGCAAACGCTTTATATAACGCGCCGCTTCACTTGAATATAGTTCTTCTTCAGCCCTTCCAACCAGAGCCTGTTTATAGGCTTGGTATCCTACATTTCTAGGGATTGCCCACTGCAATCCAGGTCAATCCTCATCGTCTTTTATCGACTCGGTTGATAATACTAAATTACTTTGTTCCTTTTAGGTTAATTTTAGGCTCCTTGACGTTTTTCTACTCTCTCATACCAAGTTAAAGGTCACATTTTCATTAAAAAAAGTGACAATTGAAAACGACCCAAAATAAAAATAAACGCATTTTAAATATTGTTACGGCTGTGTAAAGCACAATCTTTTGCTTCTACCCACGTGACAAAATCAACATGACCCTTCCACTAGCACTGTTTAAAGTGATTTCATCTGTTACCAGATGTCACCACTTGCTCACCTCACGATCCACGTCATGGTATCATTGGTCCAATCTAGAGCTGTTTCTGTCAGACCCTCTTGAAGAGCTTTAGCCAACACCTGGACATAAAAGCCCAGGAAGCGAGTCCTCCTCTTAAATTTGAGTACTGCAGGGAGGGAAGGGTAAATATGTATTCGACGATAAGCATGTTGATGGTCCATTTCTAAAACCAGTACACGCTCCAACGAGAACACAAACGAGAACACGAATTATATGGGGTAGGTTCGTGCCACATTTGAAGGGGGGCTTCAGTTCGTTAGAAGAAGCAGAAAAAGACCATTTCAAGAAAATGCAATCCATATAACACTTTGAAAAAGGCGAGGAAAGAACAGACGATGGATGAAGACCCTTCATTCAAGTTAAAAGTTTCTGAAGTAAATGGGAAGTGAAGAAGAATTATCTTTTTTCATTTAAGATGCCTTTTTAAAGGGCAGAGAAAGTATTTCCAAGCTTACAGATCAGATTTATTTTTTCTCTAGAAAGATTCACAGTGTAACACTGTTAAAGCTTGAAAACAAACACATCAGCCAAAAACAGGAACATAATTAGACAAAAAGGAAATGCAAAGAAGAGGAGAGAGCAAGAATGTAAGTTATCTTGTGCTTTATTCGTTATTCATTATAACACAAATGAACAGTTAGGAACATTGTGAGAGATTGTGATTACAAAATTAAATGTAGAGAACAGAAAGATCACACTGAAGATATCTTGGCATTTAAATTTAAAAAGGTGACCTTGACAGTCTCGACGTAAAAGAGCCTGACGGGCAGAAAACATAATTACACTGTAAATTATTAGCAAAACAAAAAGATTAAAGAATACAAGGAAAGATTAAAATTCTGAAATCACTCTTTGATATGGAGAGGGGTTTATCATCTGATGTAATGCTCAATTCTCAGAACTGGCATTGAAAGAAATATGTACAAAAGTTAAGGAGAATTGCATGGCATCTCAAGGAAGGAAGCGAAGGAGAGGAAAGATAATTTTGTATCAAAGGTCTGTTCAGTTGAGGATGGAATGGCATGCAATGCGCAGACTCAAAGACAAGATTGGGAGAACAAAAGCATTCACTACATGTTGCACTTATTGTATCCCCATAGAAAGCCACAGATAAACATTCAGTACTACACAAGTCATGCAAAGCGCGGTTTCACCCAAAAGGATTCCATAAAACGGGTGATCCGCTCTAAGAATAGATCATTCAAGAAAGATTGTGAGAGGTTAAGGAGTGTAACCCTCACTCGGTCAGTCAATAGCAGAAGAGACAAAGGATGCTTCAGAGAGAGTTTCTTCTGAACATTCAGCTGAGACGGATTCATCGAGACCAAGGTACCAATCAACATCCCAGTCTTAAAAAGATGGACAATTCTACAGTCAGACATAAAGCAAACAGATAGCTCATGCAGCTTCAAAGTCTGTGGAAAAGCAGATTTAACGTGTGATGTCTGTGATAAAAAGGTCTTGACACCAAAGGTGGAAGTCAATAATAAATGTAAGTTAATATCAAGTGAAGTTCGTGGAAGTTGATAGCGGAAGGTATTGAAGAAATATTTTAGTTCGTCTTCGGTCATTCATTACTCGAAATTTGTCTTTCGTCCGACTATAGGACTGGATCAGGAGTTCATGTGATTTTGGACTTAATATCGATCTTATCCCTGAAGGACAGTCTTGAAAACTATGGCTCTTTTACTGCATCTCATTTCACAGCGCTAAAATAAGGCTGAGGCTAATATTTTGCCAGAGGGGATCAAAAAATGCCTTCAACTTGTAAATGTTTCCGTTAGCGCCCCTCCCTTCACTTACCTTCTTTGTACGCTTGTTGAGCGGGGAGATTGGCAACAACTGAGTGAAGGACAGATGGATCTTCCGAGCCGGTTAGTTCCTCGTCATCACGGTTCAAAGCTGTAAATATAAATCCACAGAAATAATATGGAAATTGATTTTGGTATAGGTAATAACATGATTTTGAGTACAATTTGGTTTTAATAAGCGCAAGTAAGAAACTTCATCTGTTTGTACTTGGCAGTTTCGCGACAAATTGATTCGCTTGATCATTCTTCTATTAGCTTTCAGAATTAAGAGGAAAAATGGAACTGATTCGGTGCTATGCTTACCTTGTTGACTAAGTTTTAAGATGTAGGCTTCCAAGGCCTTCAGCTCCTCATTCTGTGCGTCAGCAGTGAAGGCAGCGGCTTCCTTCTCAAGTTTTCCCAGTCCCTTGCCTCCTCCACCTTTGGGCTTTTTAGTCGCCCCAGGCTTCTTTTTGGTGGTTTTACTCGGTGGTGGTCCTCCCAGAGTGGCGGTTGCCATTGCAGCAGCAGCTTGCATGGTTGTCATGGTACCAGCACTATCAGGGGCAGTTTCGATATTAAGCATTTTCTTGCCGAGTTCAATAATGGCCCCAGCTACTCCCTGCTCGTTCCACATTTGTAATATCTGAAATGTCACACAGGAGCCCTCAAGTCATTGTGAGTTTAAACACGAAAAAACATGAAAAGAATCACAAGCACCAAAGAACCATGGATATTTCCTGCACTGATGCAAAAGATACAATACCACTCACATTTATTGCCGCACGTATACGCGCGTCAAACGCGTGTAATTCATGAAAATAAAACACGCTAGTGCGTGTATTGACACACGTGAAGTAGCAAAATTACAAGCGTTCTATGGTCTACACGCAAATTCGTGTAGAGACGTGCAATATGCGTGTTTGGCGCGTGTAATGTATGGGAATTGCACGCGTGTCAAGGGCGTGTTACGTGTCAATATGCATAAGCGGTATTGTTAAACGGCAACACACGAGATTTCGTCATCCCAAACGCCTGACATCTCAAACTTAATTGAAATAAAAATCAAGGGAGCCTGATCAAGGTTTACCCTTAAGTTTTTAATTTTCTCAATTTGCAATCCGTCAAAATCTTTGCCACCCTCCGCCATACTTCTTGCCGCTTAGCTTATCCTTACCTGTGTGGTGTTTTCCTTGAAGAACAAAATATACTTCATTACCTTGGCTATATAATAAGTCATTGTGGCGATCATGTGTGACAAACTGTCAGAAGTAGACGAGGACTTTCTATGACGCGTCAGTGAAGGGACCTCTTGGAGTACAGCATGACACCGGAGGAGAACCTGAAAAAAATACAAACCGTATATTTATCAATTTCCACTAATGTTGTATTCATAAAAAAGCGTATGCAGGGTCTGAAAAAATGCGCTCCAGGCCACATCTTCGATTTAACAGCTTGCATTTCTCAGTTAAGACAGAAACAATGTTCCACAAACCTGTACAACTGGTTTAGCAGGAATCTTTTGGTGAATTAAAGGGGCTAGTAGTCCATAACACTGAACAACAGCTTGTAAACAAAGCGCAGTGTCATTCAGCCAGCCGGAAACTTGAATTGCAAGAAGAAGACGCTCACATTCTTCAAGGCGAGCAACCTGCATAAAGAGATATGATATAATAAGCAGCAGCTTGACACAGGTCATTCCTGAAGAAAATCACCCATAAAAAGGGAGGGGGGAGAGGGTTCCTGAGCTCCTTTGGAAGCAGAAGCAGTATATTGTAGAGACCCATACAATTCCTATAATAACATAACAGTTATACTTTCGAGTACATGATGAGTTGGCGTTTCCTAAAATCGTTCCTTTTCCAACTCTGAAAATTTATTTATATTCATTTTACGGAAAGAAATTCATTTCTACGAACGAGACACAAATAACACGTCACCGCACTCGTTTGCGAGAAAACGACGATTTGAGCTCCGACTCTGGTGAGCATTTTTACGACGATCCGACGAGAATAAGCCGCCATTTATTTTCAATAACACTAAATAACACGCGTTAGTTTCTTTAGAAACTTATCCCCTTTATTGTGAAATCAAGTGTGAATATTTTGGGATACAGGAAGGATGTGCAATGCAAGACTGCCAAATTGCCTTAAAACCCTTGGTAATTAGAAATACTTGAAATCTCTGATAAAATAAACGCAAAACAATTACCTGCCCATTGTAAAGTGGTCCACTATCACACAGACAGTCACAGAACAGATGCCCCTCCCTGATCCTAATGTCCACGGATATGAAGATACTCTGGAGAAAGAGTCTCGCCAATACAGGTGAACATTCGCGCAATCTGTCCTCGTCGACTCTGCCAAATAATACAAAACAGTAAATTAAATAACTTCACTTACTTATCGATGTATTCAGTACCTCTGAGCCCATTAACTCTTTTAATCCTTGGATCTCATACGTAATTCTCCTTACTGTCTGCCATAGAGTTCTTATAATGTTAGTTCAGAGAATTTGTTATTGGATCAAATAATGACCCTTCGCTTATATTTTTCTTTTTTCTCATCACTTGTCTGCTTGATATTGTATCGTTATTGTGGGGAGAATTTCTGTCTTGGTCACTCATGAGAGTTAAAGGATAGAGGGCTCTTGTAAGTATATATTAATAATTTTAAAAAGTAAATAAAACGTGAATTGTTCAACGTTAGTACCAACCTTTGTAGAGAGATGCACAAATCGGAACTGGCAGTTTGGATATTGGTATTCTCTTCATAGATTTCACGCTCCTTTACAAAGTGATTCCACAAAACGGACGCAGCAGATTTAGCTACTGATAACACGCCCGAGGCAAAAGAGAGCTGTAAATGAAAGGAAATCACATCGCATTACAAAGCCAAGATAACAACGCATTCAAAACTTCACACAGGAAATACGCCTTCAGGGTATCATTTCAAATGACGTCTTGAGACATCCATGTCAGGCTTTGTGTGTGGTACATGAAGTATAGCGATAGAGACACAGTGTAACCTCTTTTTCGCCGCACCTTTAATCGAGGGCTACCCCATTTAAAAAACACGAACTATGATTTCGACATGAAACAGGGTTTCTATAACCTTTATCTGTTACTTTCATTGAAAGAGCACCTCAATTCAAAGAATACTTTTTCTAGCCTTGGGCTATCCCCTGTCACGCTGTACAATGCCACCCAGCTCTCCCTGTCACGCTGTATATTGTCACGCAGTTCTCCTTGTTCATTCTGTCAGTACGTCACGCTGTATTCCTACCATATGATCTAACTGTCACGCCGAAGCTTGTCACGTACCTGAGCTAAATACCCCCACGCCATGAGGGTAGGTAATGGATGAGCAGCAAGAACAGGTCGACATGTTAAGCCAACACTTCCACCGATCAGTTTACCATGTTCATTGTAAGCTGCTACTGCTGCCATGTACTTCTCATCTGCTTTAAGCCCACGCACAAAAAACTTGATGTCAGCGGTGGCTGGGATCTAAAAGTGGCAGCAATTTGAAAAATTACTGGGCCCCAGTTGTTCAAAGTTGCGGATAACGCTATCCAAGGGATAAATCAACATCCCGCAGATCGGAATTACGAAAACGTATTCACCATCCACCGCATAGAGATTTAATCATTGGATGGTGTTGTCATTCCTTTGAACAACTGCGGTTTGTTGTTATGTTTGAGTAAAATTAAACAAATTTCAAGTGAGAGGCGTTTGAAAAAAAACATTGGATTACCATTTCAGTTTTCTGCACATCAAGCAGTTGACTTGTTTTTGTTTGGTGCCCTTACAGATTTCTTGTGGTCATAAATCCTTTTAATATGACTAACCGATAACATCACTTAGTTTCTGGGATTTACACAGTGTGCTATCACTACACCAGTGATTACTTCCATAAACAACATCCTCTCATTTCACATGTGTAATACAACAACAGTGATATCTTAGAAACTCAAAGAATACCTCTTCACCAGTCCCCGGTAGCTGATAATCATTGAGCCTGACTTTAACATTATTACCGCTGGCCGACCTTGCAAAGAGTCGATACCATGCCACCTAAAATACAGAAAAACATGTCAGAATTATACCATAATACACGAGATCGTTTCTGGGCATTGTAAATTTAAAGTTTAGTACTTGTACCGTAAAGATTCTGAAAACTAGTCTTGTCTTCAGAATACACGCTATTTTTGGCGTTTTTCGAGCAAGAATACGAGAGCGCGCCGCAAGCGAGACAGAACAACTACCTCTCTGGAGCGAAAAAACGCCATTCGCGCCTACTTCGCGCTACCCTTACGTTCGCGTCCGCTAAACTGAAAAAACACGAGGGGTGTTTTACAAGCTAAACTAGTCCCACTCTTTGTAATTTCTGAGGCTTGAGACAAGTCATTTGAGATTTGAATAGCCTGCAGTGCAGGCGTCTTATTATGACGTTACAAGATCGTGATTGTTTATCCTATCTACCATGTTTGATTTAGTGTGGACGGTGAGGGGAAGGGGGTGGGGGGAGGGGGGGTGCAGGAAAAGGTTGGAGTAATTTCTGTGACCCCTGCCCCTCCCCTCTATTTTCTTTTGACCGTCGTTAACCCCCTTGATAAAAATTTCTTTCTCTTCTCCACTTCCACTGCTGTAATAAATAAAGATGGCTATTAAAGTTTTCCTCAAGAAAACACTAAACACTCGCTCGCCAAAATTGTGCCTGCTTTGGAGGCTAAGTTTTGAGCAACTGTGAACCTTTGCATGTAACGAGTAATATATTGCAAGGAGAAATCTGAAGTCAGTTAGTGCCAATATACCTTTTCTCCTGTTTTTGGCTCGAAGGGAGCTGGTTTGAACACCAACACAGCAGAGCTGCGGTATACAAGGAGAGGGGCCGGGGGGACATCAGAGGGAAGAATGTCGTCACTGGTGTCGTCTGTTTGTCTGTTCCAACTGGATATTTTCCTTTCCTGCTGCTGACACTTAACAATCAGCTCTTGGCTCTCCTAAAATGAAGGTGGACGCGTGCCAAAGAAATAAGTTACAGTCTCGCCTCGAGTCCCATATCACCAGAACTAATCCAGGTTCTCATACCACAAAGCTACAATTCTAGTCCCCCCTGGGCAAGATGCTAGTTCGTCACAGGGTTACCTCCCTTGACTTTGTGTCAAATCTACCTGACAGTTAGCTGGTACACAGTTACATCTCCGGGGGAAGAGAGACAATATGGGTGTACAGTGTCTCGCCTAGGAGCACAATACAACAACTTGCTGAGGGCTCCTACGCAAAACTGTGACAGATTACTTGAAACATCATACCTTGAGAAGCTGCGTTTGTCTTTCAGTTCCCACATGACTCTGTGACGTAACAGCCTGTCCCGCCATGTGCATGCGCAGCAGAGCTTTGGACAGCGGGTTCCGGTTGCACTCAGATAGCAATTCATTCTCTGCATTACTAAACTGCAAGGAACCTGCGCTAGTCTTTGGTTTCTCCTGTAGGTTAAGATACGAAAATTTAGGGATGACTGTTTGATTTTACCAGCATCATCATCTTCAACTCGGACAATGGCTGAAAGCCATTTTCGAGTTGTTGTAACGACCCAAATTCACTCCTTTCATCCATCACGCCGACACTGAATCAATCCTTTCTTCCTTCCTTCTATTCCTGTTAACTTTTACGTAAGTCTCCTTGCGTGGGGCTCAACTGATAGTTGAGAATTGGAGTCAGTTCAGTGGCCTAGCATCCAACCCCTTTATTTTCCGAGTTCAGTGGCTCACAGCCACTTTGGTTTGATCACGTAATAATTTTAAATATTATGCTTTCAATTACCTTCTGTTTTTTGGCTGATCTCTTTGGTTCACAGGGTTCTGTACAAGAAAACGAGAAACATTCAGCGGTTTGATTGTCATGCATCAATCTGGAAAGATTTTATTTTCCAATGTACACGAAAATCTCTTCCAATTTTGAAGCCTTCATGAAAAGATATTGAATACTTATTGCTTCACCTTGCCCCAAGTTGACAAGCTTTACAGCAACTCTATGTCGAACAAACAGCAACTCCATGTGCAAAGTTTCTATCATCCGCTCAAGCAAGTTAGAATCCTGATGTTCTGTGTCACCATCTTCCGTTTTGGGTTTGCTTACTCTTGAAGGCTGAAGGAAAGATGAAAACAAACAAACGGGAAATATGCCTGTTTTAAAAATACAAATTTTTAGGTTTGTTTTGCTCAGTTACAGTAGTAAGTCAGCAAGCCAGCCAGTATGTCAGTTAGTCAGACAGTGGGCGTTACTCAGACTTTATTGAGGCGTAACCTAATTCATGTTTTCTATTAAATCTGCTGTTTTCTGAACAATAACTCAGAGGGTTAAGCCTTGAGGGCAAGTGGACCAAAACAACCAATATTCATTCCCGGTTTCTGCGGCATAACGTGAATTAGAGTTTGTCAACCCCCCTTGGTCCATCGCAAGTTACCACCCCTGTATATCGACAGGATTCCTTGGCAATTTTCCAGTACCCATGTATACTCCTGGCTGGAAAGAGGCAGTGCGAGAGTAAAGTATCTTGTCCAAGAACACAACACAATGACCTGGTAAAGCTTCAAGCCCAGGCTCCTGATCCAAGCCCACTGACAGCTCATTAACTAACTCACTAACTTAGAACTAAGACCTAAATACTGATTGCTTCCTTACCTTGATCCAACTGATATCAGCAATGTTCCTCTTTCTTGTATCAATAACTGTATCACGTGCCTTGGTGATATCCCTGAGTCCCTGGTCCAGGATGCCCAGTACCTTATTGAGCACCTCTCTTACACCCACAGACACCCCACCCATGGCCACTATCATTTGTTGACTGACGTCTGTAAAAAGACTCCTCAAAGACCCAGGACCCATGGCAGGTTTTTCTGATGACTCTCCTTCAGCTTTCTCCTGCATAGTCAAATGTGAAAAAAAAAAAAAAAAAAAAAAACGAAATGTTGCGGCCACACTCCAAGCTGAATATACTTCCTTCACTCTCGCTTACAGTCTGGTTTGGCAAGTGATGGATTTTTCCCCCTTAGTTTTGGCACTTTATCACTTTTGTTCGGCTCCAAAATTTACCTTGTATATTCTGTTATATTTTACCACAAAATTTTGTTCTTCTGGGGATCATTGGTATAAGTTTCGGGTTTGATTTGTTTTCTTATTCGCAATCAAGGTTATCAGGGTCAACTCACATCGGTTAAGTTTAGATCTCCACAGTTTCCCGCAGATCATCTTCAAGTCATACAACGTTTTAGGAGTGTCTTGGCCACGTCATTTCTATTTTCTCTGCTATTACATGTACATCGTTCTCAATTTCTATTTCTTTTACCACGTCTCCCACCCCCCCCCCCTGTTCATGAAGATGTGAGATGATATCTCCATCCTTTAAGTTTCATTAACATGGTTTTTCTTCTGCTGTTGATTCTTTTCACCCAAGTATCAGTATGCATATTCTCCACACTGTTCTCTATACATTTCCGTAGGTGCTGACAAAAAGAATTTGTTTAACAATCACGAGCTTATTTAGTGAATGATCATTTTCTTTACTCTCATGACCTTCATGTTTGATTCAGGGGATGATATTGTAGGGTGAAATTACATGCTGGTCACTTTTGGGGGTTGAACGGTTAGTATCTCACCTGTTTATTATCCACCGTCTCTGGGGATACAGGAATTGTTGGTGTCTCCAAGATATCTGTGCTGCCGATCCTGGAGTTGTCAGTGGTACCTGCTTTACATTCCAACAACAGAGAAAACTTCAGTGTTACTTCAGCGCTGAGAATGGGATCAAAAAGTGCAGCATTACTCCAGGAGAGAGCTGTGTGTGCCACTGTCAGAATGTATAGCCACTGGAAAAGAATGAAGATACTGAAAATGAATGACTAGAAACCAAAGTTCGTTGACAAATTGATATCAAAATACGTACATTAAAAATTGAAAGCGAAACACGTACATTTTCTAAAGAAACTGTGGTACTGTGTCGGTGGGAGAGTATAACAGGGTAATTTAGTATTGTCAACTGAGTTGGTAACGTAAATTGGTCACCATAAAAGATCTAAAGCTGACGTTTCGAGCGTCAGCCCTTCGTCGTTCATTCTAACGAAGGGCTTACGCTGGAAACGTCTTTACGGTTGCCAATTTACGTTATCAACTCAGTTAATAATACTGAATTACCCTGTTACGTCATACACTGTTCAAGCAAATAAACAAATGTCATACTTACACGATTGAAAAATACATCATTTAACAGCTGTTTGCAGTTCTCCAGAGACGAAGACATGATTCTCTGGAAATGAGGCTTGCATTTTGACCAAAGGAATAGAGAAGCATCCACCATCATATCAATGTCTTTCATCAGGATGGCAGACTGAAAAAGAAAACAGAAAAAGTAAAACACATAGTGTACATGACTGGACATTGTGATTACTTCGAAAACTTTGTACATGGCTACGTCTACCAAGGCGTTCTCTGTGAGGTGGGGCAAGGTTTTAGCAAAACCAAAACTAAACCCTCTACACCCTGACATCAGTATGCATATTCTCCATGCTGTTCACTACACAAATCCTGAGGTGCTGACAGGGAGAATTTGTTTAACAATCAAGAGCTTCTTAATAATTGGTGATCATCTCCCTTAATCTCCTTTAAAGATCAAGTACTGTTGGAAGCAAAGCAAAACCAATGCATCTCAGAAAGAAAGATGAAGGATGCTGTCCATAAGATACTGTAAGTCTCTATCCTGTAGATAGCGCAGTACGTTTTGTGTAATATTCTCTGCTGGATAGCGATTTATTCAATTGGATAGCGTTACCGGCCCCTTGGAAAACTAAGCCCGGTTTCAAAACACGATTTCCCCCTGAAAAAGCCTTAACTAACTACAATGTGATTTACCTTAAAAGGCTCCTCAGAGCATGACTGAATAACATCCGCTAAATGCGTTAGTTCCTCAAGCGGACTTCCAGTTCTCCCTGCAAAACAGCAAAAGTTCAAGATCTTTTGGTAGAACATTGCAATTCATTTATCAGAGGAGTATGATGCTCAAGACTTGTACAATTTGTTGCTAAGTGTTACCAATGTCTTACTATTGAAAAGAAAAATATGCAAACCCTGCAGAAAGAAGCATGTTGACTAAATTAAAAAGGGCAAAGGAAAATTTCATTGGATTGTCATGCCAATCAGTCATGAATTTTGAGGTTATATAGTTATATTACCACTATTTCACAAGAGTAAAGCTCATCTTCAAGGGATGACTCTCTTATCTTGGGGATGGATAAGTACATGAACATGTATCAAGTATCAACGTTCTGAGGTAATAATTATGGAATATTTAGGATCTTACAACTTATCTGGAGATGCATAAAATAAATAAAACATAATGGGAGAAGATAGTACTTATAGTAATAATATAGTATAGATTGACACGAAATGTTGCGGACCGCATCACAAAATGATGTTCTGTCCGTATCAAATTTTAACCCCTGTGATGACGCATGTCGTTTTTGATAAGAGTACAGACCACACTAAACCACTGTCGATTTGCTTTTTACCACAATATTGACGTCAGATAAAACGATTCTTTCAGCGCCTGACCATTGCGTGACACGTTGACCAGTGCAGCGTTGTCTTAACAACGGCAAATTGGTCACTCAGATTGTAACATTACTACCAATTGCGGTAAAAACATCAAATATTTCTTCACACACTTACCATGCGCATGGGGCCCTGTTTCACCCTCGTCTGCTTGTGCAGGTGTTTTCTTTGTTTTTTTAACAGTATTGTAAAACGGCTCCAGCGCCAGCATGAGCTGCAGTGTTTTGATATCCACCAAACTGTTAATATCACTCTGCTCTTGTAGAAGCTGAAGGGTTGGCTCAATCAGCTGTCCAAATGGTTCCCAGTGTTCATAACTGAATGCATGCTTGACAAATTTGACCAGAGCAGGGAGGGGTACACCATTCTCACCTGGAAGAGAAAACGAGATAGTGAAGGTTTTTTTGCTTTGTTACGATTCACCCTTTGAAAAGAAGTGAGTCTGAAACTCATAAATAACTGTTTCTGTATGTGTAGAGAATTGTTAATGGCGCATTTGTGAACAAGGTGAGAGAGGTGATGACGAGGAGTGATGAGGGAAGGATTCAAGGATATGAGGGAAGGGAAAGCATTGGTAAAGAGGAACAATGAAGAACAGTGGAGGAAAGAAGAGAAGGACTGGTGAAAGAAGGGGGAAGGGTTACAAGTGAGAGTGAGAAAATAAGGAGGAAAAGGAGGCACAAAAGAACTGACAAGAGCTGGAGAGGGGGGAGAAGATGACAACAAAAGTACAGATTAAATTACAATTAATTTAATATTAAACATGACCATGAAAACGAATGAAATGATATTATTGGGTTTAACCACAACCTCCAACTGTACACAGGTGATGACTGATGATCATGATCACGATGGAAATGAAAATTATAAAAAGAAGATGAGAAGCTGACAAGATGATGAGAGTTGAACCAAAGGGCAGAAAACAGGTAAGCAGAAGAGAACAAGAAAGTTGAGGAGGAAAAGATGCACAAAATTTCACGTTTACCTTTGGCCACAAGCTCCATGATAGAGGTGTTCTGCAGCTCCCACACAGAAGGATGAATTACTCCGTCATGTTTCAATGCCTGTTTTATTCCTCCACCGCCAGCAATTATCTCCATTCCTGCAAAGAACAGCTCAGCACACACATCTATGGCTGTGTCTTCTGCGTCAGGAGTTGGTGCTTCGCAGTGAAGTGTACGTCTGTATGTCTCACTGAGGGCCTCTAATATGGCCAAAAATTTGGCAGCCGTGCCTTGAAGGTCTGTCATGAGACGTTCAGTTGGAGTCCGTGGCCATGCATGCTGGAGAGGAAAAGAGAAAAGGTTTGTTTGTCTCATTACAGGATAATTAAATCGTGAGTTCAACAAGGTAATTAAAGATGTATAAAATATTGGATTGAAAGGTTAGCTAGTCCCTACATCTGGGCAGTTAGCAAAGCCGCAAAACTCTAAAACAAAATTTATCATTTTTCAAATCGTCACTCTTAATCCCCACAGTATCAACAAAAGCTTTTCGTTCAATAAATTTATTTTTGTTTTTCTCTGTACCATGTTCCCACTGATAGCGTAGCTCCATTTTCTGCTTGATAACACGCACACAAACCACAACTCCTTCATTCGCTCTAACGAAGGGCTAACACTCGAAACGTCAGCTTTGAAACTCTTTACTATGGCCAATTTATGTTTTCAACTCAGTTGATAACTAAATTATCTCACTTCACATAGTTACATACATAGAATACATACAAACATACGTATGAACATGTACGCACTAATGCAGCTGAACATGTACCTACCAAAGTATCCCCGTAATAAGATTACTTACATGAGCAAAATCCTTGAGGTTAGGTTTTGTCTTTGGACGCAAAAGACCTTTTGGTCTTTTACGAGTCTCAAACACCACCCTCTTGAATATCATGACTTGCATCTTTGTCTTGGCTTGTCGAAATGCTGCTTCACTCTCTGGAGTGGCCTCTGATGTACTCATCTTTTCAATTTCCTGCAGTTCATTCACCTTGCCCAAGCCTCTTTTAGCAAATGCTTCTGCGTGCATGGGTACTTTGAGATCAAAGTAACACTGGCAGACAGCAGTGTACAGGGTGCTACGCCATGTTAAGTATTTGACAGTGAGGAGAGGAACAGATGATTCCAAGCACATGCAAGCCCAGAGAAGGAACTCTAGAGCCTTCAAAAAGAAAAAAATGGATTCAAACCACTTGATGGTAAAGTGATACAGTTTGTCATGACAAATTTAAACCTTCCATCACCCTTACAAATCTTTTAGAATTTAATGACCCAACAGTAGCTCACATGTAGAACAGCATTTTTTTTCTAAAAGACACACCCCAATTTCAGCACTAACTTTCCACCTGAAGACAGAATTTTCTTGAAAAAACCATGTGCCTTATAACTGAGAAACTACAGTACTACATATAAACATATATCAGTAGCCAGGAGGGTTATAAGTTTCTCATTTTGAGAGATAACTATTTTTTAGGCTGGACCTTAAAGAGGAAAAAGAGTAGATTGCTTTTACACTAGATGGTAACAAGTTCCAAAGTTCAGCAGTCCAGCCATGTTCATGTAAAATTTAAAAAAATGATTCCTCACAATCATAATCATCATTACATTCACACATCTGTTGATAATATTGAGCTGCTATCATCAACAGCAAACTATCAGACAATGTGGCCATGAAAGAGTTTGTATTGGTTACATGTAAAACAAAGTGTCATTAAACCAACAAAAAAATATTAAACCAAATTGATGCAATTCCAAAATAAATTTGGGACTCAGTTGATATTTCTGTTTATTACAATTTTATGTGTAGTTGTGGTTGATTTCTAACCTTGCTGCTGTGTCCACAAGCCATTAGATGTCTGCAGATGGAGTAAATATGCACAGTACCTGATAAAAAAGAATAAATCCACAGTCATATCAATGTTGAGAAATTTAAAGAAACAACAGCAATCTACTGTTCAATTTGCTCTTAAATTTAGTTACCAAGCCACAAATTGATCATTTTTTAAGATTTTGTCTTTTTTCCATTTAGAAAGACATGAAAAATCTAGTGTATTGCTAAACTTATGCCATCACTGTACAAGTACATTTCAACTCACATAACAATCAAGCTTTAGCAAAATAATTTTCACAATTCTGTGCTGTAACATGTGGAAAAAGCGAACCATACATTGCAATCAGAGGGGAAATTTGCTAGAGCTTATAATAATGTAACTTACATGTAAGTAATACTATGTGGCAATGTTAAGCCACCGCTAGCAAGAACAGAAAATTTCTGCTTACCATTGAAGACCAGCCAACACAATTCTTCTTTACGCAAGGAGGTTTGAGTAGTCAATCGTAGAACTTTTAATGCAGCCACACACTGAGAAACTATATCAGGATTCTAAATTGAAGCATGAAGAGGGTAGTCAATATTATCATAGTTCAAAGCATGTTAACCCTTCAACTCCCATGAGTGACCAAGACAGAATTTCTCCTTACAATTTCAATACAATATAAACCAGATAAGTGATGAGAATAAAGAAAAATATCAATTTGGGATAATTAGTTGATCCAATATTAAATTCTCTCAACTAACATTATAAGAATTGTATGGTTGACAGTAAGGAGAATTACAAATTTGATCTGGGAGTTAAAGGGTTAATGATAATGATTATGAAGCATGCTAGATTTCTAATGTAATTATGAGAATTGTTAGGTTTTTGGACTTGAACTTCCAATATATGAACAGAAGTCAAAAGATTGCATGTGCACCCTCACTGAGCTCTTGACATTACACACAGTTGTGATTATCCTCAATTACTGACTTTGATAATCAACCTTCTCAATTATCTTTGTTAATTATATAATACTACTGTAGTAAAGTAAAATTCAAGTCTTGCATAACCAACATCTCTAGTAGTTCTTTCCGTATGCTCTGTTTTTTCCTTCCTATGGCAATTACAATTAGTCATTTTTTAACTTCCAGTGTACAGTCATATAGCAAAGTCACAGAACACACCTAACAAATGACACATGGTGTTCGCATTTTTGTCAAATACAAATTAATTGGCTTCTTATTCTCAACACAATAATTGCTATTATATTTTATATAATAAGCTCAGTTATACATGCATTCTGATTGGTTCTCACTTATGACCTATTGGAGGACAGACGTATAGATGACGTCATCATTAAAACCTTTTTTAATTCTTTATTATATAAAACAAATAGATTCCAAGTTACTGTGCATCTGTTCAGTAATAGATCACAGAGGACATCAAAATGTGGTAAGAACATCAGTGCCACTTTTTTGTTCTTACATTTATCTTTTTTCAAATCGTCACTCTTAATCCCCACAGGGATTTATTACTGAACAGATGCTCGGCAACTTGGAATCTATTTGTTAAATAGAGTCAAATTATGTGTAGTGTGTTCAAAATTGACCACTGACTACCAACCACACATTAACATATGTACAATTCAATACCAAACTTATCTCCCAGTAAGAAGTGACCAAGTATTTGAGCAGCCGTTTTAACAACTAATGAAAACATCAGTTGTCAAGATGGCGTCTGGAATACCTGACTAGCATTTCTTCTCAGGATTTGGCTGCCAAACTTAAATTTAAGTTAAAAACCAGCCCTTTAACTCCCATGAGTGACCAAGGCAGAATTTCTCCTTACAATATCAATACAATATTGAGCAGACAAGTGATGAGAATAAAGAAAAATATAAATTAAAGGATTTTAAGTTGATCAAAGACCAAATTCTCACAACTAACATTATAAGAATTGTAAAGCAGACAGTAAGGAGAATTACTAATAAGATCTCAGGAGTGAAAGGGTTAATATATAGCTGCAGTGACATCTGGATTAGTCCCAGTTTCTCTTTCTGTGGTTTAATTCCTGACTAGGCACATGTTCAAAACTACTTTCTCAGAATAGTAATTAACCCTTTTAAGTCCCTCTAATGACCCAGAAAGAATTTCTCCTTACACTATCGATATGATATCAAGCAGAAAAGTAATGAGAATAAAGAAAAATATCAATTAGGGGATTGGTTGATCCAATTCCAAATTCTCCAAACTAACATCACATAAATTGTTTGGCAGACAGTAAGGAGAATTACGAATGAAACCTTGGGAGTTAAAGAGTTAATGCAATTCATACCAAGTAGTTCAAGTGTTCAAAGAAGAGAGAATAAGCATTTAGTAATCCTTTAACCCTTTCACTCCCAGAAGTGATTAATGTGTAACTTCTCCTAAGAGTATCCCTACATCATCCAAACTTACAGCTAAAGAGAATACATTAACTAAACAGGCAGAAGATGTTATCTTAATCGAACAACAAATTCTCATAAGTAATTAACAAGGTAATGTGTAGTCACAAGAGGGGAGAATTGACGATCAGATCGTGGGAGTTAAAGAGTTAAACCCTAACATCAGTATGCATAATTTGTGATTAAAAATAGTTTTTCTATGGTGCTGACAAGGAAAATTTGTTTAACAATCAAGAGCTTCTTTAATTTGTGATCATTTCCTTGATTCTCGTGACTTAAATATTAATGGATCAGGGGTGATCACATCAGGAGAAATTAGATGCTGGTCACTCTTAGGGGTCAAATGGTTGACAACATAATTACACCTAAAAATATGCAAATTTGGAAATTATTTCATATGAATATAGATATTAAAAACATTCAAATGGTTACATCATATTTAACATAGACTATGACTTATAATTTTATTAAAAGTATAAGATAACATGTTTAAGTAATATCTACAAATATTTTCTAGAAAGGTATGTGCTAAGTTCCCTAAAAATTCCTAAGTTGCAAGATGCCGGCATGGATCCACATAACTGGATAAAAGATTCGTTAAAGCACTAAGTAGTTTTCCAATTCAGAAGGGCTTCCCTGTCATTGTTACCTTGCAAGCTACAGTGTGCTTGCCACTAAGTTGGTAAAATGAAAAGGTGCATAATTGTACATCAGTTAACAGTACCTGCAGTTTTGGGTCCTCAGCAGTGTTCACATGATAAAAACAAATAGCTTCACCGAGAGCCGATCGCAGCTGTCATGATTAAAAATTATATTTAGTTTAAAATTTTGCAACAACAACAACAACATGAACACTTTTTTTATCTCTTTCTTATGATATACTGTAAAACAAAATCACAGAATTAAATTTAAGTAATGTTTCTCAGGACTAATAATGTAAAGCCAGCTGAGCTACGGAAATGGTAACTACTGTAAATAATGGGAAATCATCCTATAACCCATAAGACCCTATGCACAGTGTTACATTTTTTTTTTATATTTTTTTTAAAGGTGTTTTCTTGTGTGAATTTAGGGCCAAGTACCTTTGAGCTGTAATGTATTAGAAATAATTTTTAAAAGAATGGGTGTTAAATAACTGGACCATGAAATATAGAAAGAGCAAGGTGATAAAAATGCACTTCTCTTCACGACAGAAAAATAATTAGCTCCTGCTTGTGAAAAAATTATCTGCCTGGATAAAATATATATAACAGATGTAGAATTTTGTAATCCATGATGCCTTTCAGGCTTAATACACGTATATGACAAGTGAAAGACTTTATCAGAATTGGGATTATATAACTAAACAAGTATTTCACTTACCACCATTGTAGCAGAAGCCAGATTGTCAAGACCATTTGGCAAATACATCTTGTAAAATTTATCTGCATCCAGCTCTGCAGTCTCACTAAGTGTGAGATTCCTCTGAACATGTTTAGCCAGATATCTTCCATAGCAGTGAAACTGCGCAAGTTTGTATTCCTTCAGGATGTTAGAATATGTACAAATTAAGGCTGGTAAAAAAGTACATTGAAGAATCATAGTTGTCACAAACTTTCCACCCAATCTTGTTATTTGTTTTTTTTTCAGTATAAAACTGCTGGAATACTAAAGATGTGGCTCAAATTGTTCAGTGTCTTAAAAAGAAGTTAAGGGCTTTCATTAATTCTCAGATTTTTTCACTTACCACCTTTCAAAGAAAACCAAAGTTGACACAAACATAATTACATGACAAATATTGGGGTAATAATATTATACACACAGTTATGCCTTCCATGAAAAATGAGAAAAGTAAACTGCCAAAAATTTTAACAACTCCAACTTTTCAAGTATGTCACTACAAAAAAAAATTTAAAAAAAACACTTGCTAAGGTAAGGAATTAAGTTGGTCAATCCTGTTTCTACAAACATGAAAAGCATGCAGACATAGACAAACATGTAACTTTTTCATAAGACTGCAATGCAATTTGTTTACCTTGACAGAGAAAAGGAAATCTCCAGTGTTTAAAAGCTTCTCTTGATAGTAAGATTGCGGTAAACGGCTCTCATATGTGTTCCACATGGAAAACAATGTGTTTGACCTTTCCGTGAATTGATACAAGGAAACAAAAATTACTACAAAATAGTGGATCCTCAAATGTTACTACGCAAAAATACATCAAACACTTTTTCGTGATCATTCTGACATCTTAAGAGGAATATATATAAAGGCATTATGCACAAATATATTTGATTTTATGATTCCAAAGACAGATCAGTACTGTAACGTTGTTTCACAGTTTTACATATACATCCTCAAACTGGTTGATAATGAGAAAGTCAAAACAATTATAAATAGGCAATACAGTTTTGAATTCAAACACAAGATTCTTAAGACAGTGGTGCGCAGAGAAATTTGCGGTGATCGGTTAACAGAATAAACTTTCAGATGGATGCAAAAGTTCAACGCAAAAATCAACAGACAAACAAAACACGCCAAACATTTACGTTGTACATGTACAGCTATACGTGTACATACCCTCTTGCCAGAGGTTCTTCGTCATTCTTCTTGGTCTTCAGTCCTGGTTCTGATTTCTTTTTTATGTATTTAATAAATCTTGAAAGTTCTTGCTCAAATGCTACCAATACTGGACTGATTTGTTTGAGATCTAGACATGACAAACATGAATTGCTAATAAATCTATCTTCTGCTGGTGTCCACTTCTCAGTTATAACATGAAGACAACATTTTGATAAGCTATCCTCTGCTTCCTATATGTAGTAAGTACTACGGCAGCTTTTTGTAGCAAACTGTATAAAAGGGTATTTTAACGTTCAACTGTGTTAACAGGAAATCTAAAGAACAGTACAAGACTGAAAATAATTTTCGATCATCCAGAACGCTATCGAAGCTTACCGCCATTCGTTGTTCCATTAGATTGCAAACCATTTCTTCCGTTTCCACCGACGAAAGACGTATTCAAGTCTATCACGCTTTTTCCTGAAGTAGACAGCTCCATGTTAAACCAAAATCGCCCTTATCAAGCTTGGTTAACAGCTGAGTTTTGAATGTTGACAAGACGCCATTTTGAAATACAGAGCCCGTCTCCAAGGACCAAGTAACCTCGCCTGATCCGCGATCCTTGGAGCCGCTTAGTGTCCACTGCACCGCCCGCGGTCATTCCGTAACAAGAGGGCCCTGGAAGATAGATTGGTACCATGAATTATATCAAATATTTTTATCAATCTATATATTTTCTTTTTTGGCAAAGTAAAAGTTTGAATTACGTCCCAGAAATGATCACCGAGAATGGCGCTTGCCGTCAAAGGAGGAAACACTCAAAAAAGCACAACTAAATTAATGACCAAGTTTGGATGTACTTCAGGAAAATTTTCCTCCAAATGTTAACTCTTAAAACCCTGAGAGTGACTAGCATTAAATTTCTTCCTACATTATCACCGCTGAATCACACGTTAAGGTCTTGAGAATAAAGGAAATGATCACCAACGAAAGACGCTTTTGACTAGTAAACAAATTCTCCTTGTCAGCACCTTAAGAAATTTATTAAGGCCAGTATGGAGAATATGCATACTGATGTTAAGGTGTAAAGTGTCAATAATGAGGATATATCCTCGATTCCAAATGCAAAATTCTGATTGGATTTTTTTTGCTATTCCAAGTAATAGGCTTCGGGAAAAAGTAGCACAAAAAAATAAAATATAATAAAAAAAATGATAATCTCGGATATGCCCATGTTTTTGAACTGTCATACAGTTTACCTTTAACTCCCACAAGTAATAAACATGAAACTTCTCTCAAATTTATCAGGTAAAAGCTGCTATCTTGATCTAACACCAAATTCTCATAACTAATTTACAAGGAAATGTTGAGCAGCTAGAGGGGAAAATAAACAATCAGATCTTGGGAGTTAAATGTTTAATCTTCTATTGGATCATTCTCTATCAGCTGTCAAATACACATGGCTACCGAGCGGAAGTCGCCGGTATAATTTTAAGCGCAATTGGCATCGATAAACAGCCTTTAAGTAGGATTTGAACATGTTATTTCATGGTACAAGCCTTATTGGAAAATCTCATTACGATTTCAGGTGATAAAAAATTTGAAAGTTCATTTTATCGCCAATTAAGATCTGCCTTTGACGTCATAGTCTTTTTTCGCCCGGAAAAGGTTAAGTGATACTCTCAATCAAATATGGCAGAGTCACGGCGTCAAAATACCATAATATAGCTGTACACCCAAGCTAAAAAGATAAGAGCGACCCCAGGACGAATAATACGCTTTTTTCTTTTTTGAATAAATATTTTACTAAGATAACTCGACGGATAAAGTGCTCTTTAACAAGAAGAAGTTCTTAATAATGTCTTGCGGATATCTACGGTTTATCTCGGACCGACGGTGAGTACTTCATAAAACTGTAAATAAATTGTTTCAGTTTTCGCCCCATGACACCGAATCTTCGTGTATTTAATCGCCGTTTTCCATCTCAACAATGATTTAACCGCTAGCTAAATTGGAAATCGACAGGCGACATCAAATATAGGAGATTTGAATCGCTAAAAATTGCTCACGTAAAACTTGTATGTTTATCGAAATTTAATAACATCGTTCACTCTTCTCGAACGATGTAAATATTTCCAATTGTTTTTTGTCCAATACAATTCTTTTGCAATAAATAATTGTTATTTACACCTTTATAAACATGGTTTTTTATTTTCAATTAATTTCAACCCGCAAAAAAACCTAAGGGAAAAACTTTGCATAAAATGATTAACAGATTGTATACAAAAACTTTTACTTCGCATGCAGACGCTACAAAATTTTAACCCACAGAAGAAATGTCACTCCATTTGAAAATTTGTCCCACAGAAATTGTAACATTGAGATCAGTGAGATCAGCCTACCGGCCCGGCTGTGAATTTAGATAAAGTGTAACCTCTTTTGAATCAAATTGGCAAACATTTTGCGCTTCCGTCCCGAAAAATCGGCTCGGGTCGGAATGAAAACAATGACGCAGTGTGCCTCTCGGCCAAGAGTGTTGAAATCAGTTTCATCTCTCAATAAAAGAGATAATTGGAAGCAAAGAAGTTGAAAGCGTCGATTTCTTTTATCACGACTACTGTACGCTATTACTTTATGATAATGAGCAACCGGTTTTAAAAATCAATTAGCATAAGTTATTTGGTGTTAACTTTGTTTAAATCAATAGTATCACACAACGAAATCAGAGCGAGCAGCTCAAAGCAAACAGGCCAAAGTGCAGAGCCCTAATGATGAGCTCAGTGTAACACACGCGCACAGAACTCTAGAACCTGTCACAGCTACGTGGTAAAGACCTGCCCGGTGAAATTCTTTATCAAGGGGTAACAGGACAGCATCCGGAAATCGTGGAATAAAACGAACGTTCCTTCAACTTAATAACTCAGGCCCCATTACATAATTCCGTCGTCAAGCTACGAGTTGAGAATCGAAGGTAAGCTGTATGTAGTAACTCGTTTGTTTTCTTTAGCCATTAGGCGATCGGACGATATGTAATTTTTTGCAGCTTGCCCTTCCATTGACAAAGGCCTGTCTTTGAATACAGCTACTCTGTCTTAACGGCTCTTAAAAGTTTGCTTTCGACCCCATTTTGCCACCCAAGAAAGGTGCAGCTTGATACAAAGTTATTTCGGGGCATCACTTACAAATTCCGGATCAACGTTGAAAAGAACCGATGGCAATTTATTAGGCATTGTTCTAAACTCGTACATGAAAAATTCTCTGAATTCTGTAAATGAATCTACAATACCGGTATATGTTTATGATTTAATTTAAGCGAAAATATTTTGTGGGAAACGAAGACCAAAATTTTGTAACCCTGTCTGAAAGAAACTGTAAACAAACAGCGCAATAACAAACCCATTCGTCTCACACATGGAATCTATTCCGGAACGAAATGGGTTCCGTACGAACACCTTGACAGAGACGTGATGTAATTTTAATCACAAGTGTTGGTGAAAATGCAGATATGCCTTTTGTTTCTCGAGGAACTTTGCTTGAAAGTAGCAGATCAGATCAGAACGAGTTAACTAAGCTGATCTAGAAGATGATTAGCAGAACTGGAAATGAAATTTGTTGTGATAAAAATCAAATTTGTGCATTGCGGTTCTTTTGGGATTTCATTTGCGTAATTCCGCACTCATGTAATAGAATTTTTGGGTGCCTCATATTAGACGGGGATTTCTATCATCTAATAGACCCTCAGGGAAAGAAGAAAATTGAATTTTGCTTACAATGCTACATTTGCCGATATTTTTATTCTCAGATGTTTATGCAAGCTGAGAATTTTTATTCTGCCAAATCGTTTATCTACCAAATGTTGGCGGGTTACTATTATTGCTGGTGAGCGCATTATTCGTTCCGGCAGCTTGCACGGCAATCTGCAAGATGACAGAAATCTGGTATGAAGGTATCGATGGTATCAGAGTTTTTTATTATTTTTTGTGTATAAATTTGAAACTTCAGAAATTTTTGCTTTGTTAACAAAGAATGAAATTAGGCTATAAGACATTCGCGGGCAGAAACGTAATTTGGGCCCCGCAAGGGCTCAGAGTCATTTTAGCCCGAGCCACCAGCGGAGGGTCAAATAACTCTAAGGAGGGCGCAACTCATTCATATCTATGCCCAAGAAAATAAACCGTACTACTATTATTAATTATTATCACTTTGGATAGCAATGAGAGGATAAAAACTCAACAGAACAATATGAACAATCACGCGGGCATGCAAGCTGGCTAAATACTGTTTTGGCCCGCCAAAATCTCCACGTTAGCCCGCAAAATGCGCCACAATGCCCGGGAAAGTGACGATATTGCCAATATTACTTATGTTTCGTTTCAAAATCATTTGCTCTTATCTCTCTCTTGAAAGGAGAGTTACTCATGACACCAAGAAGACATTTTCATTTCCGCGTGGCTTCCGCGTTGTAAACTAAAAATCAAAGTAATAATAGCGGTTACTTCACACAAAAAATAATCAGCGTCAGAGGGACCCGATGAGGATTTGAGTATAATTATGTAAACGGCCTCGATCGGGGGAAAGTGTGATTACTTCTAACCTATTTTTATCTGTGCATCTAATTGGTTGAAAAGGTGCTGCTAGTTTTTTTTTTTTTTAGACAAATGCAGTTCCGGTTTACTTGGTTACTTAGTTGAAAATGGTTCTTCACGCTTAAACTCCCATTAGTAACCAATTCACCATTTCTCCTTACAATGTCAATACAATATCAAGCAGAAAAGTGATGAAAATAAAGAAAAATATCAATAAGGGGATTATTAGTTGATCCAAGAACGAAGTCTTCGAGCTATCATCATACATATTGTATGGAAAACATTTAGGGGAATTAGTAAGGATATCGTAGGAATGAATGGGTTAAACGCCTAAGCGCAGTGTCTTCTTTCCATTTAGATGACTTCAAACCGAAGCAAATCCACGTCGTCCTCAGAGAATGGCATGCCGGGATCCCTGGTGTCCACAGTCGCGTTTTTGCCGCACAAGACTGGAAAAGAGAAACAACGCGCCTCAAATTCTAAATCTTGCCTCGTTAAGGTTGCTCTTGTGGCCTTGCCAATACTCCTTCTGTTAGCATTGGTTATTGTTCTCGTGATTCTCTTGACTAGTGGTGATAAAAGAGACGATCCAAAGACCAACGGTCTTCGTGCTGGTTGTAGCTACTCTGAAGAAGCCAAACGCATTGGTTTGAATGTATACCTCGAAGAACTTTTTCATAAACACTATGAACTAATGCCGGAGAAGATAGGGTCGAAAGGGAAGGTGACTTTCGATGAGATTACGAAACATTATCGACCTTATGATCCAAGTCCGAGTGCTGTCAAGAACTTCACCGATGAAGTTCGAAGGCTGTACGAGAAGATGAAAGAGATCATCGGAAAGTCGGATGGATCACGTTTGAAATTACGTGAAAACAAAGCTATGTATGTGGCACAATATTTGCTGAAGCATTCCTTCGACTGGGGTCCTTACGAGCGAGATTATTACACGGGTGACTGGATGTTTGAGCCAAATTTGTATTGTTGGCAGCCAATTTGCGGTGTGCTTGAAAACTTTTTTACCGTGATACCCTATTTCAAGCCCGGTAATCTCCAACAATTGAAACGGCTTGAAGAACTCTTTAAGAAACACAACGAAACAATTTCACGATACATTGAAAATCTGAAGCTGGGCGTGGCAACTGGAATAGTCCGCTCTGTGGAGTCTTGCAAAGCTGGGATTATTGCAATTAAGAGAAATTATTATCAATTTGCTGTGCACAACGAGACAGGTAAGATTCGAATCACCGAAAGATACTTACTAAGGAGGGATAGTTCGTTCTGATGAGGCTGGTTTTCACTTTGGAGGAAATTGCAGGACTTTTCTTAAACAGAGAGGCAAACGTCTGACTTCCCGTCTGTCTGTCTATCTGTCTACCTGTCTGTCTGTCTGTCTATCTATCTGTCCATCTGTCTGTCTGTCTGACTATCTGTCTGTCTGTGTGTCTCTCTATCTGTCCATCTGTCTATCTGTCTGTCTGACATTCAGGCCACTTGTCCTTCCGCCCATTTATCTCTCTCTTCACTTATGTCCGTCTGTATTTTTTATGTCTGTCAGTTTGTTATTAAGTGATCCTGTCTGTTTCTGAAGCAAATCTATTTATTATTCAGGAATTTTCAACGAGCAATTAGGGAAAAAAGTCCTCTCAGAAGGATTCACCTCAAAAATCACGCCCGAAATGAACGCCACGTGGTACGAGACAAGAGGCGAAGGCGTATACCAGTCCCTCCGACGATTTCTGTTGGTTTACTTGGGCGAACCGCTGACAAGACTTATACGGTATGGGACATCAGTTGCTCTAAACCTGGTATAATATTCTGTTGGGTTGTCAGAGGGTAATAAAAATTTAATGCCTTCGGGAATCAGATAGATACGTTCGCTCCAGTGCATTTTTAGTGCAAAGTGTGACCATGATTCTCAGCGCCTCAAATTTCATTGGTAGTTGATAACTGAACTGCTACTACGGCCTTTAAGCATCTAAGCATGCGCACTGAAATTCAGTGACAGATTTTAACATCTGACATTATTATCTTGTTAAAATCAAATTTCCAGTGAAAAATTCAACTCAAAATTTCGAGCGTGCTTGCCAGCGTTTGCCGTCTGGTTGAAATTCTCGTTAACCTGGGTCTAATTTTTTTTCTGTGCGAGCGAGCGAGAGTGGTAATTAAAGTAATCACGTCAGCCAATCCGGATTGAGAGCCAACCAGATTTCACAGTGAATATGCTCACTTAAAAAAGGCGGGAAAATGTAAGTGACCGAGTCGTGATTGCTCTGATTCTGTACTTGATTGGTTAATAAAATGCTGCTGATTTTCTAGACCAATCACAACACCTAATGGCAAAAAACTGAAATCGCCAGATTACCGGCCTCTACCCTCAACTGAATATTGTACTGTAGATATGATTCCTAACTGATAAACATGTGACATCTCTTACTGATTTTAGATACCTTGAAGAGGAACATATCAAATATTGTTACGATGGTGCAACGGGAATAGCGAAATTACCCTTAAATGCCGTATACGCCGGTGGCGTTCGTGATCCATCTCGCCCGACTACTGGAAGCTTACCGAATGGAGAAAAATTCAATGCAAGTACTTCGTACAAAAGACTACTGTCATTTTTCACCAGTACCTCCATTTCTCCAGATAAATTGAGAGCGATGGGTTACAAAAAACTCGAAGCTTTACTCAGCGAGGTATTTATGTTTGTCTTTGCTGCGAAAGGGAGAGTTATGTGCTTGATTGTGAATCGAAAGACCCCGCTTTTAACTCTAAAAAGATGTACTGTGGTGAATTCTTTGAAACAGTTGAATAGAATAGTTGAATTATCACGGTACCTTTTCCATCCAGGAGCACAGGGGTTCCAGCAAACTGTCTGGGGGGGGGGGATACAACCTTTGCAATAATAAAATTTTCTTTAAAATAAAGGATTATATTCTGAAAATTATATTTAAAAGATATCGGAATAAAGGCGAGGATCTGACACGTTTTCTCTTCATACTGCGAGAATGTAGGACCTACAAGGTTTCATATTAATGAAACACTTAGTAAAGAAAGTTTTCGAACATTTGGAGTGGACAAAAATCAAGTTTCTATTATAATAATTCGAACCCAAACCAGTTTTGCCCTCACGGCTGAATCCGATAACAAAGCAGTTGAGTTACATAAAGCAAATCGGCAAGCGAAGCCATACAATATGTTAACTCTTTACACCCTAACAGTATGCATCTTGTCCATGTTGTTCTCTATACATTTACTTAAGGGCTGACAAGGAAAGTTTGTTTAACAATCAACAGCTTAATCTTGAGTTTATGATAATTTCCTTTATTCTCCTGACCTGACCTGAGTGGTTTAGAGGCGATTATGTAGAGAGAGACTAGATGATAGTCACCCTTAAGGGCCAGAGCGTTTATTTGAAACTAGTGTCTTGCACACGGCCCCGATCAGTCAGTGTCGGAAGCGCATATTTTGTAGATGTAAAAGGGAGGTGCAGCGGTTTATGGATTTCTTTTCATCAAAGGTAAAGAATCTTGCGAAGCAATATACCGGAACCAAGGACGAAGACCAGGCTGTCGTTGAGTTCAGAGACGTTCTCAAATCACGTGACATGTTCTTTAACCGCGATTCTTTCCCCAGTAACGAGTCTGGGGATGAAGCATATATGAAATGCACTGACACTGAGGGAGCGCGCGCGTTTTGCCCTGTGCGCTGGAAAGCGCTACAGAAGTGGATCAACTACACAAAACACGTATGTAAAACTCTTGTCAATTTCTATTTGCACCGTTAAAGTAGAATCTTAGAGGGGCATCAACGTCAGTCAAAAAGAAAAAAAATTTTGTTTAGTTCTTTTGGTTTTCAACCGCTTTATTTATAAAGAAGGGCCAATCTTTTGGGAAATTCTCATTACCATTAAAAATATTTCATTTGATAAAGAATAACCTATTTTCAGAACAACAACGAGTCTTTGATACTTAAAAGTAGTGTGCTCTGCTTCATTTAAAAAGGTTGCTGAAGTTCTGACACCCAAGATAAAAAATCTCTTCTACGATTCCAATTCGAAGAAAACGACACCATCTTGTGGTATTTCTGTAAAAGGCGACTACAAGCCTGATGTTTGTTTCCATGGTTACGAAATGGGTTGCCCAGCGAGCCAGACACTGCCGTTCTTTATGGACGATTTTGGGCCAAAATACACAGAGTTTACAACGACATCTCATGAACAGCTTCCAGGACATCATTTAGAGGTAAGAGAAGCTGGATGGTGTCTGTTTCTTTCATGCATGAGTGCGAGCTAGAGCATTGAAACTGCTCTCCTCTCTTGCATGTTTTTTTTATATATATTCCCCTACAGTTGAAGCGGGTCGTGTCAGAGCTGTACACAGTTGACAAAGCAAGGAGCAATGACGATTTCTTCCCAACCCCACCCTTCTCGGTAGCGTCTTACCTGTGCTTATTCCAATTGCGACATTGTGTATACTGGTTCTGCTCTCTGTTTTCAAGTGCTCTTCTTTTTCTGATTGCCTTTTTTTCTTCTGCAATTGCTGGATTTATTTTCAGCCTATGATCCCTCCTACCTCGATTTTTTGTATGTGTTGTGGTTTTTGTTCTGTGTCCTTGAAATGCGTTCAACTCTGTCTTGAAGATTTATCACTCAAGCAGACAGTCTACCACAAGCCCTTCCAGCCCTACCTACTTTCTATTGAGATTCGAAAGACACCCATTACGTCCTGTGATTGGTATAGAAAACGTAAGCCACCCTGTCAGCCATTAGATACAAAAGTAAACCAATCCAGACTAGGTTACGCGCACTTTTTGCGCCTCATTGGTGCATGGTGGTTATTTCTTTTGTTCCTATCTGCCGTCGTTATTATTTTGGTGGTGGTTCTGCAACATCCACCCAAAATGCAATTTACATCATACCTTAACGTCCCCGTGGGTAATTTCCCTCACTTTCCCTGAGTCCATTGCGAAAGTGTCCGACAGTCATGATTTGTGACTCTCTTTTTAATCTCAGGTCGGAGGTTTTGACGAGAATTTTCAAGATCACTGTGAGGATGCAATATCCTGGATATCTGCTGAAAACTATATTCCCCCTTTCACCGAGGGATGGGCAACCTATGTCGAATATCCTTTGATGGCCAAAGATACCAATTCCTACATCAATGTATTGGATAAGAACATTTTGTTACAGAAATATGGGATGATGAAATATCAGGTAACTCATGCCCAAATGACACGTGTATTGTTTGCTATAGTGAGGCAGTGTGGCCTAGCGGTTAGGGAGCTGGACTTGTATCTGGTGGTCCTGGATTCAAGCTCTCCATTCTTCTTCTTACAAGATTTGTTCTCGGTTGTCTTGGGTTCAACTCCTTGGCTGCACTTTGTATATAGCCAACTATAAATCTATAGCAGCCATTAAGGAGAATTGCACATCCGATCAAGGAAGTCAAAGGGAAGTTAAATGGTTATATTGAGCAATGTTATGTAAAGCGAACTAGGAAAGAACTGTAAATAAAGTTCAGTGAACTGAATTGATTGAAACCACCAGTAAGAGAAAGACACTCCTCGTTGCTTCTTTATGTTCTGTCCGACCGTTATTTTTTACAAATACAGACACGCGTTAAAATTCCGTGTTTCTCATTTCGTCTGCTCTTTACTAAATAAGGTACTCACGCATTACACGCTAAACACGGAGCATGCGTAAGGCAGAGGTGAGGTAATCAAAAATTATTTCTTTCCAGATCCTCGCTGCCCTACGATCTGTTTTGGACAGTGGCGTTAATTACTTCGGAATGACGCGCGAGGAGGCCACCAACCTTTACGCGCAGTACGCTTGGGACGAAAGTGACCTGGCCGTCAAGGATATCACGCGGTTCCAAAATACTCCAGCAATTGCCATGAGCTACATGATTGGCCACGAGACGTTCGTCAAATTGAGGCAACAGGCCCAAAGAGAACTGGGAGAGAGTTTCTCGATGAAAGAGTTTCACTACCAAATTCTACGTCAAGGAGAGATCCCTTTAGAGTACCTGGAGGAGCACATTTCGCGTTTCATCAAATGCAAGAAAGGCTCCTCGGAGCGAATTTGTGCAGAAATACTCTCGTGACAATCTATGAGGGAAGCTAACTTTAAAATAAGTTCAAGCAAAAAATACTTTAAACCATAAGAAATAATTTTTTTCCAATGTACTTTAAATTCTCCAAACTAACGTTAAGACACACCGACTAAGTTCTGAGGGAGAATTTGCGATTTCCTCTGGGAAATTATTTTGAAATATTTTCCCTTTGCATGGAAGCAGAAGCATATAACCTTGGTTTCTGAGGAAAGGTAATCAAAGTGTCCAGTGTGAACAAAAATATGATGTCTGTATTACACGGTATTTGCTAAAATACTTGCGTGTTGCAGTGCGTTTAAAAACAATTTTAATACTGGACACTGTGTTAGAAGCTTTGGAATAAAGCCCTGGAGATTCATCGAAGTTAGATTAAAAAAGCTAGAATATGTTACACAGAGATTCTAAAAATATGTAATATAAATTAAAAGACTTAGTGCTGAAGAAACTTAAGAGATCGGTAGACAGATTATAAATGATGCGTTAAAGTCATTCCTAATGGTTGCATGCACAGCTATATTGTAAATAATTACGCGTGTGAACATTGGCGCGCATATCTTAGTTGTTTTAAACGAACACCGTGGGATTTCGCGGTCGTTCTCGCCCCGCCGGCCGATGTCAAAGTCAACATTTACCCATTCCAAGCAAAAGAGACTGTGGTACTGCGTCGGTGGGAGAGTATAACAATGTAATTTAGTGTTATCAACTGAGTTGATAACGTAAATTGGCCACCGTAAAGAGTTTCAAAGCTGACGTTTGGAGCGTTATCCCTTCGTCAGAGCGATTGAAGAAGGGCCAACACTCGAAACGTCAGCCTTGAAACTCTTTACGGTGGCTAATTTACGACATTAACCCACTTGACAATGCTAAATTACTCTTTACTGCATATAATCGTCAACTTAGGTGTTGTAAATACAATAAGCTAATAGTAGATTTCTCTCATTTACTACCAATAAAGGAAAATATGCCAACCTTAATTTGTTAATAACTTGTCTTCCATAAGAAATATCAACACCCCTAAGGTATATCCCGAGGGTTTGTATCATGGCGGGGGCGGGGACTGGGAGGATTAAAATTTCTCGTATCCCCAGCGTACCTCGTCCACTAGCTTCATGACGTACGTACGTGTTCGTCATAAGTTGATACGCCGGTGTGATGGCGGGAGTGCTTGATGTTAAATAGAATTCCTTATATTTTTTAGAATGCTTTGGGAGAAGTATGACCACACATGTTCCGCACACGTTCTGAGCTTGGATCTAGCCGCACGTGATTAAACCCTTAAAATTTTTGTCATAATTTTATCGCCTAAAAATATCCTCAGTTTCGGTGTACTGTAAGGCGCAATTTTTCATGGGGGGGGGGGGAAGAGTCCCAGTGTGTCAAACAGAGGGTATTCACCAGTTTTCGCCATCTGAATATTTTAGGCTTTTGGCTTTTAAAAAAAAAGCTCACAAAAGGATCCCTCCCCCTTAACTTCGCCTTTGCACTGACAATTAGTACCCATGTAATATAACAGACAGCCTCAACCCGGCGGTTTGTATCTTTCCTCAACGTCTTCCTTAATGCCGGCTGTGGTGAAAATAAATGGTGTGCAAAATGCAAGGTATGTTAAGGTTGTGCCATATGCCTCGACCCTATTTCCATTAGTGAAATGTGTCCCCCATGTTTTCAGGAGATTTAATCCGTTCACTTTGGTGAGCTCGATCCTGGAAGCCTGTTGGAGTGCAGTTAACTTTCGTCTTACAAGAGAGATCCTTTCTAGCAAATTCAGATCAAAACTTTCATTCCCTCACTCTGCATTGTTTATCCACGCAACCTTGCGAACCTGTTGATTCTCAGGAGTAATTTCAATACTGTTTCCTCCTTTCCTTGGAGGAACCTCTCCCTTGGCTTTCCCACCAGAGAAGCTTGAACGATTCAAATCTCCATTTTCTTTACCTAAAGCACTGTGGTCTGTCTTGCTCATCGCAGAAACTTTCTGCGGATAAATTTTAGATTCCCTTGTCTTAGATCTTCTCCTATTTTTCCCACCAGAACCTGAGTGAGACATTTTGCCTTGTACATCTTCACCTAAATGCTTAGTAAGTTTTATCTTGGTTAAGCCCATTGTATAATGTTTGGATGGACATGTTTGTATGTTCATGTACGTTTTATCCCAAGTGATTTTCTCAGGCATGTTGATGTCAAATCTTTCAGCTTTCTCTTCGCTTTCATGGTGTAAGTTTTGCTCCGGCCCGACCAAAGCACGCGCTTTCGCACCGCTAATCTTTTTGTCCCTCTTTCCTTTGCCTGCATGGTTCAAACTTGTAGAATTTCCATTACCATGGACTTGAAGAGAGCTTCCACTAACTTCTCTTTCAATGTTATTATTGAACACTCCGTTCTCGGCATTATGGTAGGAGTGTTTCTCTTTATTGTATTCGCTAGTTCCAAAGGGATCTTTAAGAAACTGCTTGACGGCACATCGGACTCGAGGTAAACGAGTATAGTATATAATCGGGTTAACAGCGCTCGAGAAGTAAGCACAATACCAAGCAATGAATGCAAACCACATTTGAGCCTGGTTCACTTCCTGAAGACCTATGGTAGCAAACACAACGACTGGAATGTGGCAGAATAAATATGCAGCTATTGTAATGAAGATGGTTTTGATGGCTTTTAGGTCCTGTTTAAGTCGAGCCACGGCCTGCGTAGCACATAGGTTCATCACTCCCCTCTGCAAAAAATAAATACTGGTTATGCAACAATTCCTTTTTATGCTATCATGGATAATATTAGTGTCGTACCCACGCCTTCCACGGCCAAGCCTACATTTCAGTGGCAGTTAAACGATAGGGTCTGGGTTAGAGATTTGGATGATATAATAAGTTATATTACGCACGCATTTATTATTGGAGGACAGATGCATTTATGATGTCACTATTGATTCTTCGTTTTATTATGAGAAAGTCTTGCATAATTATCTAAAGCTACTATTTGGCCAATTCGATTCCTCTCGGGCAGATATACCCGCGTCCATCATCCGTGAGATGATTCCAAAAATACATAAATGACAGTGAATGACAATTAACAAAACAAAACAAACATAATTTGGTACCTTTTTTTTCTCCATCTGTATTGCACGAGCTGTCAAGCACGACAGTATTACTGCAAAGGAGACAAAAAACGCTCTTGTAGCAGCGACGAAGAGTTTTCCTTGTTTAAAGATCTCAGTTCTGTAGTGAATAACATGCGCATCACCAAGATTGATGTCGGAAAGCAGGATCAAGGATGAGACCGTCGAAATAATACTGACAAACCAAACGAGAGAAATACAGATGACTGCATTCGTCTTTGTTTTCCAAGCAAGATACTTAAAACCATACGAAATTGCCAGGTACTTGTTTACCAAAATGACGAGCATAGAAAGTAGATTTAGTGTCGCAAAGAGCCGATCGAAACCGCATGTGAGAATTCCTAATGCTTTGCCCCTAAACCAACCAGCCTCTAAAACTGTGTAAATCATATACATAGTAAAGGCTATAACTGCACTTAGAAAATCCACCAGACAAAGATTGGCGATCAAGATGTTCTGAATTGTTCGTAACGACTTAAACCGAGCAATCACAGCGAACATTAGACCGTTGCCGAGTTCACACGCCAATATAAGGATAAATGTCAACGCACTCATGATGACTTTGGTTATAAGTGGTTTTCCTGGATACATAGCGGCTGGAACAGTGATGGCTCGGGAGCTAAAACAAATTATGAGATAAAAAGATGACAGAAAACCGCAATTTCATGTAAATAGTGTATTGAAAGACATCCGAACAAAACAAAGGTACAGAGGAGACCGTGCTAAACAATGGAAAAATGGGAACGAAGTATTGTTATCACTTTTCGTTTCTGCAGCTGGTTCTAATTGGATCAATTATGTTCTTTAAGCAGCTTTATAACCAAATGCAGTTGTTAGCCTTGACCTAAAATTCAATACTATTTAATAACCTGGTTTTATCTCAAATCCAATGGATTTGATGTTAATACTTAAGCATCAAAGTCGAATAATTTGCCTGATCATAAAAAATTACAATTTCCTCCATAGTGATGGGCTTAAAAAGCTCCTATTTTCCACTAATTCATTTGCCAAGTTGTTATCGGACAGTTTGTTAACGGACAGTTCAATAAGCCAATCACATTCAAAGTTGTAGTTGAAATCAACCAATCACCAGAAATCCATTACATTTTGATTGTAGTGATAAACAAATCGGACTTCCGCTGCGCGGTCGTCCGATTTTGTTATCACTTGTATGCTTACAGACTGAATTGGACTCCTGGAGTTGGACATTACTGATCAAATCCGATAAACATGTTTAAAGGACTAAGAAATTTATGAATAATCACTGCTGGCAATGCTGATGTAACACCACAGGATACTTGCGTAATAGCTTTATTGGCAAAAATTGATTCTTTAGTAATGAGTTTCTGAGGAATATATAAAAATGTACTCTAAATTTCTCCTTTTTTTTTTCAATTGTCTTAATTTAGAATGTGTTCGTGTGAAATAAAGTACACTCAGCTCTGAGTCTATTTTGCTATCACTAGTCGAGCAGGGAAAAGTGGCAGCTTAAGGCATAGAGGAATAAAATGGGTGAAGTTTCCAAAGAAACTGTGTCGCTGTTTCGGTTAAGGGTATTACAAGATAATCTGTTAGTTCGACTCCTAGATGTAGCTTGTGAGAAAATAAACCAACGATAGTCCAAGCTTATTTGCGCCTTATGCAAATCCCCGCTTGCAGATTAAGTGTAGTCCTTAGAAAGTGAGTTGCAGTGTCTTCTTGACAGAAATTCAAATGAATAGGAACACTTTGCAAATGAAGTATAATCCCTCAGATAATGTCAGGTTATTCATGATTGGAAAACAAGTAAACACGGCAAACAAGGTCTATATCCTTGTCCAAAGCATTTAAAAATATCAAGCAGTTCTCTAACAATTTTTGGTGTGTGCTTATTATCAGTAACGTGGTAGACATTGCAGATATAACGTCAGCAAGACGTTGATTTTCAAGTGATGACAGGCCTATTCTGTTAAGCAGTTCAGTAGAGGCTGTTTTTTTTTTCCTCAAAACGAAACGGAGGGCATTCTCGTTTATTTTTTACAAATTTATGGCAACTTTGCGTCAAAAATGCAGCTCTCTGATCGGTAGTTAAAATGCATAAGGATAACAGTGAGTTAGAGAAGTTTTCTTGTATGAAATCGGAGAATCTTTTTCATTCGCTTGAGTACTGCAGTCTGTCGGGAGATTTTCCTGTACACATCGGCTATGAGATCAAAGCAGTTCTGGATTATATTTAACTCTAAATCAAAGCCATCAAGTTGAAAAAATACGTAGAATCAGGTTCTTAGATCACAGTCCAATCCTTCCGTCTGGATTTTAATCAGTCTGCCTCACATCAGTTTGCATATTTTCCATACTTTTTTCTGTACATTTCTTAAAATACTGACAAGGAGAATTTGTTTAACAATCAATAGCCACTTAAGTCTATGATCATTTCCTTTGTTTTCATGACTCTAATGTTTGATTCAGGGGTGATATTGTAAGGAGAGATTAGATGCGAGATGGCATCGTGTCGTTAATTCCTCCTCCAACATTCTTATGATTCCTGAATCCATAGTATTTGCCTCTAGCCTAACGTCTATTGGAAGATCCTTGAAAGAAAATGGTTTTCGAGTATTAAACCTCAAATCTTGAGGGATCCTCTGATCTGCCCTCTTAAATTGTCTCCCAATTCCCTCCCCACTGCCAAGAGACAAATTTTGTTCTAAATCTTCTGAAGAAACCGCTATGCCAATCAGCGCTTTGCCATGGCTTTCAACACTGACAGGGTGAGGCGCAAGTATTGTCGGAATCCTTTAGTCTTTTATCAGCGTACTCTGATCTTGCCGAGTTTTCTTCTCTCTTGACTCGAAAATTGCAATGGATGGGTCAGTGGCTTCTCTTTGAAGTCATCTTTTCCAAATGTGTCTCTTAAAGGAACGTATTGATGGCTCGGCGACATCGTCGTAATCTAGCAAAGTATATGATTTGGTTAACAATGCTTGAGAATCCTATCCAGTTCTAAGCCTCGGGTGTCAACTGTAGACATGACAAGTGGGTATGGCAAGCGACACATGCAGCTATTGTAAATAACAATAGTTTTGTATGGCACGTATGCTCAATTTACCCTCTCCTTAAATCATAACAGTATGTCACAAACTATAGTTTCAATTTGCTATGAAAAGAAGAAGCTGTAAAAAGTTCTTCATAGCGCAAAATGTCAGCTAAGACACTATAGCGGCACAGATAACAAACAACAAAGATCTCCCTGCGACAAAAATCTTTCCTTGCCAAAGGAACTCAGCTCTGTATTCCCTACGTGGCTTGAGAACCTGAAAGATCGACAACCAGCAACGGAATGGAGGATATTATTGTCAAAGTAATACTGACAAACCAAACAAACGAAACACACATCAATGTATTTTTCTTGTCTTCCATGCAAGAGACTTCGAATCAAACTGAAATGGCCAGGTGCATGCTTGTCAAACTGGCAAGGACCCTATCAGAACCACTGATTTTGATTGCCAAGTAGCGTCCACGGTAAAAGAAAATCGTGTAGGTTAAAAATTTTTATGAGTGCATTGAGAAAATCCAAGATTAGCGATCAGGATATTCTGAACTGTGCGTAACGACTTTAACCGAACCATGATCACAGCGAACCTTTCATTTTCAAAAAAAAGAAAAAAAAAACTGAGTACACACGCTGACAAAGAATAGCCGGTTGTAAACACACTGATGACAACTTGGGCAAAAAGGTGTTTTTCGAATATTTGGGCTAAACGAAAGCGACGTGATCAGTATAATCAGGGCGGGGTTTCATGAAGAGAAAAAAAATACTGTTATAGAACTGATGAAAGTGCTATTGCTCATCGTGTTTTTTTCGGGTAAATAAACGTTTAATTGTTTGTATCACGATGCAGGAGTCAGGGTAATCAATCGTTTATTGATTGCAACGTTTCGACTGCCATACTGCGTATCTTCGTCAGGCGACAAGGTCGAAAGCTTACGTTTCGCCAGAAAAAATACTGTGGTTTGAACAGGAAGAAGCAGAGCTTTCATTTCCTATCGGTATAAAGATATGTAGGAAAGAAATTTCAAACAAAGAAAATCCAACCAACACACAGAGCGAACTGAAAATTCACAAGGGTAATAGAACGATGAAAATATGACATAAATCAATTTTTTTTTGTTGCTGTCTTATGACTTAAACAAATATACTGTAGTTTGAAGATGAGCGGCTTAAAATATTTCTAGTGAGAAAAAGTATTCGACTAACACATGACGATAAGCAAAAATAAAAATAAAAAAAGAAAAAGAAGGGAGTTGACCAAGAAGCATTGGAAAATCTTTTAAAAACTAATGTTTTCACCTGCATATTTTCTTTAATGCGGATGGTTTTAGTGATACCATGAAACACCTCCTTTAAGAATGTTTTTAATTAAGGCACGATTCATTTCTGTCAAAGGAAATTTCAGATAGGAAAGTGATAAAATGCGCATTGGAAAGAACTTTCCTGGGCCTAATTACCTACCAAGAATCGCTTTAAAGTACCCAAGCTGACGTCAGCAAACTTGTCTATAAAAAGGTGATAAGTATCGTTAAAAGTCGGTTTTCAAGATATATTTTGACTATTTGTGCCTAAAAAAGAGTGAGAGGTTTGATCGAATAGAAGACAGACATGATCAAGCTTGTCTGATGTTTTTCAGGAAAAAAAAGAAAATTATAATATCAATAATCTAAACTGCATGGTTGGGACAAGATTCGGAGCTTTAGCAAAATAAACCAAAAGCTTCAATCAACCTATTGAAAGTAACTCAGACATTAAAGGCGGCGATACAGTGCAAAGAATATTGTCTTAAATTTCATTTCATTCACATATATTGTGTTATATCACAACTATATACGGCTTTCTATACATCTTAAATGATGCTTTTCAGTATTACCTCTTGATAACAGGATCCATCTCAGACGATAATAATTTCCTACCGGAAAGGAAACGTACTTTGTACAGGGATTAGGCGAAAAGCAATTTCCTGTTCAAAAAGATCATAATGATGACAGTGAAAAAGGAGAAGGCATAAACAAATAGGTAGAAATAAAATAGAAATATCATTTGTCAATTTTGAGGTCGACCGTCGTCTGAGGAAAGATGGTGTTTGAGTCCCCAACGAGGAATGGAATATGTAGACCATCGAATTTGTGCTCCGATGCTCTTTCACTGAGCCACAGAGTCTCTAAAGTGAGCCTGGCAAATACAACGTCCATATGAAATACGCGTCCTGTCTACAGCTAGGATCAGCAGTGTTGAAATCGCCCTGTAAATAAAAGAGATACTAATGTCTTTGTTATTACCAATTTTGTCTCTGCAGATTATGTACTCCGCCATTCTTATTTTTCCATCAGTTATAGGTATTAAGAATTCTTTTAATTCAAACAGAAATTCAGCTTAGGTTACTTTTCCTTCTCTGTTCTTTTCTTCGCTTTGAAAATAAATAAATAAAATGTGTATTTATGCTGTCCTTTTTCCCTCAAAACCTAAACCCGATTCAAGACTAAAATAACGAGAATTCGTTAACAGCTCTCGTTAAAACTTCCCAGAAACGATACCCATACAAAGTGGACCGTTCCAAGACAGTTTCTGCTCATAAATAACTTCCGGGAACAAGGCTTTTGCTTTGTGACACCGTAGTCGCAAGAAAGGTGAGGAAACCATTGCAATATGATTGGATCAGAATCAAACTGTATTAACAAATTGCGATCGTTTCGCTGACGATCAGTGCTCAGTTGTTCAAAGATTAGATAAAAGTGTACTGCGGACCGAGGTAAATGACTATCCCATGGATAAATGTTAACAACACGTAAAGTGCTATCCTCCGAACAGATATTTATCTAGTGGATAGCGTCACCCCCCGCCCTTCGAACAACCGGCGCCAGTTCGCTAGTTTCGCTTTAGTGTTACAAAGCGTTCGGTGATTTCATCGACTTGTGATCGACCAATAAGTCAAGGGAGAGTTAGGTCGTTTCAGTGCAAATTGAAAGTCGATTTGATACCTAACGACTCGTAGGTGAAACGACCGGCTGAGTGACGATTCAGAGCAAAAGCGGTGGCCCGCTAACTAAGCCCATCCCCTTTCACAACTAGGTGTCCGCCTAAAAGCCATAGAAATTAGATGGCGCGATCGAACCTACTCACTTCCATGATATTAATCTTTCCCTTATTTTTTGTTGTCATTCTTTGTTTTTGGTATGATGGTGTTGGTTTTCATGTGACATTCGTTTTCCTTCCGGGTTGAGACCATGATTGCACCACATTTGAAGAATTTTCTGTACAACAATGGTCCGAAGTTTTGCATTCCACAATGTCTTGTGGACAACGGAGCCTGGTATCACTCTCGTGTTGTATTTCAAGCTTATTTCATTGACAACAAAGACTGCTCTTTCAAAGCGCTGCAGATCCTGCCGTTTTTTATTGAAAATTTTGGACCAAAATAGACTGAATGTCCCATTGAGTATAGTAAATTGGCTGTAGGAAACCGTTATGAATTTGACCAGAAAGCGATCTATTATGACTAAAGAGCTCTTTCTGGAGAAGATAGAAAAAAGCGCATACTTTTAACAGGCTGATTTCCGTGCTGCTAAATTAAGCCTCTGTTTCGAACCGTGGACGGGTGCTTATTCTAGGATGAGAAACTGACTTTTTGTCCTTACGCAAGTAAGAATCAGTTTAACAATAAATGTTTGTGAAAGTGAAGGCTCATGGAATACAGAAGTGGCCCATCAGTTGAACAAGCCAAATACTTTCCAAATACTTACTCAACTACTTTCCACAAAAATATGGAAAGAACTTGACCGGTTCCTCCTTCGAACGTTAAAGACTTTTCTGATCGTCACCTCTCGTCACTCGTTTTAATGCTTGCTTCTAAAAAGATTGTTTAAGGCGTCCTCCGTAAACCTCGTTCATATAGAAAGAGAAAGTAATGTTTTCACCGACATTCTTTCCCTGATGTGGATGGATCAGCTGCTTTGCGACGCCGTAAATTTATGTGAGCAAAGTGAGGGGCCATCGCAATGGGATTGTATCAAAATGAAATTTTATTAATGGACATGGAGCAAGCTCCTTTTGATGCGAAGACCGCTAGATAAGACTGATGCTTACTGCATTAATCAACAAGGCAGAGGCAATTGTGTTAGCTCAGTCTTTCGTAAGAAATTAAAAAAAAAATAAAACATCAATTGTTGTTACTCACTCTTGCAGATAAATTATGGCATTGAAATTACAATAATAGATAATGCTCTTGTTTCATAGAAAGGACGCCAAGGTCCCCTGACGAGGCTGTTTTTATCGTTTCAGCTTTAAGAAGGAAACTGGCTAAGTTTCAGAGCTAGTTTGATAAATAGCTGAAAGGCTTTCCTTCTTAGATTCTTCATTTAGTACAGAGCGAGAGTTTCGATAACCGACGTTTGCTTAGTTCATTTGGAGGTAAGTGTTACACAACACGGGTAGATGGCGTTCCTGAAATCGTAAATAATAATTTCGTCAACAGGGTCTTTCACAAACATCAAATAGTGTCGAGTAAAATGACAAAACATTTACCCAAATGCTACATGCTATCGCAAACGTCTGCATGTCATCAAGTGAAACAGTTTTTAAGCCTGTTGCAAAATTTTGTAATTGAGGTCAGGTGATCGCGCTATGAGAAATTTGCATTTATGTTCTTTGCGAAATGTTTATCGATGTATTGTGATCACCCTTCTAATGACGATTCCATCATGCGATGGAATTGCAAGTTGCACGCCATCTATTGGAATGACCGAAACAAGTCGCTGTCATCTGTACATTTGTAACAAAGTAAGCTTTGCAACGGTATGGAGGTTAATTCACTTTTATAAGCAATTAACATTTAAAATTTATTACCTTGCAGTGAAGAGGAAATCGTGTTGAGGAATTTGGTACTGTGTTAAAAAATCTGTTCTGTTCGGTTGTACATAGAGGTGTTGTTAGTTGTTGATTAATCTTTGCGGTCACAGTGTTGCACAGACAATTTCATTTATTTATTTTAATCATTGTTGTGCAGCTCCGAGTCCAAAACGGCGCAACTTGCATATTAATGATTCATCATGATGAAATATACAGAGGCCTGTTTCTACATTTCAGAAGAGTCAGAACCCAAAATTACGGCAGTCACACGACCGAAAAATTCCTTTGAACAGTCAACCATGGCAAAAAAGTTAAAAATTACAAAATGACATTTACTGAGTCAGTAGCCAGCTTTGAGCTTCAGATTATCTATTTTGTTTGGCATTTATCTGTACTGCTTCAGTAAAGCGCTCGTGTAAATGAATGAGCTGCGCAGGAAGCCCACACAAAGTTTCGAAGCAGATTAAGTAATTTCAAAGTGCATGGGCATTACTTAACTGCACATCAAGAATTTTACTGTTACTACGGGTTACTATTTGCAGATTTCTAAGCTTGCTGCAAAATGTTGAAGTACGTGGAATCGAGATCGCCAATGGACAATAGCTACCACAGAACTGACGGCGCAGCCACTGTTGGGATTATTCCCGAACCCAACCGAGCGGGCAGTCTCGGAAAATCACGAGGTTGGCTCGTGAATCTGCTTATCATCGGCCTTCCGGTCTTGATTTGCATCATCCTCCTCCTAATTTTCATGTTTGCTACAAGTATAGACCGAAAACCACCTTATGTGTCCACTAGGTGCATTCTCTCTGCGGAGTCAAACAGCTCCAAACTGACAGCGACTCTGAAGAAAATTCAAACAGAGTATTTCCGAGTGTTATGGCCCGAGAAGATATACAGGAAACCTGGAGTAAAGCCCGAAGAAATTCGAGCGACGTTCCGACCGTGGGACCCGAGCCCGAACACTATTAAGAACAAAACAGACACGGCAATGAAACTACTTTCAGAACTGAATTCTTTAAAGATCAACACGACGTTACTAAAGATTCGAGAAAGAAAGGCTGTTCACGTTGCTAAGGCAATATTACTGAATAATAACGACTGGGCGCCTTTAGGACAAAATTACTACGCGGGGGACTGGATGTTAGGACCTGACGTTTTCTGTTGGCAACCTATTTGCCAGGTATACGCACATCTGAGTGCAGTGATCGGGTATTTCAAGCCACATAATTTAACTGATTTGAAAAAATTGGACGAGCTCTTTGATCAGGTCAACGAGACATTCGAGACATACATCGAAAACTTAAAACTGGGCGTGCGAACTGGGTACGTGCGAAACAAAGAAGCTTGTGAGGTTGGCTTGCACAACTTGCAGTACCTTTTTTATCGAAATATTGCTCTGGAAAACGAAACAGGTGGGGATCTTTTTTAACTCATCTACAGTTGTTGCAGAGAAGTTGTCGGAAAAAGTGAACGGGACAAATACAGAAGGCATTGTGGGTAGTTTTCAGGTCACGGTTCTTTGACCAGTGTCTCAGTATTCAGAGAAATTTGAGAAAACATCGCTTTATCGAAGGGGCATAGCGAATTTGATTAATTTCTTTTGTTCGTAGGACTGACTTTTTATTCTAAAATTGATGAAAAACGTTAGGGAGAAAAAGAACGAGCTGACCCTGCTGAATGACGAAAACGATGGAAGCTTAACGCAAGCAAATTCGAGTGCTCTAAAGAAAAATGTTTACAACGTAACATTCTATCGTTCTGTTCCTTTCATATCCAAGTGCATGTCGGTATTTATCCCCTGTTGATTGGTCCTTGTCCAAATTTATTTGTTTACTTATGAATGGTTGTTGATTACCGGATACCCAGATTGCCTTTCGCGCGACTTAGTCCCTTTTTCCGACCAACCATTCTATAAACAGCTGTACACAATGTGCAAGGGACTACAATATGATCTTTTAGATTTTTGCGATAGGTTAGCCCGTTATTAATCAGTTCTTTCTCTTCCATGCTGGCAGTTTTCTATAATCTCCATGTCCAACTGGGTCCGCAAAGAACAAATTTTCTTTGAAACAAGGTCTTCACACGACTACTTTCTCGTCTTCTTCTTTTACAGAGCTTTATTTTGAAAAACTAGCTTTCAATTGGATCTCCGCTTTTGCCGAAAGTCGCTCTCTGGTGTGATGACCCACATTCCATGTTGGCAAATTCAATCAAAACTCAGTAATTTCAAAATGCAATGACGAAGGGTGCAATTCGAAGCATTACTATCAGGTTTTTATACACTGATTAGAGTGCGTCTGGTATCATTCAAAATCTTCATCATTTCACATATATCTTTCGTCATAGGTGTCTTCAAAGAAGCTTTCTCAAATAAGATTCAATCTGACGAATTTTACGACAAATTGTCCAAGAGTGACAAGAAAAAATGGAAAGACGAATACAAAGAAGATGTTGCAGCTTACTTCAAGCGCTCTCTCGTAACGAAGATTGGAAACGCGACTATAAAAATGCTACGGTTTGTTTCACATCTTTCCCCTATCATGTCGGGTCTGTTAAATATGAGCAACACATAAATACCTATTTGATTCGTAAAAGAACTTTGAGCTATTTCTGGATTTGATTACAATTCTGAAATTTCTCATCCCACTGCAAATATTTTTGCAGTCCTTTGATCAGAGCTCTGAGTAAGGGAAAACAACAACTGATGAAGCTACAACCAATCACTGAAAAGCTCAGCAACTCAAGGAACCAATTAGAACTACAAGTAAATACATGAAAACGACGTTAAGCACCGGAAAACGCGATTTTCCGGGTCACAAGTTTTCAAGACCAATTTTAGAGCGTATTTTTACCCCTGTTTCCACCACATCGGGGAGGGGGAGGACCACCTTATTTGTCCTACACGGATATGTGCCAAAGTAAAATCAATGCAATGTTAAACTGCTCCATTTTTTATTTTCCACACCAGATATATGAAAGGAGAACACCTGAGCAACTGCGCCCCAGAGACAGTGGTCAGCGGTCTAGAAAAATTGCCTCTATCTTATGTGTACAAAAACTTAGCCGCTGACACCAACCAACCGGCAATGCAGAAACTCCCCACTAATGAGCCACTCCAGGGAAGTGATACATACAAGTCTCTGATGAGATTTTTTACAACATTTGATATCACGCCAGAGAAGCTAAGGAAAATGACTCAAGAACGTTTGAACGAACTATATCCACAGGTAAACTTTAAGAGCCCAGTACACTATGCTGTTTCATCGACAACTTGTGATAAACTCAGGTAGTCATATCTCCTCGACCATATGGTGACACAAGAAAATTTGCAAAGGCAAAATATGTTTGCGCAAATTATTAGGCGAGACTGTTGTGAAACTAAACTTATATTGTACGTTACCTGTGGAAAATTTCTCCAACGGTTATTCCTCGAAAACTATACTTGTTACTTGTCGTGTTTATTTTCGGAAGCTCCTCCGTAGGATAGAGGGAGTAGTAACATTCAAAATAGCAGAATCGGAAGTCGAAGGAGGAGTGGCCTACACTGTTGTCTTTTGAGGACATGACAGGCTTCAAAATACTCATAAAAAGCCCCCCCTCCCCTGCCCCCTCAGTAAAGTTCACTACTTCCATATTACAAAAACGTAAGGTAACGTAAGAGTTTTTTTCTCTCTAAACAATAAACCAGGCTGAGAAACTGGCTCAAGATTACACTGGTATCAAGAACAACGTGTCTGCCATCAACGCTTTTACAAGACAAATGCAGGACCAGGAAATGTACTTTAACGACAAACCCTTCCCTGATAATGAGACTAGCAACGATGCCTTTATCAAATGTTATGACGACGCAAGCGCCAAGGCTTATTGCCCCAAACGATACAAAGCAATGCAAGCTTGGATAAAAAATTCAAAAGAGGCAAGTAGCTTTGGAAGGCTGTTAAGGATGAGTGACAATTCAGAGCAAAAGCGATGGTCCGCTAACTTAGCCCACCCACTTGCTCAATTAGGTTTTCCCCCCTAAAAGCCATAAAAAATAAGAAGCGCGGTTGAATCTGTTCACTTTCATGATACTAATCTTTTCCTTACTTCGTTTTTGTTGTTGTTGTTGTTGTTTTTTTAATACCGCACTCGTTTCTTACATGAATTCTTTATTCCCGCAGGTTGAGAACATAATCAAACCATATTTAAAGAATTTTTTATATGACAGTGGTCCAAAGAATTGTATTCCAAAATGTCCTGTGGACATCAAAGCCTGGTATCATCCTCATTCTGTATTTCAAGCCTATTTCATTGGCAGCAAAGACTGCTCATTCAAAGCGCAGCAGATCCTGCCCTTTTTTGTCGAAAATTTTGGGCCAAAATGGACTGAATATACCACTATGATACATGAATTTGCGGGACATCACGTCGAGGTAAGCCTTAGCTTAGACACCTAATCCACCGCACACCCAATAACGGTCTCCAGAACGGGCTACTCGACGCGACAAATCGCTTCCACAAATCTTTCCTTTATACTCCATTTACTAGATTTTAGAAAGGGTTACGCGAGGCAACAAATGGCCGAGACGTGCCTTTCTTTCATAAAGTCGATATTTTTTTTTTAGTATGAATCACATGTTGCGTCAAATCGACGCAACATGTCGCGAAAGTCGTGGGATAGTGTAGCAACGAGGGTTTGCTTTGTGTGTTACAACCAAGATTGTGAACATTCTGTGCAAATAACAAAATTTCGCGCTTGATCTGAAACCACAACTTGTGATCTCTTGGCTCATGACATAGCCCTCGGATTTTAGTGACAGAGAAAGGGGAGTCAAATTGAGATACATCTTTTAGTAGAAAAGACAAACCAATACTGAGACAGCCGACACACACTGAACACATTTGAGAGAGGATTTCATTTGTCTCTGATCAAAGCTCGAAGCAGTATCAACCAAACGAAAAATTTCGTTTTGTTGTGATGTACGGTGAATAGTTTTCACGTTGTTTCACTACCATTGCTGATAAGTATTGGACTTTGCTACGCGCTTCGAACTCTGCTATAAAATAATTTAACAAGTAATATGCACGTTATGTTTCACCGCCAGGTTCAAAGCTTCAGAGAATATTTCCAAAGTGACTGTAAAGACCCAATGGCTTGGTTAAACGCCCCAAACTACTTTGTAGCTATAACAGAAGGCTGGGCTGCTTATGCAGAGGACCAGCTTTATCCAGAGGACACAACACTTTACAGCTCTAAAACAAACAAAACAATTCTGCGTCAGAAATATGGCATGTTATATTATCAGGTAAGTTTATTTGCTATGGAGGGGGAACGGCAAACATACGTGTAAGGAGTGGAACCTTGCTTGTGAAGAATTTGACTTAATCTGAACAAGAGCAAATCACTAGAATTGTAAAACTTATGCACACCAGTTGCAAAACGTGAAAAATACATAATTTTTTAAAGGACTCAATAACTTTGCATGATTTATTCTTTGCAGTTACTTCACGCCCTCAGAGCTATGGCTGACATCGATTTACACTTCTATGGGAAACAAGTGAGCGAAATACGAGAGTTGTACCGCAAGTACGTATGGGAAGATAATAACAACCAAGTCAACAAAGACATACGACGAATACAAAGCATGCCAGGATTTGTAACGAGTTACATGATTGGTCATTTGGAAATTGAACGTGTCAGGAAAATGGCCGAGAAGGAGCTGGGCAACGAATTTTCGCTGAAAGATTTTCATTACGAGATTTTCCGTGAAGGAGAATTTCCGTTAGATTATTTAGAGGAACATATTACAGCATACATTGCTTGCAAGAAAAATCCCACTCAAATTGGTTGTAGTGAAATGATATGAATTTGACTACAAAGTGATATATTTTGACCAAAGAGCTTTTTCAGGAGGACGTAGAGTAAAGCGCATAGTTTTAAATACCATTTCCGTGTTTTTCAAGCCTGTTTGGGGAACGAGGGCAAGTGCATACTCTTTGATAAGAATCTGGTTTGTTGTTTTTGAGTAGATACGACTCATTCCGACATACTAAACTGAGGTTCGGCAAAAAGGCCCAATAAAAAAAAAAAGGATTCGTGGGAACCCAGAAATGGCCCACTCGGTTGAAAAAGTCAAAAATGTTGAAAGTTCTCGACTGGCTCTCCTTCTTAAGTGAGAACTTTTTCTTGATCTCTTATCACTTTTTATCAATCAATGCTTTCAAAAACTGTTTGAAAATTATTTGTCAACGATTTGATTCAGACCAATTTTGAAAAGGAGATTGCTTTTGAAAATGTCTACGCAAATTAGGCTTTAGCTTTTTAATTTTATTAAAACTGTTTAGTTTTCTGTCTCGTAGATATTCGTCAATAATATGATGCATTATATTTACTGTTAATAAAGAAAAATTTAATTTAAAGAAGATGAGTCTTAGAAAGTTAATTATGGCTTACAATATACCTTCACCTCCAACAGTCACAATGTAACCAGGTGGCCACAGCTTATTGGGGTCTAGGAACGAAATGCGATGACCATTTTTGTATAGGTAACAACATGATTGCGAGTGTAATTTGGTGTTAATAAATACGAGTAAACTTTCAAAGACAAGCGCTTAATTACACTAATTTGCACGAGAAATCATTTTGTTACTTGTTAATAAATTTACATGAAAAAGCATCGCAGAAAGTAAAGACGCGTACTATTTATAATTTGCAGTCGTGTTACAACTTTGCACTCTTGTTACATGAAAAATGCACTCGTTTTCAGCCAATCAGACGCGTGTAATTTTCTCATGTATATCATTAGGTACATTAAGTAACGTGTCCATTGAAATCTAGAATGCAGGTAGATATATTCAAATCAGTAAAGCAGTAAATTCTTATGTCTCTTTACTTTGCTTCGTGTAAAAAAAAATTAAAAACTTAGTCGAAAGTTATTCTAAATAGTTTTATATAAAGTCTTCATTTTCTCCACTTTTTTTTTTTTACAAGTCTTCAATATTTAAAGCCACCACGTGATCTCTTTGTGCCTTCCCACCAATCTACGTGAGTTGATTTGGAAAAATACCGGGGATCGTAGGCGCCCCCTCCACTGTTCGATAATTGTGTAGACATATTATGGTTTTTATTGGCTATATCCTTCGATAATTAGATTTACAAGATTCCAAGTTTCTAACTCGTCAAAAAGAAACTATCCGTTCTCGTGGACAACAACTTCTCTCGAAGGCTTAAATTCAATTCTGGTATATAAAAGCTATGCGTGTGTCAATAAACACACGTCCTTTGATAAGATAAACAGTATTCGGTTTCATGCTCGGTTCTAATTTAAAAATAGCATAAATGTTCGCAGTGTTGAGTTCTTAAGGTTGGCAAGGTCTAATTCCTAAGGTTCCATTCTTAAGGTTTACAAGGTTCCGTTCTTAAGGTTCGCAAGGTTCCATTCTTAAGGTTTGCAAGGTTCCGTTTTTAAGGTTCGCAAGGTTCCATTCTTAAGGTTTGCAAGGTTCCGTTCTTAAGGTTCGCAGGGTTCCGTTCTTAAGGTTCGCAAGGTTCCATTCCTAAGGTTCGCAAGGCTCCATTCTTAGGGTTCTCAAGGTTCTATTCTTAAGGTTTGCAAGGTTCAGTTCTTGAGATTTGCAAGGTTCCATTCTTAAGGTTCGCAAGGTTCAGTTCTTAAGGTTTGCAAGGTTCCGTTCTGAGATTCGTGTTCCGTTTCTTCACAAGACATGATTGTGACGTGTTACAATCGATGAGAAGAGAAATTATTCATTAGAGCTGCAGCCAGAAGACTTTTTTCCACGATTCTGTGGCCTTATGCAAACATTACGGGTGTAGAGAATTCTCAAAAGTTGTTCAGACCCTCTCGAGTCTGCCCCCCCCTCCTCCGCCACGTGTTAAGTAAAGTCCTTTTTTGCTCTTATTGAAGCGATGCTGTTAAAGTGTATGACTGTACATCGCGCAAATATGTTATCATGGTTCTGAAGAAGAACAAATAGAGCGGAAGAAGATGTGGCTGTCCCGAGGATCACTTTCAAAAAATAGTTCGAATCCGCTTGTCTCAAACAGTTTTGGTGAAAATTCGTGTTATCTATAAAAAAGTAAACGTTTTTATGTGTTTTTCAATGAAAAGTATTTCTCTGGATTGAGACTGTCAAAGCACTCTCTAAGACCTTCGTTTCCTAAGATTGACTTAAATCAAAAGCATAGACCCTAGAAGGTTACATGCTTTTGGTTAAATAAATTGATTATTCAGTTCTGCCGCGACGCTAAAAAGCAATTTTACAATAGTTCTGTCACGAAATTTTGAGCCACATTGTGCGCCTTGCAAAATGCTTTCACCTCGAAGAAGACGACAAAATATTACGGCGGCAAGGAAGAAAAAGGCCAGAGACACAATAAGAAACTTTAAAAAAGAACAAGGAAGGCACAAGATGGAGATGATTGAAACGGATTGCAAATTGCGAACTTTGGACGTTTGCAGACCGTGACGGAGCCCATTTAATTCGCGTGAGTATTATTAGAATGTCTTGTCTTGTTCAATTACAGTGAAGCATAACCAAGTAGCCTTGGACTTAAACGGACACAATATCAGTCACGTTTGGTATGTGTTACGCAGCACTCTGGAACGCTTCGGTTATCGTCGGACGCCGCCATGTTTCGCTGTGGTTAGCATATGTCTCACAATCTTGATTTCAAACGATTAGTTAATTATTCCCAACATATCTCTGAACTGTCGTTTCTGTGCTGGGTAGAGTCGCAAAAGGTGGGTATTGTTTGCTTTAGATGTTCCTGTTTTGCTTAACGTCTAATATAACTGCGAACTTCATGTCAACGTTTTATTAAATCGTTACATGTTTGAAGCTGTTTTTCTCAGTGATAACGTGTAATACCAATTTAATTTTTTGTGAAGTTTTGAAGAGCAACGCGTAAGTTTTTAATTTCGTTGTCGTAACCTAAGCTTGTTTCCTCTCACTGTCGGCGAGTCTTGCATACGTCAATGTTGCCTAAGTTATGTTGTTGTATATAGAGTTGTCAAGAACTTTTATTTTCTGTCGAAGAAATCGCTCAAATAACACTTTAACTGCAATTTGAAAGAGACGTGAATATAATAGTGTCGAGTTGTGACGCGTCAGTTTATTTAATATTTAAATCTTTACTTTGTAAGCAAGCGCGGGAGCGACAGGAATGAAATGTTTTGTTATGATATTGTTAGTAGACCACAATTGTTCCTGAAAATAGTCATGACTTGGCTAAAGTGAAACGGAAGATTGTCTTTTGATGTAAAAAAGTTTGATGTTGAAATGCTTAAAAATATTAAAATTGTGCAGCTACGTAAATGGTCCTTTCTTATTATAACACGACTAAGTTTGAATGCTTATATTCTGCTGAATTATGCAAATTATTTGTTCAACGGGGATCAGTGGGAATATGGACACTTTTATTGTTACTCATTTTTGAATTTTTCTTTATCATGTAGGACCAAAATCCCATGACAAATCTTTGAAAGATTTGAATTCAAATTGACGAGAAACTGACCGCTCTTATAAAGTATAAATGCTTCTTGACTTCTTGTTGAAGGTATTAATTATGTAAATGATGTTATTAGTCCGTTGGAGTTTTCGTCACGAATTCTACCATAGAGATCAGTAGATATTTAAACGAGGCTGGTAAGGCCTGATATCTTTGGATTACCAAAAATTAACTGATTAACTTTCTTAATGAAATTAAAACTCCAGAACTGACAGCTGTACAACTTTAGTTTTTGTACCATTCTTAATGTGGAGGGTTTGTTTACTATACGATCTGTAAACAAGGCATTGTCGCTGACTGTTTCAAATCAAGTGATTCAAATGCAAAGATTTTGGTCTCTGCAGCGAGGATGTTCACTGTGTAACTTTTAAATAGATGTTGTGCTTTGGCTTTGGGAAAAAGTAGACAATTATCATGTTCAGTTTTAGATCGACAGAATCGGAGAAATATCTCAGTAATTCGATGAACAATTACTAGGTTTGAACGAGTCAATTGTATTATTTGTTTGTGGCCACATATACTGTCTTGTGCACTGTTTACAAACTCATAAGTCTGCAATTAGCTGTTAAACTTATTATGAAATGAGATTCGTCCCTGGAAGTTATTATAAACTTTACCTTTGATTTCGTTTCAGATTCTCTCACCTATCTATACTAATACGGTTCGTCGTGGTAAATTATAATTTTTATTCCTATCAATTTGTTAGTAAACTAAATTTCATGCCTTTTACAACAGATTTACAATGGAGAACGGCTATAAGCAAAGCAGAGGTTCCGCAGTGACGATCACTCCCGTTGGGTTTGGCTCCAAAAACTTTACGACGAAAAAGAAATCTCGTAAACTGGTGCCCATTCTTTTTATGGTCATAGTCCCTTTGCTGATTTGTTTCATTCTCGTCATGATCTTCTTCTTCGCTGCAAAAATCCCTCCACCAAAGCCCTACACATCGCCATGCCTCGGATCAGAAGAAGCCAACCGCACTAACCTCACAAACGTGCTTAAAAAAATTCATCGACAGTATTTCTTCGAACTTCATCCTGAGAAGATATACCAGATGGCACGAGTGAAACCCGAAGATATCCGAATGTATTTCCGGCCTTACGATCCAGCCCCGAATGCTACCAAAAACCGGACTGACGTGGCTATGGAGCTACGCCGGGAGTTAAATGCGTTGAAATTTAATAAAACTCTGCTGAAGCTAAGAGAGCGCAAGGCGGTACATGTGGCAAATACCATATTAGAGAATAATTTCGGATGGTCTCCGTACTTTCAAGATTACTACAACGGTGATTGGCTGCTTGGACCCGACATATTCTGTTGGCAGCCTGTTTGTGACGTATTTTATCACTTAAATCGGGTTTTTGATCATTTCAAGCCTCGAAACATGACCGAACTTGAGAAGCTTAAGGATCTGTTTGAGGGTTACAATCGCACGTTCAATCGGTACGTGGAGAACTGGAAGCTAGGAGCGCGAACAGGTTATGTGAAAACCAACGAAGCTTGTAAAGCTGGTTTATTCGTCATCAAGTACCAAAAATACCGTGCCTATGCTCTGAAAAACGAGTCTGGTTAGTGCAAGCTAGTTACTTTTCTTTGTGTTTCCATGACCATCCGTGCTAAGGGTAGATCTGGGTAAATCTATTAAGATCGTAAACAGTTTTTTTAAATCGCTTTTACAATGAAGGTGCGTGACACACAACAGAACGGGGCTCCAAATTAAGTGTGGCCTTGAGAGGGGCACTGTCAGAGTAAATTGCCTTGCCCAAGAACACAATGCATTGTCCTGGCCAGGTCTCGAACCCAGGCCTCTCTAGCCGGAGTCCAGTGCACTGACCATTACACCAATGCGTCACCAAGTTTGGTGGCAATGAGATCGTAATGAGGAACAAAACCAAGACATTTTTCAATTGATGTGCATTGGATAAGTTTGCTCAGTTAGGGAGTAAAAGAAACATTGAAGTGTGTTTGGATGGGCAACCAAAAAAACCTCTCTAATCGATAAACGTCCCCCGTTCCCCGTCCCTTTTGAATCGAAAAGACGATCCCCTGGGTTATTTTTTCCTTTGGTTTGTTTTCATGGTGGTAAAAGCTTGATTTCAAAGAATAACCAGGAGTATATTTTAAAATCTCGATTGCAGCAATCTATGATGAGCCATTTGCGAAGATTCTATTGAACACTAGCTATTTCGAGCATCTGTCAAAGAGAGTCAACGATAGTTGGAAGGAGGTATTCTTGATGAACGTGACTGAATACTTTAGGTGGTCTCTGGTGCACAACATCGCAAAAGCTGTTGTGCATATGTTGAGGTAAAGATCCAAGCTTCATGATCATTTCCTTTACTTCCTTGGTATATAACGGATAGATAAATATTTCGAAACACTGACGAGTGTAGATCTAACGACACATACACCAAATCAACGAAATGAAAAGAATTGATGAAACTTAGGCAGAGGACTTGGAATTCAAAACAATACCAACCGATGATTTTAACTCGTTGGCTCATATCTCACAAAGGACAGAGCAAGACTGTCCGTTTGTCCTCAACGAACAAGAACGTTCTCAAAATTTAACGATGGACAAAAACTCCCCTATCCGGGGGAGGTTGCAAAAACATCTGTCACGTAGCATTTACTACATAAAATTTTCTTCACTGCAGTCCGAACCTATAGAGCAGGCGTATAAATTTTGCTTTTTATATACGAGCGGGATAAGTGCGAGGCTTCACTTTCAATCTATTTACTGTTAACCTTTTTTTTTAAGGTTCCTTGAGCACGAGTACTCGAAGAACTGCCCTTCGGATGAGAACATCATTAGCGGTCTAGGAAAAGTACCTCTCCGTTTTCTGTATTACGATGACATCGCAGACACAAGTCAGTTAGCATTCCATCGACTCCCCACTGGAGAGGAGCTGAGTGGACCAAAGACGTATCAAACACTGATGAAATACTTTGCAACTCTTGACATTTCACCTGCTGATCTAAGGGAGAGAGCTTGGACGAGGTTGAATGAGTTGTATAAGCAGGTGAGGAACGTTTGAAATGAGGAGTTGAGGATATCGAAGGAAATAATCATTAGTTACCTGGAGGCGATTTTTTTTGGGGGGGGGAGGAGGTCACACGTATTCATGAGAAACAGGGGAAGTAAGAGTGTAAAGGGGGACTGTGGAGAATTGAGAGTGGGGAGTGGAGAGAGAGAGGAATCATGAGAATATTGCAGAGCCCTATGAGGAGATCAGGTAAATTGTAATGTGACATAACCAAAATCCTTCGATTCCCGCCCCCCTCCCCTCAGGCGAAAAATATACCTGCGCTCACAAGAAATGAAAATTTTGTGTACTGTTTATCAATATAACAAAACACATGTCATGGGAAAACCGTGGCATTGGTTTGATAAACGGTCTTGCAAAACATAGATTTCCTTCTAACTTCACAGTTTGTACATCTTGAATCTTGAAATATGGAACCTTCTCTTAAGTTTTCCATTCGCAATTAGTATGATTTTTTTCAGTTGTCACCCGGCCTTCCCCGCTCTTTGCTATTTTATTTTGAATCAGTTTGCATATACATACATTGCGCGGAGTCATTTAACGAGTAGATAACACAAAAAATCCGAATTGATGGCAACTGCAGTAAACTTACCGAAAGGACCTTGATCTTTATGTTATTAGCCTGAAACCTATTGGAGGTGTCTTCGAAGTTTGAAGTGGAATGTAAAGTATCCAACTTAATAAATGCTTTTATTGCAATGATAACTTTGATAACTATGAAGATGTCTCTAAGGACAGAAAGTAACTTAAGAAATCCTTTTAAATTTCCAAAGGCTGTTGATGTGGCCAAAAGGTATACTGGTGAAGAGGACAATAGGACAGCCATCACCGCCTTCAAAGCCGTGTTACGCCATTCCAACATGTCGTTTAACAATAAACCGTTTCCTGCCAATGAGAGTGACGAAAATGCCTACATAAAATGTTATGACGACAAGAGCGCACAGGGGTATTGTCCTGAGCGGTGGAAAGCAATGCAGAAGTGGATTGAAAACACTGTTGAAGTAAGCGTAATTTCCAAGATAAAATCTTCTACCATTTTTGTCAGGATGAGTAGCGCTAATTTATAAAAAGTGTATAACTTCTTTGTTTATCATAACAGACGATGAAAAACAATATTGGCCCAGTCTACAAACCACTATTTTATCGCAGTGGTCCTAAAAACACAGTTCCTGTCTGTCCAGTGGATGTTATATCTTGGTTTCATCCGCATGTCCGCTTTCACGGATATGTGCCAGGCTCTAAAGACTGCAAGGTTAAAGCTACGCAAGGTTTGCCGTTTTTCGCGGACAATTTTGGCCCAAAATGGACAGAATTTACGACCACAGCCCATGAACAACTCCCTGGACACCATTTAGAGGTAGGGGCTTTTCAGCGAAGTCCAACAAATTGATTAAATTTTTCAAAGGGCGAGAATATGGTAGGAGCACTCGCCTTCCGAGAGGAAGGCAGGAGGGGGGGATCCGACGTCGCCAACAGAGTATGAAGGGAGAATATTGAAAACCGAAAAAGGAATACTGCAGAGCCTTAAGGGGTGGATCAGGTAAATTTTATTGTCACTGCACCAAAATCCTCTAACGCCACTCCCCCCCCGGCGATAAATCAAGCCCAGTCCCCAAGACCTCATCACGTCTTAGAAGTCGATCTTCTGTTTTCTCTTTTCTTGTATCACTGAAAATGCACTGGTATGGTAGGGAGAATTCCTGTTTCTGGTCAATCTAACAATCGCCCTTTATATCTGTGTAGGTGCATAGTTACATAGAGTATTTTGAAGACAGCTGCAACGATCCGATTCACTGGCTGGAGAAAGCAAATCTTTTCCCAGGGTTCACTGAGGGCTGGACAACCTACGTGGAGTATCAACTGCTGCCACAAGACACGAACCTCTACTCAGACAATCAAGACAAAGAAATATTGCTGCAAAGATACGGCATGATTTACTATCAGGTATAAAAAAAATCCCGTTCCAAGTTTGAGTGACGACTGATCTCTACTGTCAGTGTACCAAATTGGGAACGGTTGTCGCAAAACGGAAATTATTACATACATACTGAGATTTACACAGTGAAGCACTATCGTTCGTGTCTCTGATTGGACATTTATTGTAACAGTCGTCTGCTTCCGGTCTTTGAAATGTGCCGGTCAGTAAGAAAAAATATGAGTATGTATGACATTAAAACATCATACAATGGACTATGGAAAGTGCTTGAACGATTTTCATTCACTCGTTACGATGTATCAAAAACCTATCTCGTTTGCTAGCTTTTTTGATGCATCGCAACTCGTGAATATAATCATTCGTGCGCACTTCCCATAGAGTAATCTTTATTTAAGAGTTGGACTATTTTGTGAATTATAGGGCCCGTGAATGAATAACGTTTGGATATAACTTCAATGTTCTCTTTTCATCACAGCTGTTAGCCGCTCTTCGTGCCATCGTGGATATTGATCTGAATTTTAATCAAACGCCAGAGATAACCGTGCTGGATATGTATAATGAATACGTGTGGGAAGACAATACTGACCTGGCAAAGAAAGACGTCCTGCGCTCGCAAAGCGTACCGGGATTTGTCACAAGCTACATAATTGGCCAAATGGAAATTTCCCGCGTCAGAAGCATTGCCGAGAGGGAACTGGGGCGAAATTTTAATTTAGAGGAGTTCCATTACGAGCTGCTTCGACAGGGGGAGTTCCCCCTGAGGTATCTCGAAGAACACATACGTGATTATATCACATGCAAAAAGGACCCTACAATAGAGGGATGTAAAGAGTTTTGAGGCATAAATTTAATAGTTTTTGAAAGTCGATTGTGCGAAAGCAATATGCATTCTTTGCTGGACTGTGCGATTACGAAATACAGAATCGCTACAAATCACCAAAAAGGCTGGGAGTGAAATTAGCTACCGCTTGCGGTGAAATCTTTGACGCTACACGAAATTTCTCAGTGCCTAATTATCTTTATCACCACATACAGCAAAACTACATGTGTTTTCACCACCTATGACATAGCCCCCACTATATTTCATTTGCTCTTCCCTACGTATAACACTATAAGAAACAATTTGATCGTGTCTCCAAAATCTCTAGCTCGCATTGTGCACAACAGATTTCAACACGTTTCCGCAATTTTAATGACATGATACGCCATGTTTTCCTTTCTCCTTCTTTAACCCTTTTATTCCCTAAACTGACCAACATCTAATTTCTCCTGAGAATCACAGCTGAATCAAACATTAAGGACATGAGAATAAAGGAAATTATCACAGATCTAGATTGTTTTGCAAATTCTCTTTGTCAGTGCTATAGCAAATGTATAGAGAACGGTATGGAGAATATGCACACTGATGCTAGGATGTGAAGGGTTAATCTTAAGAGTTGATCCGTTTCTACGTTGTTTCCATCTGCAACATAGCGCACCTTGAAAACACCATTTGTAAAATTCATGGCAACAATTTCACCTGTTTCCAACTATGAGTAACATGTCTCGCGAAAACATTGAAACATTGGCACAAAAATTTCAGCTATTTCCAACAGCCACAGAACAATTCTTATTGTGTTCCGGCCTCTAAGAGAACTGTTACTATTTTGGTCAATCCGCTATCTATAATTCTATAGCTTAATGGAAGTTTTCGTATATAGCTTTTTTTAAAATTTTTGACGGGATATCATAGTTTCAAAGAGAGCCATTTAATCACTACAATGATTAATAAAATTGTATTTCACGTCGATACTTTTGACTTTATAATGATTGAGTAATTATGCGTTTACTAGATCTTTGTAAAAGAATACAAACCAATAGAGAATAAGAAGGCTCCCTTTACAACCCTCTCTTTGGGATCATTTTCCACTTCTCTGCAGTCAAATTTACTGCACATGGTGGTGGAAATGATTTACTCACTGGAAAAGGAAGGATGTCGTCATTGCTAAGTTCTGTTCTGTTGGGATCAACATAAACTAAGGAGCAACACTCAGTATCCTTCAAACCGGACACATCACGAAGATTAAACAGAATCTAAATTAGTAACAGAATCAAGGTTGTAACTGCAAGCTGTGCAATTTTTTCTCTGGGAAATGTTATTTTCTGGAAAGGTAGGAGTGGCTGGAACTTTCAAGGCAAAGGAGAGATAGTTTGAGCCCACAATATCTTTTTCAATAATTGTACATCGACCCTTTAATGATGATGATGATAATAATAATAATAATAATAATAATAATAATGATAATAATAATAATGTTATTAATAGTGATGATTTTAATGGGCAAGGGTTGTTAATCTTAATAATGATGATAGTGATGATGTAATAACAGGGATGCAATGCGAGCACTCAGTAATTTTTGAGAGGTCATATGTTGGTGAGCTCTTGCCTAGCTAACCAAGCAGTCATCATGCAGCAGTTTCTACACCTGGAAAGTCCACAGGAGATGCATCACTTTAAATGGGGAGTGGACGTCTGGCCCAGACCTTAACCCCTGCCACCACAATGATGATGGTGACAATGATGAAAATGAGCATGAAAGGTAAAATATTTCACATACTACATAATGCATGACACCCAAAGGACCAGTTCTCAAGTAAAAGAGTAAGACAGCATGGAAATAATTACTTGTATGGTTCCCAAAACCCATCACTGATTAGGTTTTATTGGCCAGGAATTATGGCTGTTTGATTCAAACTCTCAACAACAGAGCTTCAAAAGCTTTATTTTAAAACTATAACTATCATAAGAACATAATTTATTTGCAATTCTTGGAATTTGATTCCATTTTCTACACATTTTACATCAGTGTGATGGCAAACATTGTACAATATGTAAACTCTAAATCAACATCACTACTGTTCAGTATGAAGACGTTAGCTAATTAATTATATTTAAAATAATAAACAGATGTTCTAAAATTCTCAATGCACTACATCATATTGACTTTCAAGGCATACCTGAGCTACTATATTTGTCATGTATTATGTAGGTATAATTGCTGGTGATTGAAGAGAAGCAATGTTAACCTAGCACAAGGTGATTATAGCAGGAGTGCTAGATTTCAAAATAGGGCAAAACCCAAAACAGTATAGAAAAAGGTCACCTTGTGGCCTTTGTAAATAATCCATTACCAAGAACTTGGAGAACTACCCAGGTTAAAAAGACAACCTTAAGATATTATTACTAAAAGTAATTATAAATGTAAGCTATATATTGCATTCTGACTGTCCAGGAGAAAATGTGGAAGCTTTATTCATTGGTAAGCCTGCATAATGCAATGTGTTTCGTGTTTTCTAACATGAAGAATGGCTTCAGAATTCTATCAAATGGTCACATAAAGACAAAAATAGACCTTACAAAAAAAAAAATGAAAAAACCCATGTTCAGCAAAATGATCTGGTACACATGTGCATCTGTAAACAACCTTCATATTGACTGGAAGTTTTCTGCAAAGGACATTCATCATTTTAGAAATTCTTAAAATATACCATAAGTTAGTTACCAATAGTATACCCTCGATCATACAGCTGCTGAATGACATCCATTCCCACAAGAAGATTAGTATTCTCATTCACGGCATCAACCAATCCATTAGCACTAAGATGGTGTCCTCGAACTATGAGCTCAATATCTGCGGTTTCAAACTCACATGACTCTTCTATTAATTTAACTTTCTTTTTTTTGCTGGGATCAGATTGCAGGTTTAACTTCAACAGAAGCTCTCTGGATATGCCAGTGCCTGCTTCATTGCCAGTGTCAAACAGGACCTTTCTGACTCCTCGAACTGGAATCACTTCACCAAATGCATTCTTCATTTCAACTGGTTCTTCATCCCTTGATATGACTAAGGGTTTATATCCTGAAAACAGTAGAAAAATGCAATGTTTACTGCAGGGTAGATTAGGAAGCTAGTTTTCTCAAAATGTCCTGAGGTTTAGGCTTATTCTGAGATTTTAAAACAAGCTAGTGACCACCAGAGTTCCACCAGCTACTTTAAATCATGTCCCCAGTTACTCTGGTCAAAACAATTACCTTCTAACCCTTAATGAACTTTTCACAGTTACCTACTTTTGCCATCTGATGCCTAATTCAAAACATTTTGAAAGCCCTGCTTACTGTAATGTAATCTGCTAATAATGAGGTAGTTACCTAATACAGGGCAAAATTGCCAAATCCAAAGACAAAAGCGAAGAATGCAAATTAACACTGACAGAACAGACTAAAGTTGCAGCTCATGGTGTATCTTGGAGATAAAGAAAATCGAAGTCTGTAACATGGTCACAAAATTAATTTCCTCATTTTTTGGTGCAGATTTAGTAAGTTTTTTGGTGAATTTATCCCATCAAATATAAAAATTGCAATGTGAAACAGTTACTGTAGCATACTTTAGCAAAGGTAACTATGTGGCCAGTAATTTCTTTTCAGGATAGTAACATATGAACCTGTTTGAAAACATTTGATGGGAACTAAGAAAAATCTAAAACAGTAACTTCCCTCATTTGGACATTGGTTCTCAATCTCAAGAATATAAACATTCAATAACTTAAACTTCATTTGGTTAATTACTTTTAAATTTAAAGGTACAGGTTGTTCATCTCACAACCTAAATTACTGAAATGCTGGAAATTTATTTCAGTGCTGACTAGGTCTTTGCACACTAATCATAAGTTAGACTTCAGTTCAAGATCTTCTTCCCAGTTTCTGAAGTTTTATTTTCACAACATACTTGGTTGTGTATATAAAAAAAAGTTATTGTAATGATCTTATCGTTGGCCATACATAGTTTGCCTCTCTATGGCTTGCATATGTATTACATAACTCAATAACTTAGATCAATTGATTAGCAATCAGGGAAAATCACCAGGTGTGTCCAGTGTGGGGATTGCAATTATCACCAATTGCCACAATTGGCAAATAAAATTGCTAATATCTGACATGACAGATATTGGCAAATAAAATTTTCAGCAGCTCTATTGTTTGTATCATGCAGTAGGCCTTATAACATCTATGCATAACTCTGATCACTTACTTAAAATCAGGCCCTCACAAGTAGCTTTCCCGGCTTCATACTTAACAACTGCCACACCACGTACAACATCATCAGCTACATCCCATGGCCTCTTAAGTTGCAAATGAACTGGTCCTGTGGATAATACCAGGCTTTCTCTACAGTTCAGCGGCATATCTAACCGTTCTCCACTCATTGTCTCCAGAGTGATTCTTTCATTATTGATCGTACCAGCCCTTATTCCAATAAAGAAAATGCTGGTACATGCTGAGTGGGCTGGTAATCTGGGAAACTTTGAATGAGAAAGGAAAACAAATTGAAAAGAAGTGCAATTAAAGATATACTGACTGCATCTGGTGGGGTATACCTATAGCATGCTCAATCCTTACTTAGCAAGGTCCTGGGCACCAAGATACTTCACTTCCAGAGGGGGAAACCACAAAACTGTTGGAAAAAAAATCATCCAAAATTGCAAACCCCCCAAAAAAATTGATTAAAACTGAATACTGCATTCAAAACTGTCAAAAACGATAAGTTTTCAGATCCCAGTTATCAAAATCCTAATCGATCTGATGCAGTGGTAACAAGTGGAGCAAAAAGAGGTTACATGGCTATTCAAAACCAATGGAGGCACATAATTGTTGCTCAGAGTGACGAGAAACTGGAACCCAAATAGAAAAAACTGAAAACCATATGGAATACCAAAGCAGAAAATCCACTAGCATTTTTGATGAAAACTGAAACCCAAACAGTAAAAAAAAAGGAAAATCCGCAAACTGCAATGAACACCAAGATTGAAAAACCTTTGACACTGTCTTTCTGTGGTCAGGATTTAACATCATATCAACATGTCTGTGAAATGATGGCAATGCTGGAGAGTAAATTACAATGAACTGTTATCCTATCCAGAAAGAGAAGCAGTACTGCTAATAACTTTATGCTACAAAAACATGGGTGTGGGTCAGTTTCATTTGCAAATATCCCTTAAGCTACAGTGTACAATTAGTTACCTCTGAGTTGACATATCCCTGTGCCTCTCGAAGTACTTCATGAACATTTTCATCATCTAGGGGGTCCAGTGGTGTTTTATCAATATCCTGTAAAGGAAAGAGAAGTCAATCTTTTTAGTACTACAGAATATGAAAAAGAGACTTTGTTGGCACCTCTACATCATCATTCCCACTCAGGGCTTTCTCCTTCCTGTCATCTCTTGCCCCAATGAATGGGAAGGGGAACATAAGCTGGAGTAAAAAAGTGGATCTAGCTTATAGTTCATGAAAGTTTGGGTTGGACTAATAAAAAAGTTGTCAAAAAACAATAACAGTAACAATTCATCTCTATATTTAAAGTAAACTTGTTTGATTCTGATTATACTGAAAAATAATTACAAGCTATCATTAAGGACAGGTTGTGTTCTGATCATGTTTGGGACCTGGGATCTAGGACCTGGCCACTCATGAGTCATGATACAAACTTCACCTGTAACTACTGCCTTTAGGATGCTACAAAAACAGGGGTGTGGGTCAGTTTCATTTGCAAATATCCCGAAAGCTACAGTAAATACACTTAGTTACCTTTGGGTTGTGATATTCATGAGCCTCTCTAAGTCCTCCATAAACACTTTCATCATCTTGGAAGTCTGGTGGTGTTTTATCCACATCCTGTAAAGGAAACAGAATCTTTTTAGTACTACAGAATATGAAAAAGAGACCTTGTTGGCACCTCTACACCCTCATTCCCACTCAGGGCTTTCTCATTCCTGTCATCTCTTGCTCAAGGGGATGGGAAGGGGAACATAAGCTGGAGTAAAAAGCAGATCTAGCTTGTAGTTACAACAAGTTTGGGTTAGGCCAATAAAAAAGTTGTCAAAAAATTTTGCTATAACTTGTTCTAAATTGTCTCGTGTTACTCATTATAAATTTAAGAAAAACAATAACAATTCATCTCTCTATTTAAAGTAAACTTGTTTGATTCTGTTTATACTGAAAATTACAAGCTGTCATTTTGTACATGGTTGTGTTCTGATCATGTTTGGGACCTGAGATCCAGGACTTGGCCACTCATGAGTTGTGATACAAACTTCACCTGTGACTCCTGCCTTTAGGATGCTACAAAAACAGGGGTTTGGGTCAGTTTCATTTGAAAATATCTCTTATGCTACAGTGTACACTTAGCTACCTTTGGTTTGAGATATTTATGTTCCACATGAAGTTCAAGGGAAGTATTTACAATACTAAAGAGGGCATTTATTAATCTACCCATATCCTGTAAAGGAAACAGAAGTCAATTTTTTAGTACCAGTTTCTTTGCAAATATCCCTTAAGCTACAGTGTACACTTAGTTACCTTTTGGTTGTAATATTCATGAGCCTCTTCAAGTCCTACATAAACAATTTCATCACCTTGGAGGTCCAGTAGTATTTTATCCACATCCTGTAAAGGAAACAGAAGTCAATCTTTTTAATACCACAGAATATATATAAAAAAGACCTTGTTGGCACCTCTACACCCTCATTCCCTCTCAGGGCTTTCTCCTCCCTGTCATCTCTTGCTCCAAGGGATGGGAAGGGAACATAAGCTGGAGTAAAAAGCAGATCTAGCTTGTAGTTACAGCGAGTTCGGGTTAGGCCAATAAAAAAGTTGTCAAAAGATTCTGCTGTAACTTGTTCTCAATAGTCTCTCATAACTCATTATAAATTTAAGAAAAACAATAACAATTCATCTCTCTATTTAAAGTAAACTTGTTTGATTCTGTTTATACTGAAAATTACAAGCTACTATTTTGTAGAGGTTAATTGTGTTCGGACCATGTTTGGGACCTTAGATCTAAAACCTGGCCACCCAAAAGTTGTGATAAAAAATTCACCTTACTTCACCTGTGACTCCTACCTTTGGGAAGCTACGAAAACAGGGGTGTGGGTCAGTTTCATTGCAATGTCCCTGAAGCTACAGAGTACACTTAGTTACCTTTCGGTTGCAACATTCAAATGTCTTCTTAAAAAGTTCACGATAAGCACTTAAAAGATATATAAAGCCCAGTTGTAGTTCAACCACATCCTGTTAAGGAAACAGATGTCAATCTTTTTAGTACTACAGAATATGAAAAAGAGACCTTGTTGGCACCTCTACACCCTCATTCCCACTCAGGGCTTTTTCCTTCCTGTCATCTCTTGCTCAAGGGGATGGGAAGGGGAACATAAGCTGGAGTAAAAAGCAGATCTAGCTTGTAGTTACAGCAAGTTTGGGTTAGGCCAATAAAAAAGTTGTCAAAAGATTTTGCTACAACTTGTTCTCAATTGTCTCTCTCTACTCATTATAAATTTAAGAAAAACAACCAAAATTCATCTCTCTAATTTAAGTAAACTTGATTGATTCTGTTCATACTGAAAATTACAAGCTACCATTTTGTAGAGGTTGTGCTCTGACCATGTTTGGGACCTTAGATCTAGGGCCTGGCCACTCAAGAGTCGTGATAAAAACTTCACCTGACTTCATCTGTGACTCCTGCCTTTGGGATGCTACAAAAACATGGTTGTGGGTCAGTTTCATTTGCAGATATCCCTTAAGCTACAACATACATCTAGTTACCTCTTGGTTGAAACATTCAAGTGCCTTCTTAAGAAGTTTACTATAAGCCCTAAAAAGATTTTTGAAGCCCAGATGTATTTCAAGCACATCCTGTTAAGGAAACAGATGTCAATCTTTTTAGTACCACAGAATATGAAAAAGAGACCTTATTGGCACCTCTGCACCATCATTTCCACTCAGGACTTTCTCTTTCCTGTCATCTCTTACTCCAGGGGATGGGAAGGGGAACATAAGCTGGAGTAAAAAGTGGATCTAGCTTGTAGTTACTTCAAGTTTGTGTTGGGCCAATAAAAAAGTTGTCAAAAACCTTTTCTTTAACTTGTTCTCAAAAGTCTCTCATTACTCATTATAAATTTAAGAAAAACAACAACAATTCATCTCTTTATTTAAAGTAAACTTGTTTGATTCTCTTTACACTGAAAATTACAAGCTATCATTTTGTACAGGTTGTGTTCTGACCATGTTTGGGACCTGAGATCTAGGACCTGACCACTCATGGGTTGTGATACACTTCACCCGTAACTACTGCCTTTAGGATGCTACAAAAACAGGGGTGTGGGTCAGTTTCATTTGCAAATATTCCGAAAGCTACAGTAAATACACTTAGTTACCTTTTGGTTGAGATATTGAAGATCATTCTTTAGAAATATAAGATAACGATTTACAACACATTTGAAGATCTGTTGTACTCGATGCACATTCTGTAAAGGAAACAGAAGTCAATCTTTTTAGTACCACAAAATATGAAAAAGAGACCTTTTTGGCACCTCTGCACCATCATTTCCACTCAGGAATTTCTCTTTCCTGTCATCTCTTGCTCCAGGGGATGGTAAGGGAACATAAGCTGGAGTAAAAAGTAGATCTAGCTTGCAGTTACTTCAAGTTTGTGTTGGGCCAATAAAAAAGTTGTCAAAAAATTTTGCTGTAACTTGTTCTCAATAGTCTCTCATTAATTACTCATTATAAATTTAAGAAAACAACAACAATTCATCTCTCTATTTAAAGTAAACTTGTTTGATTCTGTTTATACTGAAAATTACAAGCTGTCATTTTGTACATGGTTGTGTTCTGATCATGTTTGGGACCTGAGATCTAGGACCTGCCCACTCTTGAGTTGTGATACAAACTTCACCCATGACTCCTACCTTTAGGATGCTACAAATTGCAAATTATAATGCAAATATCCCTTGAGCTACAGTGTACACTTAGTTACCTTTGGGTCGAACCTTCCAAATCCCCACTCAAAAAGTTCATTACAAACACAAAAAAGATCTTCGAGGCACAGTAGTTCTTCAAACAGTTTCTGTTAAGGAAACAGAAATCAATCTATTTAGCACTACAGACTATGAAAACGAGACCTTGTTGGCACCTCTACACCATCATTCCCACTCAGGGCTTTCTCTTTCCTGTCATCTCTTGCTCCAAGGGATGGGAAGGGAACATAAGCTGGAGTAAAAGGCAGATCTAGCTTGTAGTTACTTTATGTTTGGGTTGGGCCAATAAAAAAGTTGTCAAAGAATTTTGTTACAACTTGTTCTCAATAGTCTCTCATTAATTACTCATTATAAATTTAAGAAAAACAATAACAATTCATCTCTCTATTTAAAGTAAACTTGTTTGATTCTGTTTATTCTGAAAATTACAAGCTACCATTTTATACAGGTTGTGTTCTGATCGTGTTTGGGACCTGAGATCTAGGACCTGGCCACGCATGAGTCATGATACAAACTTCAACAATGACTCCTGCCTTTGGGATGCTACAAAAACAGGTGTGTGGGTCAGTTCCATTTGCAAATATTCCTTAAGCTACAGTGTACACTTAGTTACCTTTGGATTAAGATATTCATGTGTCTCATAAAGATCAAGGAAAGTCCTTGCACTACTAACAAGGGCCGTTATTAATGTACCCATATCCTGTAAAGGAAACAGAACTCAATGTTTTAGAAATAGCTTAGGGTTTAGGTTGGGTTGGGCCAACTTAAAAGTTGTCAAAAAATTTTGCTATAACTTGTTCTAAATTGTCTCTTGTTGCTCATTATAAATTTAAGAAAAACAATAACAATTCATCTCTCTATTTAAAGTAAACTTGTTTGATTCTGTTTATACTGAAAATTACAAGCTGTCATTTTGTACATGGTTGTGTTCTGATCATGTTTGGGACCTGAGATCCAGGACTTGGCCACTCATGAGTTGTGATACAAACTTCACCTGTGACTCCTGCCTTTAGGATGCTACAAAAACAGGGGTTTGGGTCAGTTTCATTTGAAAATATCTCTTATGCTACAGTGTACACTTAGCTACCTTTGGTTTGAGATATTATGTTCCACATGAAGTTCAAGGGAAGTATTTACAATACTAAAGAGGGCATTTATTAATCTACCCATATTCTGTAAAGGAAACAGAAGTCAATTTTTTTAGTACCAGTTTTTTTGCAAATATCCCTTAAGCTACGGTGTACACTTAGTTACCTTTTGGTTGTAATATTCATGAGCCTCTTCAAGTCCTCCATAAACATTTTCATCACCTTGGAGGTCCAGTAGTATTTTATCCACATCCTGTAAAGGAAACAGAAGTCAATCTTTTTAATACCACAGAATATATATAAAAAAGACCTTGTTGGCACCTCTACACCCTCATTCCCACTCAGGGCTTTCTCCCCCCTGTCATCTCTTGCTCCAAGGGATGGGAAGGGAACATAAGCTGGAGTAAAAAGCAGATCTAGCTTATAGTTACTGTAGGCTTGTGCTGGGCCAATAAAAAAGTTGTTAAAAAATTTTGCTATAACTTGTTCTCAATAGTCTCATTACTCCCAATAACAATAAGTTTAACAAAAGAGAAGAATATCATATTTCAAGAGCTTTCACAATGGTAGTTGCTGCTTATCATGACTTTGCCCTATTTGTGTCGAATATACGATAAAATTCAGTTTGTTTACAACAATGGACATGAAATAAGGTGAAGTTTTCACAAAAAAAAACCAAAAAACTAAAAAACTAAATAAACTCCCTGTAGAGAGAAAATTGAAAAACAGGAAGTTTTGAAGGGGGGCCCTAATCAGCGTAGGGGGGGTGTTTCTAAACCTGCTACGACACTGGGGTAATGTAAGTTTCTCAAAAAATCTACTGACAACTGTGCTGTTGGCATAGTAGTGAAAACTTACTTGCTCTTTATCGGTTTTCTTCTCAAAAATGAACTGTTTTTCATCTTGCTCACCCAGCTTACAGCATCTTCGTAAGAGGCTCTGATAGTACGTCAGCTGACATCCAAATTTGAGCCCTTCATTTGTTACCTCTTCATTTGTCCAGAAAGATGTGTTCCCTGACTTTCGTAGCTGGAAGGGTTTTCCTTCGCCTCTTTCGTTGTCATCAATATCCCTGCAGTAAACGTTGCTGGTTGAGGCACATTTTCGTGCTACAGCTACAACTACACCGTTGACAAGAGCAGGGGTTGTTCGATGTGTATTTCGTCTACGCAGATCTGCAGAAAAACTCTGAGATTCAAGGGAATCTGCTTCTTTGGGAAACAGCAGATTATCTCCAACTGACACCATAGCTTTAAACACTTTTATCTACATCATAAACGCGTGCGGCGCACTCAAAACATGTGCTGAAATCTTAGTAATCCTAAAATTGGCCACGATGTTTGATCCACGTTTGGTGTCTTCACTGCTGACGTGAAACTGCGGTCAGCAGTTTGTGGTTAGAAGTTAGAAGTCTCGGGACTTTCAGCTTTTCAGATCGACGTCGGCTTTCACCTAAAAAAACGAACAAAAAACCAACATGTGAGCCGCCATCTTGAATTACACAAAAGATGGAGGTCCCTCATTTCAAACCCAAAATGTGGCTAAAAGATTGGTTTTCTAGCGTCCCAAACGGATTGGTTATGAAGAAAAGACTTCACCCCACTTATATTTACTCGACATGCGTGAGAACTTTGGAACAGGAAGAAAGAGCCTAAAGGGAGCTCACGTACTTGACACCGCCTTATCCGAAGTTCAAAGGTAGAACATTGCATCACTAAAGCTGTGCCTAAACGTACGGTCGTCACTAGTTTCCATCCGTGAAACTGACGTGACGTCATATGATCTCCGACGGGAATCTTCGGTTCAGTGGTTCGGGTTTCGGGTTTCCTTTAGAAAAAACAAATATGGCGGATGTTTCTCTCTTAACCTTTTGCAGATCTTTATGTTTTGCCTTGTACATCAAATAAAACTCTGAGTTACTTTTAATAAAGCTGAGAGCAACTGTTTATATTTTAGTGCGTATACCAGTGTGTATCACCGAATGGTGAATCAACGTCAGTTTGAAAGATGGCATATTCGATCGTAATCTTCCATCCGTGAAAGTGACGTGACATGCTAGGTGATCGTACTCGGCGATGAACGACAATTTGCCGAACATTGCCCTCGGATTTCCGAGCATTTCTTTCCCGCTAAGCTTCGTTCTTTGGCGGGCATTTTCAAATATGTAAATGCAGATTTTCTATTAAGGTTCCGCGACCGCTAAATCTGGAAGTTTAGTAAGAACTGTGATAGCCCAGCTAACCCTTTTAGAAATGGCTACGCCAGTAAATGTCAAAGAACGCCACACAGATGATCTTGTACAATTAAACAGTACTTTGAGTACTACTGCTCATGCGGTATGTTCGTGGGAGCCGAAGTTTAAAGGATCTACAAGCAAGTATGTTGGTTATGTCGAGTCAGTTGAAGCAGCCATGGCTGTGATAAAGCAATATGAGATAGAAACCACGACAAAGTTTTCCTGTTTTAAATCTGACAAGATGTTTGGGGCTGGAGGTGAGTCTATTATGCATGCAAACATAGGAAAAATATACATTTAGATTGGGGGGCATAGGCGAACGAACAGGAGGGGGGGGGGAGGCGGCAGCCCCCAGTCGTAATTTTTTTTCGGACAAAATTACCCTGCGAACAGAGTCTCTTCGATCTTCTTACCCGACTGATCTAGGAAGATCGACTCTGCTCGCTGGGTAGGACAAAATGCCCATGATTCCAGCAAAAGCACATGGAGAAAACAAACAAAAAATCCCATTAATTAATAAAATGGGTTTCAAGAATTCAAATTTGGATTCTGGAATTGTGACACTAGTTTCGTGAGACACGATAATTTTAAACAGTTAGTTTTTTTTTTTAATTTAGGTCAAGGTCACCACCCAAGTCTGAAAGGTGCGCCCGTACGCCTATGGGTGTATGTGTGTAGGGGGAGGTTACTCCCATAGTGGACTATGAATGTTGAGAGGCTGTGCATGAAAGGGTTACCTTTTTCAGGTCAAAAGTAGTAGATGAAAAGATAAGGGTTTGGACCACTGGACAGATCCCCCCCTATATAAAAAATTATTGAGTAGAACCCCCCTCCCTCTCACTGGGATGTCCAGTAATATCTGTCTAAAAATTACAACTAAGGTTAGCTGATGTTTGTATAGTCATATAGGCTTATTGACTTTATTAAGAACGAATTTCACCTGATCTGAAAAAAAATGTGTGGGTTCTTGCTGGATTCAACTGTAGCTTACGTGCTTGGGTTAAGCAGGTGAGGGCTATGGATGAATATTAGATAAAGGTGAAGCAGGTAAAAAAAAGAAACAAATTGGGTCATTTAATCTTTGAAATAAAGAACAGAAATGCTTGATAAAATGACCAGTGCATTAAATAAAATACAAACAAAAATTCCTTCTTTGGATGTTGTCAAAGATCCCTTTGCCAAGCCAAGAAAAGTTTATTTAAAAGATGACAAAATCCCATTTGATGGAGTGCCCTTCAGTATCATTGGCTCAAAGGTGTTTGACTGCCAACATGGTCCAGACAGAAAAAAGGCATTCAAAGCAAGACAAGCCAATGAGAAGGTATGTTTTTGACAAATTAAAATTCAAAAAAAAATCTATTTCTTCCCCATCTAAGTAACCTTTTGTTTTTGTTTGTTTCTTTTCTTACATTATAATTATTATTTCTTCTTAACTACAGGCTGGCGATCACTCCTTCAAAAAGAAGAGATTTTTACCTCAAGACACCATGAAATTCGGGTGCACTGCAAGTATTCGTCTATCAGAAGTTATTACATATCGAAGTTACAAGGTACTTCAGTCTGTAAACAATGAGATGATGATGATGATGAAGATGCTGATGATGATGATGATGATTATTATTATTACTATAACTATTGCTGTGTGCTATTGATAGCGATGTTTTCAACATATTTTTAAGTATAGTAACCCCAATACTCATAATTTATTATTAGTCTGTACTAAATTACAAGTAAAAGTTTTGTTAACAATAACTCTTTACAAGTAGATCAGGGATGACACAGAGAGACTTCGACGGGACATGTCCAAAAAGCTAAAGACTGATACCAACAGTGGACAAAAACCTCCATATGAACGTAGAATCTATATCTACCTACCAAAGGAGGATGAACACAAAGACCATATCACTGGCGAGGTTTGTTAAGCACCCGTCCGATGAATGGTCTTACAAGTAAACCTAAGATCATTTTTATAAATTTTTCTGTACTGATAAATGAGACAATGGTGAATTTTAAGCTTGGAAATAAAACTGCTGAACCTAGCAGTATGCATGCAGGATGCATGTTAAATGGGCTGGCTCTCCGGGAGTTCTTGTAGCTCACTGGAAAGAGTTTCTGCCCGAACGTTTGGGATGTCATGGGTCAATTTCTGTCAGGGACTCAGCTTTGTTTCTTTGCTTCATGCTTGTGTCATGTTGATGCTATCATCCTTTTCACATTTTTCTGTACTGTCACTTACTTTCTTAATCTACCGTTTTGTCTATTAAACTGTATTTTGATTTTAAGACAGGATCAACAAAATAAACAAGTTCATTCTGATTAATTTGTGCCCATAATTTAAAAGGAAAGTCAGGTCGTCATGCAAAGTGTAATAAGTCGATACCAGAAACTGTAATCTAAAGTACCCATGTCGGTAGCAATATACCTCTAATCGGATGCCACTGACATCCTGAGTAGAATAATTATTACTCTACTCAGGCTCAGTGACAACTATTCCACAATATTGGCTTAACCTCGTGCGGATCATCGACCATTCAGTATTATTATTAATTATACATATTAAATTATATATTTGTATAGTTATTAACACAATTTTTTTCCTTCTTTTTCAACAAATAAGGTTGGTGGTCTTCTGCAACCAATTGACAAACGGCTTGTAGACAAGATTGAAGAGCTTGTTGGTGAAGGTGTTAAAACTGTTGATGAAATGAAAAGACACCTTAAACAGTTTGTGAAATGTGAACTTTTTCCAGGGCAGACTCCACCTCCTATTACAAACAGGGGCTTCTATCCCACAGATGTGGATGTCAGGAACCACATGTACTGGGCATTGGTAAAAAAATTGCTGTCCAAAGTGGATCAGGAAAACCTGCAAAGGAAAATAGAAAATTGGCGTGAGGAGCATCCTGAAGACTCGTTCTATTTTCGACCCAGTGCTCTGTCTACCTCAGCTACTGCCGAAACAGGAAGTGAAACAGATGAGACTTGTGAGCAGACTGAAGAACTCCTCTTTGCACATCAAACAGCCTGGCAGAAACATCTTATGAATCTTTATGGAAATGAAATATCCCTCCTTGATGCAACCTACAAGACAATGAGATATGACCTACCATTATTTCTTCTGGTTGTCAAGACAAATGTTAACTACACGGTTGTGGGATGTTTTATAATTCAAAGGGAAACAACAGCTTCCATTCAGGAAGCACTGGAAATCTTTCGAGATTGGAATGAAAGCTGGAAGCCACGATATTTTATGACTGACTTTTGCCAGGAGGAGATTAATGCCATTGAGAGCACATTCCCAGGTAAGAATGTTTCAATAAAATATATGTTAACCTTAGACTTCAATTGATGTGAGTGGCTGATAAGAGCATCCTAATACATTTGCTGACCACAAGGGCTAACTGCATATTCTTCTTGGCAATTTTCCCCTTGTTGAAGACCTACTTTAGAGACTAAATTAAAAAATATGGTTAAATGTGGTTTAACATGTAGAACAGTTATTATAACTTTGGAGATAATAAGAATTGTTTAATCTGGATGGCTTACCATTAATCATAACCAACCAGTTCATATATATATATAGTGTCATAAAGAAAAGGTTTTACTTATAGGTTTCCAATTTTTTCAAAAAATACAAAAATTGTATCCAAATAAAGATTTTATGAAGTTAATTTTTTATTTAATAGATACCACAACATATATCTGTGACTTTCACCGAGAACAAAGCTGGGAGAGATGGCTGAGAAAAACTGAAAATGGTTTGTCAGAGAGCAGGGAGGAGGTCCTAAGTCTGCTTCGTAATGTTGCCAAATCATCAACAGAGGAAGCATTTCAAGACAATCTGTCCTCACTTAAGGAGAGTGACCTTTGGTTAGCCAATCCCAAGCTTAGAAATTGGTTTGAAAAAAAAAACCTGGTTGGTAGAGGCCAAGGTAAGTAGTGTACACACATCAAACATTTGCTTGGGTTTTCTCTGTCACTTTCAGTAAATAGTGCAGGACCATTCTCAGTCAGTGTTTTCCACAGAGCATAGTATTGTCCGTATGTCTACTAGCAGTTTGATATTAAAAAAACCTATTGACAATATTGATAAGGTACACATCTGTTGGATTGTCATTGCCGCCATTGGCTTGTTATTTAATATCTAAAAGCCTGAAGGAGACAATGCGGTGTGACTTTTACAAGTTTTTGTAACACAGCAACAACAATTTGAATACTGTATTAGTGATTTATTGATTCATTTTGTAATTATTTATTATGTCATAAATTTGGCACAATAAACATATGATGCCCAAGCATGCAGCAAGGGAGAAATATAATACTTTTGAAAAGATTAAATTTCCTGTAACCTGTTCTGTTACAGATGGGTGTGGGCATTTAAGCAGGACAGATTCCTGGTCAGTATCAACACCAACAATGGAACTGAACGCCAGAATGAATCGTTGAAATACCAATATTTGAAGGACCGCAATAACAACAGCCTTAGCGGGATGATTACCGTAGTGACTGAGGAGTATTTTCCAGACAAATACAGAAGGTACAGTAACTGTTAAAGACAGACAAAACATCACTATTAACCATTTTGAGGTGGGGAATCACTTCATCATGACCAAAAAAAAAGCACAATAATTATTATTGCACAGTTTGAGTGAAGTTTTTATGACAGTGTGTTTGAATTTTTTGAATCTCATACAATTCCTTAAAAATTTCTCAAAAATTCAGACTGCGACAAAGAATCACTCTCTAATGTCAGGCCCCTAAAACTTAGCCATTTTGTATTTTTGAATGCTCTTGGGGTTTCGAGGAATTAGTCTATTTTTTAACACAATATTTTTTCATTATTATTGACAAGGTCACTTGACTCTTATGAGCAAAGAGATAGCCAGTTTCAAGCTATTGAATAGTCGGGGCTAATGAAAAAGTGGGTGGTCAATGGAAAAAATGAGCCTTTCCCTCGTCCCCTTTTTTTTTTTTTCACTCACTTAGCTATTTGAGAATAATGGCCCAACAACAATACCTCTACAAACTTGCAATTCATATTCTATCAAAACGTTAAGTAAATCGGAAGCGATGATCTCTCCATCTAAGCAGCTTGCATGTCAACCTTTTTCCTCTCTCTTTCTATTTTTGTTAGGTATGTGGAGCTAAACACAAAGTTTAGTGGAGGCTACAAGCGTTACAGCTTGACCCTACCCAAATACCTGCACAACAAACCAAGACCTTTCCTAAACCACTGTGAGAAGCAGATAAAACATGCAAGCGAAGTTCAATCAAAACACATCAGAGAAGAAGAAGGCGGAAATTTCAAAGTCCAGTCCCAGACAGATGAAGTTTGGTACGATCTTTCTTTTGGTTCTGAGAATATCATACCAAGATGTACCTGTCCTGATTTTTGCCACACTGGGCTGCTATGTAAGCATTTTTTTGCAATATTTGACCTGTATCCAATGTGGCAGTGGGATGCATTACCAGAAAAGTTCCGACAAAACCCTCACATCTCACTAGACTGGGAACATGTCTTTGTTGATGCTAATAAATATAAAGCTACCGATGAGTCCACTGAGGAAGGAAATAATGGCATTGGCGAAAATCTTAAAAGAACACCTCCCCATTTAAATGTGTACTTCACCATTTTAATGTGTACTTGAAATTTTGGGTATCTTAGTTCCTGAATGAACCAATCAGATCTCAAATACATTTTTAATTAGGTCTTTGGGATATAAGTTACTGTGTCCACCAATCAGATTTGGTTTGTAATGTGAAACTTACTCTTCAGCAACTTAGTTCCTCAACAAACCAATGACATGGAAGAATATAGGTCAGGTCATTTCTAAATTAAGGTTTGCCTGTTTTATTTCTGTCAACAACAAATAAAACAGACAACATTTGGGGCATTTCTGCTTTAAGAGCAGTAATGTTTCATCATAAATTGGATGCTATCTGTACTAAATTATTCTTCTTCGAGGTTGTATTATTTTTATTAGCGCTAGACGCGTAGAAGCTTTTTGTAAAGTTTTGTCACTGTTGTAATTTTGCAGTTAAAAAAAATCAGTTACATTTGGCGTTTGTGGAACATCACTCACTTGCACTTTACAAGATGAATAATAGCCTGAGATACTGGAGGTAGTTTCTTTGTCATTACTTTGCCCAGTTGTGTAGGACTACAACTTGGAGTGCAGAAAAGCAAAATGTGAAGCAAACCATAACAAAAACTGGGCAAAGTTCATTAAGTATGCAAGCTGTACCTCTCGCCGGAAGTATTTCATAAGCTCCCTAAGATTCTACCAGCTAGAAGTACACGAACAAATAAAAATAAATGAATGCATACGTACTCTTGAAAAAAATGATTCAAAGTAGTGTAAGACTAGTTTGGAGTGCAGAAAAAGTAAAATGTGAGGCAAACCTTGATAAAAATTGAGCAAGGTTGACTCAATACGCAAGCTGTACCTCCAGTAGTATTTTCTGAGCCTCCTCACCGGCTAGAAGTACAAGGCAATAGAAATTTCATCTTGCGGATCTTTCTAACCAGTGGCACAATGACAAGGGCATGGTAGTGGCGATACTATCCATAAGTTTCGTTTACCTTTGCAAGCTCAGACCTTAGCGGCTACAGTGTTAAGCTAAAACTCTGTTGAAGAAGAAACTTAAGATCGACGAGGGTGAAGGAAACAGCCATAAAAAATTTAGCCAAATTTCCTTGATATAAATGAAAACAATGTATTCTTCACATGTAAAGCATGTTATAATGTACGTGTCTGGTGCAATAACGTCGCTTGTATGTTGGCAAATCGCAAATGGTGTTACCGGAATAGTTCACCCGACTCGGAAACTCGTTACTAGTGCTCCTCGGGCGTACCTCTGGCCGGTACGATTTGTTCGTCACTAGTTTCCATCTGTGAAACTGACGTGACGTCATATGATCTCCGGCGAGAATCTTCGGCACAGTGATCGGGTTCCCATTCGTAAAAACAAATATGGCGGACACTAAAGCTTGAGGCGATTACCATGAGTACGGAGATTGAGGAGATGGTGTGAACGGTGAATGGTGAGTATATAATCTTTAATCATAATAACAATTGTAAAGAACAATCTTCGTATTATTTTGTTCATTTAGGAATTTGCAAGGAAATGCTCTTGTAATGTTATTCACATTTCTGAAGAAACGTCGTTTTGGTCGATGGAGAGATGGGCCATCCATCAAAATGACATAAGACTAGATGAAGGTGAAAGTTTGGTCGAGAGTTAGCGGTAAATGTACTAAGGTCTGTCTGCCTGAAGTGCTGGTAGGCATGCTATAAGAAATTACCATCCTTGTTTTTATAAATTTACCATAAAAATTTCTTTACTGAATTTTTTTTTTAGAGAATGCAAGATTAAACTTTTTTTTTTCCTAAAATGCAAATAAGGTCATAGCCTGTTAATGGAAACATGAGCTTACTAGTTACGGTACATGTAAACACAGACCAAACTAATATTGTTAGGTACTTTTTTTTTTATGTTGACACAAATTTATAGAACTAAGCTTCAAGTAAGCTTATTAAAATGTAAAAACTGAAACAGTAGATATTAACCATACAATATCATTTAAGTCATACAGTTGAAAAACAACTAAACTATTTGCCACCATGCAAGTTGGTAACAATGATTAGCCCTCAAAACAGCATAATACTCAACAAGTATAATTAAAGCAAATGCTTTACCAAACTTATTTTTTTGCATAACACATGTGGTGGCAAGCATAACAGATGTGGTGAAATTTAAAGTTAAAAATAACTTTAAAAATTTTCTACAACAACTGTTTTTTTTCAAATTATTTTGTCTGTTGACTTTTTTAAAAAAATTTCAGTTGGAATACTTGTAAATAGATTACTAAGACAATTATTTAAACTGCAGTTTGGTATCCTTTTTTAAAAAAAAATTGTATCACAATATTTTAAACCATTTTTGGATTACTTCAAAATTGTGTGGTTCCAAAAATAGATACCCATCTCTAGAAGATCACTATAAGTTGCAGCCACTGACTGTTTAACCAATATTTTTTTGGGAAACTATGGCGCTAAACTGAGATTTCTTAAAAGGGACTTTAACCTAAAAAGCCCCTTCTGTTGGGTGTGAGGGAGATATGAAAATTTTCTGTAACACAGTTATGACAATGACCTTCACAAAAAGTTCTGTGATGAAATTGCAAATGAGAGGAATGGTTTCAAGTGACAAACTTAAAATATCTGATGTCTAAGACTTGCAGATTTTTTGCTAGACACATGTTGGTCACTCAGTTCCTTTAATATTTTGTAGCTTCTCTGCATTTGCCACACTTCCACTTTCTACCGCTGTTAATAGCCCACTCTGGTATGTTGACACAAGAAGTATGATACCATGCTCTGCATCTGTAGCTGCACTGAACATATTCCTCTTTATCATATGGCATTCTACATAGAATAGAATTTTTATGGTAAATTTATAAAATTGTTCCACAAACGCCGCCAAAGTAGAAAGAGTGGGCTGAACTGCACGGATAAATGTGGATGTTAAGATAGTGGAGAAACGTGTGAAAATGTGCGTAACGATGAAGACGACGGTTCCAGTGATGATAATGAGAGTGATGAGGAAGAAGATGGTTGAAGATAAATACAATTTTGATGTTTTAAATGATAAGGTTTTGTAAAAGGACACTGCCAGTCCCAAGTCGCTAAAAAATTTACCAAGATTAAATCTCGAATGCCTGTGGCTCCCTGGAGTACAACAACAGGTCTACTTCAGAGAAATGAATAAAGGGGGTAAGTTTCCAAAGAAATTGAGGTGCTGCGTCGGTGGGCGGAGTATAACAAGGTAATTTAATATTGTCAACTTAGTTGATGACGTAAATTGGCCACTGTAAAGAGTTTCAAGGCGACGTTTCGAGGGTTAGCCCTTCGTCAGAGCAAATGCAGGAACTTTGGGTTGCGTGTGTTTATATGCAGAAAACGGAGCTACTTTATTGGTGGGAATATGGTGATGAGAAAACAAGAATAAATTAGTTGAACGAAAAGTGCTCGTTGATACAGTGGGGCTTTCCGAAATGCCTAGATCAGTGTAGGGAAAAGCCGCAAACAGCCATATATTGTTAAGAATAATTTGGGAGATTTAAGTGTTTAGCGACTGGTTTGGATTCGTCCTTGTCATTTTTTTTTCTACTTCGCGAAGGTGTTCTCGTAATCGGCCTCCTAGTCGTCTTCCTGAAAATGAAATTAGTGGATGTTATGGAAAGGTAGTGCCAGACTCTGAATCGTTTCAAAGTAATCTAAAGTTTTTAATAATGATATAATGAACTGTGTGGTTATGAGGGTGGAATGTGATAGTGAATGGAATGGGATCGGTATTTTCCCTCCGTGTCGTTTGTAGTGCTGACTGTCGATCAACTTGTTGGGCGCGGTGGTGGCCCGCCTGAACGACAAAAGGGACCTTAAGCAGTCAGGACGACAACGCCAAGGAAGACTTCGATTGAAAAATGAATTTCTGCCTTTAATTAGAATTTAAAAAAATGGCTGCATTTGTTTACCGTCTCATACGGCGCCACACCTCAGCATAACGTATAAAGCGTTAAGTTCCAAATGGAAATTAAAATAATTTGCCGTCGCGGTTTCGGTTCGCAGACGACGCAAACTGTGGTGATTTCACGTTGTTGTTTTGCATGGGACGGCTCAGAAATGTACAAAGTTTAAAACGCACGTGCTGAGCTATTGTTCTGCCGATTAGATCTTTTGTTTTTCCATGTCCTCGTTGCCGTCGCCGTCGGGGTTTGCTTAAGGTCCCTAATAACAGGATAGCCACGTATATCGAAAAACTGGCACATTGCCTCGGATTTTTCGGAAAGATCAGAGCCGTCATTAAATACTTCTGAGTAATATTGCCTTTAATGATTATGTCGGGAATGATAGCGAGTTTTATTTTGGTATAATTGCACTCTCAAGCAAAGCCAAATATCACAGTCTCGCTTTCATGTTTTCGAAATTCACGTCACCAGCACATTTTATCGGAAAGGAACAGATGGAGCTGAAAGAAATTCCTACGCTGTTTATGAAGTGTAGCAAAGCATTTTAGACACTGTTGGAAGGTCAAAAGATAGTAGACCGGCCTCACTTCCATGCCCAGTTACAAAATATGCGTTTAAGACATCAACGAGAACACAGATTTATATCTTTGGTTCTATTTTGGAGCTATTTTCCTATAATAAACGAAGTTATAAGATGTTTTATGTAGTAGCCTCGTTTTCATGCAGGGTCTAAAGCGGCATTCAGAGTTCTAAAACATCCTCTCATTAGCATTTAAGCAGGTTGCCAAAGTGGCATGTTCTTCAAAGCGCATCGATCTGTTATTTAAGGAGGATTTGCGTAACTTGCAATTGGAGTAATGCTTGCAGTTATTTGTTGTTTCAAGAAGATAATTGAATTATGTTGGGACGATGTTGATCTCTGGTTGGATATTAATGTAATGACATGTACATTATAATAACTCGGCGTAAAATATACGTATTTTTAGCGCCCTCGGCCTCAGCATGCGAAGGATTTGTGATCTCATGTTTAATTTTAAATCATCGTTCTCATTCAAACATCCATGATATTTCTCAACAATCAAGGGTGAATGTCTAACTATCTCTCTTTATTTTCTTTAAAGTCTTCTAGTGTGTATCTGATGCCAGAAGAGAATAATAATTTTATTAATTTTTATAATTTATTTAATTATGATTTAATAATTAAAAAGAAGCAAGTCAAACATATTGTGTTCCTAAATTTTGACCATTAACACGACCAGATCAAATTGGAATAATCTCTATTTTCGAGTTAGACTATATTTTATGAAATACACGGCTCGTGAAATAATAACGGTAAACACATTTGGATATAACGTAAGTGTTGTCTTTTTCTCACAGCTTTTAGCCGCTTTTCGTGCTATTGTTGATATTGATCTGAATTTTAATCAAACGCCCGAAATAACCGTGCTGGATATGTATAATGAATACGTGTGAGAAGACAATACTGACCTGGCAAAGAAAGATGTCCTGCGCTCGTAAAGCGCACTGGGATTTGTCACTAGTTAAGGGGGAACTGGGGCGAGATTTCACTTTGGAGGAGTTCCGTTACGAGCTGCTTTGACAGGGGAAGTTCCTCTTTAGGTATCTCGAAGAACACATACATATTTATATCACATGCAAAAAGTGCCCCACAATAGAGGGATGTAAAGAGTTTTAAGCTGTAAATTTAATAGTTTTTGAGAGTAGAAGAAGACTATTGTGCGAAAGCAATATGGATTCTTAGCTGGACTGTGCGATTATAAAATACAGAATCGCCATAAATCTCCAAAAAGTTGGGAGCAAGATTAGCAACCGCTTGCGGCGTAATCTTTGACACCACACGAAGTTTCTCAAACTGCCTAATTATTTTTATCATCGCACACAGCAAAACTCAATGTGTTTTCAGCACCTGTGACATAGCCCCCACTATATTTCATGGGCTCTTCCATACTCATATCAATTTAATTTACAATTTGATCGTGTCTCTAAAATCTCTAGCTCGCATTGTGCACAACAGATTTCAACATGTTTCCGCAATTTTGATGACATGATACGCCATGTTTTCCTTTCTCCTTCTTTAACCCTTTATTCCTTAAACTGACCAACATCTAATTTCTCCTGAGTATAACTGCTGAATCAACAGTAAGGAAATGAGAATAAAGGAAATGATCACAGGAATGCGCAAATAAGCGATGAGATGAAAAAGTAAGCGCATTCTTAGGTTTATACTACAGGACTACAGCTCTCCATACGACATTTTTCTAAGCAAAGTTAACTTAAAATCTCTATTCATTAGACGCCTCCAGAACTTCAGGATTACGTTATTTAAGAGTCTGTTCTTTACGAATTATCGAGGTTATTTAAAAGATATGTTCACCGTACGGTCTTCATCCTACAATTTGCGTGGAATCCTGGCCCTTCCCAACCCAAAAACAACAAGTTACGGTCTGCACTCTTTTTCATACTTGGGTAGCAAAATATGGAACTCTCTCCCAGACACTTACAAAACATTAAATTTTCAAGAATTCAAGCAGGAGATCCTCAGATATGAAGCTTTTCCACAGTAGATCTACAAGTTATATTTCCCTCTGCATGCATAATGTTGTATATAGTTTATAAATAATATTGGAATTGTAATATATTCCACCTCCCTGCAGTCAAATTTGCTGCGCATAGAGGTGAAAATAATTTACTCAATTGAAAAGGAAGAACATCGTCATCGCCAAGTTCTGTTTTGTTGGGATCAACCATAAGCTATGGAGCAACACTCAGCATCCTTCGAACCGGACACATCATGAAGATTAAATAGAATTTGGATTAGTAACAGAATCAAGGTTGTAACTGTAAGTTGTGTAACTGTTTCTTTTTCTCTGGGAAATGTTGCTATCTGGAGGGGAAAGAGTGACCGGAACTTTCAAGTCAAAGCAGTGATGGCTTTGGCCATAATGTCTTTTCCAATAATTGTACATCAACCCTGTAATGATGATAATAGTACTATGTTGTCAATAATGATGATAATGATGATGTGATAGCAGGGATGCAATGAGAACTCTCAGCTACCGGCGCAATAACTTTGGAGAAGCTATAAAAAAATTAAGCAAACGACCTCTTTCCTGGCTAACCAGGAGTGATCATGCAGCAATCACTACACGTGGAAAGGCCACAGGAAATGCATCACTTTTATTGGGGTGTAGATGCCCATTCCAGACCCCAACCCCCAACAGCCATTGGGTTTTATTGGTGAGGAATTGTGCCTTTTTGATTTAAACTTTAAAAGCTTTATTTTAAAACTATAACTATCATAAGAAAATAGTATCTTTACAATTATTGGAATTTGATACCATTTCCCAAATGTGCAATATGTTTTACATCATTACGATGGTTAACATTGTACAATAAATAAACTCTAGATAAAAATCATCAGTATGATGTACTGTGCATGATATTAGCTAATTACATTGTAAGTATATTTTAAGTGATAAACAGATGTTCTAAATTTCTCAATGCACTACATCATATTGACTTTCAAGACATGTCTGAGCTACTGTATTTGTGGTTTATTACATTGGTATAATTGCCAGTGATTGCAGAGTTGTGTGTTCTGTAACTGGACAAGGATTGCGTCATATCTCGCCACATTAACCTTACACAAGGTGATAACAGTAGGAGTGCTAAATTTAAAAATAACTGTCTTACATTTTGGCAGTGTTACTGAGGAAGTGATGAATGTAATAAAGCAAATTCAATTCCAAGGAGCAAAAAGGTGCTATCAAGTTTAGAGGAACACTTTTTAAAAGAAAGATATGAAATATTTGTTTTCTGAATTAATGAATCTATCAAATTTTAGTGGAAACGGGCCATTTATCTTGATTATCATTTTAGAAATTCTTAAAATATACCATAGGTCAGTCACCAATAGTATACCCTGAGTCAAACAGCTTCTGAATGATATCCATTCCCACAAGAAGATCAGTACCCTCAGCTACTGCATCAATCAATGCACTCACTTTAAAAGGGCATCCTCGAATTATGAGATTAATTTCTACTGTTTCAAACTGGCCCGACCCTCTTCCTGCTAATTTAACTTTCATTTTCTTGCTGGGAACAGGTTGCAGGTTCAACTCCAACAGAAGCTCTCTGGATATGCTGGTAGCTACTTCATTGCCAGTGTCAAACAAGACACGGCAATGTCCTGGAACTGGAATCACCTTGCCACACGCATTCTGTATCTGTACTGGTTCTTCATCCCTTGATATGATGAAGGCTTTATACCCTGGAAAACAGTACAAGAAAAAATGTGTATTTTGTGGGGATACTAATTTTTCACAAATAGTTCTAAAATTGGACTTACTGAAAATTTGTGACTGATAGAGTATTCAACTAATACAGGGTTAAAGCAGAGGCAAAAGCAGAGACAATAGAAATCTAACAAACAAATAGAAAGATGAAAACTTTGGCTTATTGTGCTAGTCTTGGAGAGAAAAAATTGTAAGACTGTAAAATGTTCATGCAAAGAATGTTCACAATTTTTGTGATTTTTTTCATCATTATGATAATGAATATTTGTGACCTGTATTAGGTGTTTTTGTCATTTATTACACTTCAAGCAAAAATGTAAATTTTAAGCAAAGTACACTTAACCAAAAGACAGTGTTAATGTTTTTTTTCCCATTGAAAATAAAACAATAATGCTGCATGATCATTTAGCTCCTTTAATTCTGTTAAAATGTTGGCCATACAAATTCTAATGAGTCATGAATATTGGCTATCTATCAATTTAATTCAAAACAAAGTAAAATTGATCAATTACTTTCATTTGGCTAGTTTAACCTTTGATGGGTACATCTTCCAACCCTTATGCAATGATTAGCTATCAGTTGAATCACTGGCAGTAGTTGGTTAAAGTACTGTACAGATAGTTTCACAGGGGTCATAATTTTGACTCCTCAAATAAAGTCTGAATAATTTTTATCAGTATCTAATTCAAGCTTTATTTTCACAACTTACGTAAGTACTATGTAAATAATCATTATTAATGTGGTCAAATACACTAAACTCATAAAGGTATTGTGAGTGTTGCTTTTTTGGTCATTCCTCTGTTCAGTCAAAATTGTTATCAAAGAATTTATTTTAATGTTTGTTTGCCTCCCACCTTGATTACCTTCCCTATTTTGGGGTAGGGAGTTTTAGATATGTATTTTAATTGCTAAGATAAATAAATTCTGTTTGTTGTCTTTGTCTGTTTTTTCCGGTATTTCCACATACAAAAGAAAAAATAAATAAGTAAAAAAAAAAAAATGTCGCTTTTTTCCTCAGTGTCATTGTCTGTGTCATGAATGAAGCCATATAATATGCAGTACATATATCATGCTGATCACTCACTTGAAATCAGTCCCTCACAGGTAAATTCACAAGCTTCAAATTTTACAACTGCCACACCAGGTACCTCATGATCCCCACCATCATCACCATCATCATCAGCAACCTTCCTTAGCCTGTCAAGTTGCAAATGAACTGATGCTGTGGATAAGACAAGGTTCTCTCGACAGTTCAGTGCCATAACTAACCATTCTTTATCCATTGTTTCCAGAGTGATTCTTTCATTCTCAATTGTAAAAGCCCTTATTCCAATGAAGTAAATTCTGGTACGTGCTATGTGAAGTTTGGTATAAAGTTTTTCTAAAATGCCTTGAAATCTGTGAGCCTTTCCATGAAAAGAGGGAAAAAAACAAACAGGAAAAACTTACTGAATGAGGCTAGGTATAGCGCACTCAATCCTAACTAATAGCAAGGTCAGAGACCAGTGAGTTAGAGTGCTGTTTCTAACAGTCAATGTCACGACAGAAGTCCACAGTCATTTTTAACTAACTTAAAAATAGATTAATCAATACACCTATTTCAATGAACATTAAAAGTATCAATTGATATGGTACATGTTCGTTTTTGTTTTTGTTTTTTCAATGAAAACAGCAAATACAAGTTATAAAATATTGTCACATTTTGTTACCAATGATAGGTGGTCTGAGGGTCATTATATTAGACTTTGAGACAAAAAAATCCAGTTATTACAATCCTGGTTTTGTGATTGTATTATATTGTTGGGTACTAACTTACAGAAAGATTACTTTCACATCTGTCTAGATTTCTTTACATCAGACCAACAAGCTGTCTGTGAAACAGAGAAGATGCTGGCTGAAGGTAATCTGCAGTGAACTAACATACATCCTAACTAGAATTAAGGTTTAGCAATACTTCTGATAACTTTATACTAAAGAAACAGGGGTTGTTTCACTTGCAAATTTTTCTTTAATGTTACAGCCTTATGTTATTTACCTTTAGGTTGACATATCCATGTGCCTCTTTAAGTCCTCCATAAACACTTTCATCATCTTAGAAGTCCAGTAATAACTTATCCACATTCTGTAAAGGAAAAAGAAGTCCATCTTTTTAGTACCACAGAATATAATAAATAGAAATTGTCAGCACCTCTACACCCTCATTCCCTCTCAGGGCTTTCTCCTTCCTATCATCTCTTGCTCCAAGGGATGGGAAGGGAACATAAGCTGGAGTAAAAGTGGATCAAGCATGTAGTTACTGCAAGTTTGGGTTGAGCCAATAAAAAAAGTTGTCTAAAAATTTTGCTATAACTTGTTCTCAATTGTCTCTCATTACTTATTATACATTTAAGAAAAATAATATCACCATCAATATTTAGTCTCTCGATCTAAAGTAAACTTTTTTGACTCTGCTTATACTAATAATTGCTAGCAATCATTTTGTACTGGTTGTGTTCTGACCATGTTTGGGACCTGAGATCTAGGACCTGGCCACTCATGAGTCATGATACAAACTTTACCATGACTCCTACCTGTGGGATTTTATGAGTATGTGGCCAGTTTGCTAAAGTATTTCCTAAATGACAAGCTACACCCTCTATTTCAAACCACAATCCTTTGGTTGGTACATGTGTGAAAACTGCTTAATGAATGAGTTGCCAGTAACCAGGTCCTTATGTTCATGTAAAGATTTCTCGTATCACCACAGGGCAAACATTGCAACTCACCTAAAAGAAATTTATGGTAGAAGGTTGTTCCAATGTCTATAAGCCATGCCCTTTGTTTCAAACCTTGCTTGATGAATGAGTTGCCTTTGGATTTTTCTCATCAAACCATCACTTGATCAAGGTATTTCCTCCTGTTTTTCATTACTTATTTCATCCTTTCAGAGGGCAACAGCTTGGAAAAAGAATTTAACCTCTGGTGACAACGACTTCTCTCCTTTGATGAGGTATATTTTCAAATGTCGTAATTGATTTATTAAATACATTAAAAAGTGTGAAAACAGGCTGCACACATATAAGTACAGCTGAAAATACTTGAATGAGTTATTTCCTGGTGATGTATGGCTAATTTTGTGATATATTGAGACCATTACGTGATGATGATTTCACAATCAACCTGACATAATGAGATAAGTTTATCAGTTTTTCTGTAGCATGTTTCATAATAACTCTACCAAAAACTTACACGTCCTGTGCATCAACATAATCGATATTCATTTATGATAAAACAGTGGCAAAAAAGCTCTGATCTCTCTCTAAAGTCATTTTTTTGGATGTTGAAACAATCTTTTGTCATACATTCCTTTCTAGTGAGTTGCAACTGATTATGTTCGCCCTATGGCAGTCTGAGATATCTGTGTACAAACGCGAGGATCCGGGATCTGCGAGGGCAAGATTGGCTCATCATATCTCCCTTGAGGGTGGGGTGACCTTTAACAACATACAAAGCAAAACGCTATTTCATCTCCAACAGACTCCAACCAAAGATACATTGCTATTTCTTTTCTTCAAATAAGTGAAGATACATTTAACAAGAAAAAATGATCATATTTCAAGGGCTTTCCCAAAAGTAGTTGTTGCTTATCTGAACTTTGCCTCCTATGTGTAGAATATGAGATAATTAATGCAGGTTGTTCACAGGAACTGAGATGTGACAGTGTGAAGTTTTGACACCCACACCCACCCACCAACAAAACTGAATAATTTCATGATAGAGAGAAAATTGAAAAACAGAAAGTTTTGTAGAGGGGTCCAAATCAGCAACAGGGGGTCTAAATCTGCTAGGACACTGAGACAATGTAAGTTTCTCAAAAATCTGCCGACAACTGCAAGTGTTGGTGTCGTAGCGAAAGCTTACCTATGGTTTTTTACCGAGATTTCTGACAAAAACGAACTGTCTTCCATCTCGCTTACGTATACCCAGCTTGCAGAGTCTTCCTAAGGGCCTATTTACACGGTACGACTTTGTCGCATGCGATAAGCTTACGACAGGCTTACGACACGAATTGTTTCGTGTAAATCAAACCTACAACTCGCTTACGACTCTTAAGTCATGTCGTAGGCCTGTCGTAAGCTTGTCGCATGCGACAAAGTCGTGCCGTGTAAATAGGCCTTAAGAGGCTCTGACGGCACGTTCGACCTCGATATTCCAGAAGACATCCAACTTTGAGTTCTTCATTGTTTACTTCTTCATTTCTCCAAAAAGATCTGTTCTCTAACTTTCGTAGCTGGAAGGGTTTTCCTTCACCACTTCCGCTGTGATCGATCTTCCTGCAGAAAACGTTGCTGGTTGAAGTTGAGCCGCATTTCCGTGCTATAGCGACAACTACACAGTCGTCTCTAACGGGGATTAGTCGATGTGTGTTTGATCCAGGCTGGTGCTTTAGAAGATATGGAATAATTCTGATTCTTTCGACGCTTGGTAGGAAGGAAAGCTGCCATAGAACGCCAAATTTATTGCATAACGAAGCACGTGATAGTGAGAACGGTCCTACTACTAGGAATAAATAGGAAGCTGCAACCGAAACGAAGCTCAGCGAAAATACTCTATGACACTCAGATGGCAGCCCGCATCCGAATTGCCTTGTCCGGCAAAAGATACCAATACTAACGCCAGCCAAAAAAAAACCGACGTATGATAAACGTTTGAATGTCGACATCGTGGCTGACGATATTCATGACATCAGCCTCATGTATGATAGACGATATGTCCCATGTATGATAAACGAGATGTCCTGGTTAACTTATTCTACCTCGTTAACCCCCTTCCTGCGGTGGCCCACAACTGTCACGGCAAAACAAAAAGTCACGGCACTACAAACTTTACTCACGGCAAAACAAAATTAACTCACGGCAAAACAAAGAAAATGAGTTGGTCAGCGGTTGGCCAGCGGTTGTAATTTGCATCTGAAATGCTATGTCATGTAACAGTAAAACGAAATGGCGACCTTTGTTGCTAAGGTGCTGGGGTGAAAATGAAGCCAGTGATAATCTTAAAAGAGTTTATATTTATTCATTTTAGTTTCAACAAGCGGCGCCAGTGACTGGCAGGCGTGCGAGGATTCACAATGAAGTAAGAGAACAACCTTCGTTTTTCGTAAAATTGTAATTTACAATCCTTGAACTTGAAAACAATCCGAAGATTCATTAAAATTATCACTTACTCCGAAGCGCTCAGAGTAAACAGGTGTTCAAAAGCTTTTTCTGTTATGGCGTGAGATTGGGGACAAAATTGATCACTACATTTCGTATCGTGTGTTTTTTCTGTGTGAAGCAACAAAAGGTGCCGGCGACTGACGAAATTACAGGTTCACACGAAAATCAAATAACACCTAAAAAAATAATTTTGCCTACCGATTTTCAGTGAATTTTTAAAGAACAATTTTCTTTTAAGTTTCAAGACAATTTGAAGATTCAAAATAAATATTACGTACTGAAATTCGAAAGTCATACACCACAAAATTGATAAATAGGCCTGAAATTAAATACTATCTAGTTCTCGATTATACGTTGCTTAGCACGTGACCAAAATCTACCCAGGCGGAAATCCAAAATGACGGTGGCAGTCTGGGCTCAATTATATCACTCAAAACTCGTTCCCGTTTGTCTCATTTCATAAAGGCGGAATCATTAATGTTTTCATTAGGACAGTATTGCGTTGTTTTTCCAATATTTACAATGATAAACAGAAAATTTCACTTTTCACCCACATTTACTTCCAACCTTTTCTTTTGAACCACAAACAAAAATGATATATGTTTAAATCACATGACATCATCCACCCTTGTCAAATGTAATAGCATGATCATTTCAATTGTAATGCCTTCTTATCCCAACGTTACTTTGTTTCTTTGCTGCATTAGCGAACACTGAACTACTGCTCGTACTCTAAATATGACAAACAACCACAAAATTCCCTAAACCAGATAACATTAAACATAATCCAAAAAATCATGTAAGTCATCTGTCAATTCACGAGTTTGCTCACAGAGCACTTTGATTCGAGCTCACGATGTTTTGCTCCGCGTGTGGTTCGGTAGTAGATGAAGATGCAAACTTTTGTAAAAGCTGTGGTAGAGGTACATTTCTTAATTGAAAGTGTTGGTATTTGCATTTCTTTTAGTTCCAAATAACGAGAGGCGTGAGAAGACACGGCTACAAATTAGTTGATTAGCACGTGTCTGGAATAAGATTGTGCATGTAGCCTGTGTGTAAGAAGAAAACATTATTTTTCAACAGGTGGAAAAAAACAATGAAGCAAAATAATGTAGTTTACACCTCAGAGGAAACTTTACTTTAAACAGTGTTATTTCCTTTAGTCTGTTTAACATCAATAAAACTCAAGATAAATGATTTTGGAAATAATCAGGAATGTTTTGGCCTTTAACCTTGTGCTCTCTGACTGTTTGTAGGCGTACAGTATTTTCCACCTGTTGAAAAATCCTTATTTCATCAAGGCCCATAGTGTAATATTCCTCCCTAGGAATTGTTATTCATGAGATGGTAATAAGGTATGGAGAATCGCTCTGGCCGGGAAAGCCCAAGCCAGGCGAAGGGGTGATGGTGAGACGGATCAATCCGACCTGGGGTGGGGTGGGTGGGAAAACGCTTTGATGCGCAGAACACAGCCCAAGGCCTCAAGTGAAGTGACAAGGAGTGATACAAAACAATCTATTATATCCAAAATCCCAAGGGACTAATTACCAATGCTAATTGAGTTAACATAGTGTAATATTCCTCCCTAGGAATTGTTATTCATGAGATGGTAATAAGGTATGGAGAATCGCTCTGGCCTTCCCAAGCCTACACCCACACTCATATGAAATGAACAATCACACACCCTAAGAAAAGAAACACAAAGAACTCTTTAATCCTCTTTCCAATCCTTACTTAATACATACTATATCTAATCATTGACAATAACCTTTATTATAATAGTTCAAAACTTCAATAAAATAAATTCATGAAAAAGCTTGGGAGAATCCCATAAGATGATCCTGATGTTTGCAGTCCTGCCCCGCTTGTAAAGGGAGATCCGCTAGTTTAGCCGCCGCGCCTGCTGGATTCACTACTTGCTTAAGTTTGATATAGTGAAGCGCCGTCTTACTAGATTTCCAGCCAATGTGGTCCATGATTTCACTGAGACTTACGTTTCGCAATGCTAAAGATACAGCCACCCCACTGCGAAACCCATGAACTGTTAAATGACTACTAGATAACTTCCCAACTAGCGCGGAAACATGAAAACTCAATCGCGCTTGAGCCGCCGAAGACTCCAAATGGCTGAAACAAACTCCGCCAGATTTTGAAATAGAGCGAAAAAGGAAACCTGGCGCAAGGTTAATACGTAACAGCTTACACACATCAAAATACATTTCCAAACCCCGGACAGGACAAATCAAAGGATTAGATCCCCGCTTAAAGGCAAACACATTTGCGTCACCTGACCTGAGAGACTTTGTCCAAACATGATTGAACAACAAACCAGAATTATCCGAGAAACGTAAAACATCAGATACTTTTACTTGTAACAAATCAGCTGCTCTATCACCAGCAAAAAATAATGCCTTAAATAAAGCCTGATCGCGGGCATACATAAAAATCTAAATTGCGCGCAAAGTCGAAGAATGCAACAAAAGGGCTCTAATGAATTCAGAGATAACCAACAAATCGTTCACTAAGATAGGCTCTGCCTGGCGTGGAGTTACCCTAGCCTTTAGTTGTTCTTCCCGCACATTACTCAAATAATTCTTAACTGACCTACAAGAAGCTGGATTACCTACACCTAACAAAGACTGCCATTCTGCGCCTCGACCACTCTCTGCAAATATAGCACGCAACTTGCCAATCAGTGAATCTATAGTCCCAAATGCCAAACGTTTAGGGCACTCACAATCTAGCCCCGCATTACCTCCCCAGGTGTGACAATCCTGTCTATGAACTCGTGTCCTTCCCTTTCCATCCTTCCACACAAGGAACGCAATAACATCCGAAGGAAGCGCCGACGACAAAGACTTGGGGACTGACAAGTTTCCCAGAAAATTTATAAAATCCCAATTCCAGAGCTGATTTCTGTTTAGAATAACGAGACGAACTACGTTGCTCATTCAACTCGCGTACTCGTTGGGCAATGCTGCCTTCATCAATATCCAATTTCTTTAGTGGTCCTCGGATTGTAGCACGTCTAACATAACCACATTTCTGACAGAAATTAAAATCCTCATCGTTCGGATGTGAGCATCGTGGGCACGAAACGCAGGGAGTGAATAACTTCGGAACTCTAGGCAATGTCTGTAGGGAACAAAAACGAAAGAAACAATGAGCCCGACTCTACACCTAGAACCGAGACACGCGAAACGCCCACATAGAAAAGGGACAAGGTGTTGGACTATAACCCGACTTTGATGGGGATAGCAGAACACTCAAGTCACCCTGTGTACCAAGACAAATTTTCCCAGAACACCTTGCGTTCAATTCAACCCACCAATAGCGATGAGGAACAAACTCTGGAACCACAATAGTGAACGGGATCTTAAAACTCAAGAGAAACTTCAACAGTGGACCAATCAAAGAAAATGGCGGGGAGACATAAGGATTGACATGGACGGAAAAAGCCGCAAGTCTTGACTGAAGACATTCACACCGTTGGAGTCTGGGCTTGGAAAAGGAGTAAAATGCGGCAAGGAAAACCCATCTTTGTTCTTCATTACATTTGAGTCCAAAGACATCAAGTCAAACGAATGACCTTCAACTCCACCAAACTCTTTATCGACCCTCTTAAAAGCTGACATTGACAATTTGGAATCCACACGTGACATTGTCCTAGACGGAAAATCGGCCACATTTTCCTTAGATGGTACATAGGATAAGTTCAACTGAACATTACGAGAAGATAGAGCAAAATAAAGTCGTTTTGTAGCTGACGTTAACTGGGGGGATCTCGTACTGCCAGACCCCTGCCACGCACCTAATACTGCCATACTGTCAATAGAAGCATCAATTCGGCAATCCTTAATTCCGTCAGGAAGAGCTTTAATAGCATACAACAAAGCTAACATTTCCTTTGTAGAAATATCGAGACACAGTTCCTCTTGACTCCAATAATCTCGAAAAATCTGATCATCCGAAGGTGAATGAACTGCACAACCCCACCCATAACCGGACGCATCGGTAGAAATCGCAATACGCACATGCTTCTCGTCTCTCCACGGAAGAGTGTCCTTCCAGTCGTCAAGGTAACGCCAATGCGAAATTTCCTCCCTCAAAGCGTCAGTCATAGACACTTGCCCATCATCCAAGCCAGAAGCGATCGCTCTACTCATTGCTCTAATGAACAATTTCGCGGCTGGAACAGCCAAAGAGAAAGATATGCATTTCCCCTGAAATCGTTGTAAAGTTTTGATCCAAACAGTTTTCTTGCAGGCAAGAATTTTCTCCCTAATTAAGGCCCAGGACTCAATCTTACGGCGCGGCACCAAAAACGATTGTCGAACGGAATCCACGATCAGACCCAAATAACCCAGGGATGTGACCGGCACAAGAACCGACTTCTTGATACCAACGGTATAACCGAGATCAACCAACACAGAAAGGACAACGAATATGGCACCTGTAGCTGCCAGCAACCTGAACTGCAAAGATCTGTCCGCTGGTAATATGGACCAAGACCCAGTCGGTCGCAAAAGCTCTCCATTTAAGCGATCGTCTATATAGAGAGAACAAGGAATCCCTTGAGCTCTCAAGAAACCTGTGGCGGCCAGACCAATGGTATGATAAACATAAGGGAGATTTTCCATCCGAACGGAAGAGTCGTACAAACAAACCACAGGCCACCAAAACTAAACCCAAAGTATGATTGCGAGGACTCTGTCAACATCACGTGATCATACCCGGACCTGTCGTCGCACTTGGTCATGAACGATCCGGGGTAAACATACCTAGTCACTTCACTCAGTTTATCCAGGGAAAACGGCATATCTTTCATCCAAAGGTTTAGAAACCTCGCGTCAATACAAAGTCGAGGCTTCGTAGGTTCAACCGTGAGTGGCAACACAAGATGGGGGGGATCATCGACACCCACTACCCCCCAGACTCTAACAACGTCGGTTAAAACACGATTCCGAATCTCCTTGGATATAAATTCCGTAAAAATTTTACAGTTTACATGATTCGGGAAAATCTTCTTAGGTGGAACAGTAGACGAATATTTAGCTCTCTTGAAAACTCCCGCAAAAGGTCTTGAAAAACTTAAGATGTCGACTTTATTTCTAATCCAATCTAGAATACAGTTCCTCAACGGATGACCCTCAAGTACCAGCTCCCAGGCGGCTGAATTACGGTGAAGACCACCTGCCACAAAGGAATCCGGATCCCTTAAATGTAAAGTCCCCAGATCCGGAACCTTACCAGATGAGATAACACTTTCCCAACACACAGCCGCACCCCCCTGAACGGGAACCCCAGTCATATCCACCCATAGGGTCTCGTTTCTTGGTTTAATTGCCGTTGTCTGTAATTGAAATTCCGTAAGAACGTAAAAGTTATCCACAGCAGCTTCACGCTTAGTACCACCCAAAATCTAAGGAAAAGAGGGCAAAAAGAGAGATCACCTATGGGAAGACCTGGGGTTCCCGATCAGGAGGGAGCAGCCTCAATTCGCCTGAAAACAGGTCGTCTGGTGGTCACCATATGTGATGAACCAGCAGGAGCTACTCTACCCCGATCCAGAACTTACAAGAGTGAATTAAAATTGAAACAACAACAGACACCTATTGACACAATGAAAAGGGAGCCTTTAATGCCGAGAAACACACGGCATAAATACTGGAAACTGATCAAAAAACATTGGGAAAACGCCTTAATCCTGTCAATACATTCATTGTTTTTGAGGTGCCTCAACTCCTTGATTATAAAGGCGAGGCCTCTTAGACTGAGGACCTGGCTGTGGACGCGAGGAACAGAACCTCTGATAATGCCCATATAGGCCACACTGAAAACACTGGACTTGTGATCTATCCCTGCCTCTCCCCCTTGGCATGAAACGATTTGCACCAACTCCAGGCACTCGCAACGCTTTATCTACGGCAGCAATCCGCTTGAGTACCACTTCATCCTCCTTATCTCCTAAGAGGGCTTCAAGATAGCGCTTAAATTGCATGTTTGAGGCCCACATTTTATTTTGCATTGCTGTTAGCACTGCAGAATAAAATCCAGCTTTCGCGTGTTTTGTTTCCTTGGCCACAATCTTCAGATTCACTAGGTAATCAATTGCCTGGTCCTTCTGGAACAACGGAGAACGTATTAGGTGCTGTAAATCCTCCAACACTGATTCAACAGATTTCTTTTGGGAATCTTCCAACTTCTTAAGTCTCTCTAAGACACGAGCAAGATCACCCTCCTCTTATATAACAGAATTCAAAAGGTAAGATAAAAAATCACCGATCCATTCATTTCCTTTCTTTTCATTACTCAATCTCATAACTGATCAAGCACAGTATAATACAGGCTGAAAAAGAACAACACCGATTAGATTACAAGTTATGAAATATTACATTACATTAAGTTAGATTAAATTAAATAAAAATTAAATTATCAAAACCTCAAACTTCCAACAATAACGATGAACGCTCCTAGCCTCACAGGCCAAAAAATGTTTTAAAAACACACAACGGCAGAGCAGTCTTTCTTTTTTTTTTTTTTACATACCGTACAACTAAAAGCTACTACACGTAAGCTTGCACAAGCAAATGAACGGCGACTGATGCTCAGGCATCACACTCCAACGAAGCAAAGCACGGCAACAGAACTTTCTACATCAGCAAGCAATTTCTTAAACGAGGGGCTACAAAGTAAAATTCAAGCCACAAAAACAAAAAAGGCTAAAGGAGAAAAAATTTATTCTTGCGCGCCAGCATCACACTACCACAACCGAAGGTGAACATAAAGCATTTCATTCCAAAAAGCAAAATACCGAAACTATTTTCGACCCCAGAAGCACAAACAAAAAATTTGTAAATGACAGTGCAGACAAAGAAACTTTCACGGCCTCGCAAGCAAAGAAAAAACTTTGATCCCCGCAGACAAAGAAAACTTTAACAGCCCCGCAGACAAAGCAACTTTCGCGGCTACGAAGACAAAGAAAATTTCTCGGCCTCCTAAGCAAAGGAAACTTCCACGGCCCCGCAGGCAAATAAATCCAAACGGCCTCTCAGGCAAAAGAAAAAAAACTTCCTACACAGCCCCACAGGGGACGAAAACTTTAACGGCCTCGCAGGCAAAGGAAAACTTTCTGCACAGCCCCGCAGGCAAAGAAACTTTCACGGCCACGCAGACAAAGAAAACTTTCACGGCCCCGCAGGCAAAGAAAACTTTCACAACCCCGCAGGCAAAGAAAACTTTCACAGCCCCGCAGGCAAAGAAAACTCTCACGACCTCGCAGGCAAAGAAAAAACTTTCACGGCCCCGCAGGCAAAGAAAACTTTCACGGTCTCGCAGGCAAGTAACTTTAACGGCCCCGCAGGCAAAGAAAAAACTTTCACGGCCCCGCAGGCCTGACACAATTTCACATCTACAGAAAGTAAACCAAATCTAAACTCTA